CGTTTTGACCTCAAAAGGTGATTTATTAATGAACAGACGCACTGCAAATGGATTCTCTTTGTTAATTTGACGTAATTGCAGTTTCCAGAAAGCTTCATTAGTCTTAATTGTGAGAATTATGGAGTTCACTTAGACACATTCGATGTTGTTTGCTTTATCGTGTTTGTGACATTGCCAACTATAAAAGGTGTCCTTCCTCGCTCAAAGTGATTCAAATTTTGTGAATTCATCATCTTCTAAAGAAACTGTTGTACTAAGGCAAGTATAACATTTATTAGTTGACTTTCAACGAGAAATTGATGAAAAAGTAACCCGCCGCTGCGAATTTTGAAAAGCTGTCGTTGCAAGCGACAATTACATATAATTTAGATGCGGTGCGTGCCTATGTTTTCTGGTGTAGCGGAGCATGTTCTGAAAAAGGCTAGTTTTGTCTTGAATCTAACATTATATCAAAGTCACCTTGAAGGAGACAACAAGTTCTTTAATAGGGTTAAGAGATGTTCTTTTATTCAGGAAAAAAAAAAACAAAAAATTAAGAAATAAAAAGTTGTTCCAACCTCAAGATAAATACTTAACCTACCTTTTTCACTGACCAGTCCAATGAAAGCTACGTATTTTTTTAGCTCGAGTTCCGCTGATTTTTTATCGCAAATTGTATTCTTAAATTTCAATAGTTTCCGTCCCGTCTTCAAGATCAGTCCTGACCTCTTTTCAATTTCAGGAAATTGTGTTTCAAATAAATCACTGTAGTGCTCATTTGTATAATTTTGTCTGAACGCAGGGAGGGATCTTGATGTAACTGAAAAGCGACACTTTTGATTTTCATGGGAACAAGATTGGCCCGAAAACCTTGACACTAGTCAAAATGGAAAACGGGAAATAAAAAACCGTTTTACAAGTTATACCGAAAGTTAGTTTAAAAATAGCGAGTTTTTATATTTAGAAAGATACTACCGTTGCAGTTATAGCCGTTGGCTTTTTTTTTGAGGTTCTGCTTCAGTGATTTACTTAAACATATACACGTGTTTATATGAATGTGTTAGGCGCTCTTGCGTCAATCGCTAGACTATGCATTTTAATATTTAGTTCAATCGGACATGATGTAACTTAAATTCCCCTTTAAGGGATTATGGATGTCATTTATACTTGTAACTGCAGTCCTTGTTCCTTCTTAACAAAGTGCGTTGAAGCTGGTACGATCTAGTTGCTGGTGAAGTTAAAAGAGGTATGAATCTAATGTAAGAGATAAATGAACAACAACTTAGTACAGTCTTTGTTACACAGGCTGTTTTCTTTGATGCCTGATGTGTGTTAGTTACGATTCAGTAATTTAACCTGCACTGCTGTTTTAAGTGTTGCTGAGACAATCAATGTAAATGATGTATTGCTTACAAGTTTTCTTTATGATCAGTAACATGAGTATTATAGTGTTGTAAAGATGAGTTTATAGGTGGCCCTGTCTTCTTAAATTATAGCGCTGAAACACTCATTGAGTATTTCATTTTGCACGTCTTTGATTTATCAAGGAAATTTTGAACCTACTGCTTCGGTACTTGGGACGTTACAAGATTTAATAGAGAAATTCTATCAGAGCGGGCGTGTTGAGTAGACATTCGAGCACAAACAGCAAATATATTGATAGTGACAGTAACGCAAATCCAACTACAAACATTTCTGAGAATTTTAGCTTATAGTACAGGAGGTCAATTAACAACCTCCACGCCGGCACACTCAGAATTAAGTTTCGTTTACAAAGAAAACAACGATTGATGGTAAAGATACAAAATCCTCAAATGTACATCATCAACTATCTGTCTCATGAAAATTCTCTGACGGTTTTGTATCCTCGAAAAAAACAAAGAATTTGAGAGCTAAACGTCGAGGCACAACAATGTTAGTCATGCGTATCTTGGTAATTAAAATGTCTTTACAAAGCCAGTGTTTTGTTTCTCAAATGTAGTTAAAGGCAAGTTTGGTAATTATTTGTCTGTGTTTTACCCGTAGTATCATCTCATTCAGTTGCTTTCATCAATCATCATTTTTTCTTCACAGTTAGTTATTATTTGAACAGATTATCATAATACTCAGAGGCAACGTAGGAAATGTTTTCGAATATTGTGACGTAACTTCCTTTCTACTTTTGTTTTTTTTCCCTTTTTTTTAACTCTGTTTCAGTGATAAATATTCCTTTTCCTGTGTAATTGACGTCTTGATTCTTTATTCATGTCTTCTAATGTAGTGCTTTCTGTGTTTCGTTCTCGAGTTTTGGGGTGTTTCGGTTCCTATTTTAGTGGCGTTCTATTTTATGGGGGTATTCCCTTTCAATTCCCAATGCACCTGGCTTTTCATTTCCGGTGATTCGATGTCCTGATTTTATCGGTGTTACGACTCAAACGTAGGTCTTGAAGTATCGCGACTTCCTGTTTCGACTTAAATTGTTTCTGTACCTGGATTATGCTATTTCGAATTTCGATTTTACGAACCCTAGATTTGTCATGGGTTCATTGTTTCAGAGTTTCGCTTTCGAACCTCACTGCTTCTTCCTGTTTCGTGGTTTATCCCATTATATTGTTTTATATTGTAAATTTATCTTGTAATTTATTGTTCTGACCGTTTCAGCTTCTTTATTTTGTTCTGTCTCGAGTTCCTGTTTACGGTTTCGCTGTTATTTTTAGCCATGTTTTGACGTCATATGTGATCTGTTACCGAATAGACTCACGGAACAGTCTCATTTTGTAATTTACAGGTCTTAAATATGCTTTTAGGCGCCGCAACGACGGCTTTTAAATAAAAGTTTATTATCAATGTACGTTTTCAATTGTATGCCTTTAACGTTTACGTGTGTTTTCCCACATGTGAAGAGATCAATCTGTAATTGATTACACGCTTTGGAAACGTAAGTGCTTGTAACTAAGATTTTAAGATTTTTTTCCAGGACTACGATAAATTTGACACCAACCGAGTTCTATTTACTCACTGTTGGGTTTGAGCAATATTTGGAGAGGAAGAACTAGGAAACTATTAATACAGACTATTGCAAATTTATACGAACTGAACGTTGTTTATGGATTTCAGATGTTCGGATGTTCGCCAAAGATCGGTACTCGATATTATTTCTTTGGTCCACTCATGTAACAAATTTTCAACATCTTTGATTTTTAAGGCATCGCGGGCGTAATCTGAACTTGTTATTATAAGCACGCACATTGTTTAGCTCGAGAACAAGATTCCGTCAGAAAAAACAGTGCCAACAGCCTTTTTAAATACACAGAATTTGGGGATCCTTTGTAATTGTTTTGTAAGAAAACGACCGACACTAAATATGATTAGATATTTATTTCTTCTCACTATCAGCTTTGCATTTGCTTGTCAATTGGTTGAGAGAAGATGACGTTTGATCAAGTAAATATGCATCTCGTCACCTGTTTGTCTAGGTAATCACATGATTTTTCTCGTGCAATTTGGAATAAATAAGTTGGAATAAATAGCTGGATCGGCTCGTATTTTCCGATTTCCTTGGCAATTCCCTTCTTTGAACACCACTTTTTCCAAACTGACAACCAAAAACAATGTTTTTTACAGTGTTTTCGTTGCTAGAGCTGTTTCTCAGCTGCTTTATGGTTGTTGCACTGGCGAAAGAAAACCTATTTAATACGCCGGCCATTGTTTTGCACGCAAATTTTCAGCGCATCCAAATGTTGCGACATCTAAGGCTCGCACTTGACTGGCTATCTGTGAGTTTCTTTGATTATTGACCAATCAGAATGTCTGGTTTGTTATACTTCTTTACACTGAATTAACCCCCTTCTGCACTGAATTACCTGAAAACTGCATTTATCTTAACCAATCAGAAATGAGTAATTTTTTTCATGTATATTATTAACGATGTTATAGGGTGCATGCGCAAACGGAACGTTTTTTTTCCTGGAAAATTCTCTTTGCGTAATTTTTTAATTGATATTTTAAAATTTTACAGTTTGTAAGAGTTTGCTTACAGTATGAAAGATTAAAAAGCATTTATTGCCCCGGAGATTTCACATATTTTGAGCTTTAAATCAACTTAAAATATCTCATGCACTTGACTGACTTAGTGAGATATTAGCACTTTGTCATTACAGCTGTCACAGACGCTTGAAAAACCTCTCATCCTGTACAAACATTTTTCGGAGTAGAACGTAGTTACTAAGCTGCCAGAGTAAATATTGATCATTTCCTTTCTTCTCTGTGTCGCTTTATGAAAAGCTTAGGGGAGAAATCGTAACTGATCAGGAACACTGAGTACATAATTCGATTAAGAAAATGTTTCAGTCAATTCTTGATTCTCCCCAGAACAACATTTTCCAGAGGTATTTACTGTGTACAGTAAATATCTTCTTGAGCAGTCAGACGTTAATTAAAAAGGTTTTTAGTTATCATAGCTTCGTAGAAAAATAATGGAACCGAGTGAATGTAAATGAAAGCCATTTAAAACCAACAAGATTTCAAACTTCTTATGTTTTTAGCCAATGAAACACAAATGAGGTTGTATTCCTGATTGACAGGTTATATTAAAAACCTTTTAGAATTAACCTAATTGGATGGACACAAATTGGATCTCACTTTGCAACCCGTTTTTCGATCACGTTGTGTGGTAAATAGTTGTCTTTGGGTACACTGACACGTTCGCTAATCAATTTTCGAAACGAGATCAGCTAAGTGCAATATTTCAACTCGTGTCAGCATGATCAAGCTACCAGTATGTTAGTACTTGGTGGGTGATACAACATATGAAGTGAGAATTATCTCAGCCGCAGGTAAACCTTTCAAAATACTTCAAACAGATTTTATCTGTATAATTTCCTGTCCTTTACAGCGGTTGACACGCTTTTAATATAACCACTTGACACTTCTGGCTATTGCCATTTATAAATTTGTGGGTAAATCTCGAAATCCGCTGTAAAGATCACACAATATCTGCTTTAAACGATTACCTGACCCCACTTCTCAATACTTCTCCACAGATGGATCCCTGGCTTGCTCTTGCTATGATTTTTTTCCAAGCTTCTTTCCTCTGCGAAGCTGCTTCAAGTAGGAACAGTTCGTGCACGAAGATCTACGGCGAAAGTGGATTGCACGCGAGATGTACTATCGAAAGTGTGGAAGAGCTGTCGACGATTTTGCATAACCCAAATGATGTGAAATCTTTGTGAGTAGCAATGTGTTTTTCTTCGTGCTTCATACTCAAAAGCTGTTGCGCTGGGGGTATTGACTATTCAACCCCCAAATCGGAAATTGCGTGTTTCTTTTTTTTTATTATTTTCTGTTTATTTTGTTGTGTTTTGCCCCTCAAAAGGATTTTTCATGTCTCATTGTCGAAAAATGTTTACCATCTTTCTTTTAGAAATCTAGTAGACTGATATATGCTTATCGAAACTTTATTACTAGAAATTCAGAGTGTTTATTTCATGTTGAAATTGTCTGTCTTTTTTAATACCTCGCAAAGTTTTTCAAGATTTTCTTGTTCCGCTTTGACAAGTGTTTACCATCTCACTTTGAGAAATCTGCCAGTTTTTCCAAATTTTTCTTGGACTGAGATCTAAGATGCTTGCTTATGCTACCCCATAACAATTCTGATTGTAAACCTTGTCTCGAAATTTTTGTCGGTTCAAGGTCAGAAAATAGTGGCAATTAATCATCCATAACAACAGTAATCTGCTCCTTACAATATCAATGCATTTTCAAGAGGAGAAAAGAAATATAATTGTCGACAAAGGAATATAATTTTATTCACACCAAATTCACAAACTCTCCAAAATGATAAGGAATTGTATCAAGTACGGTTTCCGAGAATGAGGAAAGAAATGAAATATTTTCTTGAAAGTCCAGAGTCAGCAGAGGAGCTATTTCAGATGACTTTCGATAAGACATAAAACTAACGCTACATCGCCATCAGAAAGATTTCCTCGACAAACTCGTTGTGAAAGAAAATTCTTTGAAAGAGACATTTAAGCAGAGAAAACTTCTCAGGACACGTTTCGGAAAAAAACATATTCGAGAAGAATTTTTACCCTGAAAAAGTAAATTATGTTCTTGCGTGCCTTCTTTTTTTTCTTGACAAGTTTGGTTTGTTCAAAATTGGAATGTACGAGGATTCTTGAGGTGAACTGAAACCAGTTTCTTTCTCAATTTCATCTACACTACCTAGGAAAAACTATCTAAAGTTTTGAAAGAAAACGTGCCGGCGGAAAAAGAAGAATTAAAAAAATTGTACTTGGAGCGGAAAATCTATTCATGGTTTGTTTGGTTTGTAGATAGGAAGTCTTCGAAAAAATGTCAAAATTAAAAGCGTGGGGAACATTTAACATTCGTATGACGTCTGCTGTAGTATCACATTCACCGCCAGCCTTTCTGTTGTCAAGATACGTGTTTTTGAAATCGCTAACTTAAATAACTAAACCAATCCAGTTAGCAACGACGACCATGTACTTTTATTGAACAAAGATTTAAACATGGAGCATGGATAGCCCGTAATGCAGAACGAGTCAGCGCCACAAGCTCGCGGTCATCCAGGATACTGTTGTGTTTGATTTAGGCTAAGAATGGTAACAGGAAGATGGATCGATCAAAGACAAGAGGACTGTTGTCTCTTGCCCTGCCCTTCCGTTTGCTTTCCTCTCTCCTAACGCCCATCCTTTTGAAAGAAAATTTTTTCCTCGTCTCAACTGTTCGTTGCTTAAAAAATCAAAATGGTGGGAAGCTTTACACTCTTTCCTTAATTGGATATGAATCTGAACACCTGTCATTTTGAGACCAAACATTTTGTCTGTGACCTTAGAAACCCGATTTTAAGTTGTTTAGCTTTTTTCGTGCCATTTTAATAATGGAACCTCGGCACAGTCGATTTTGAGACGCGCACGGCGGCCAAAGGAAGAGTGCAACTTCTTCTGGTGGACTTTGACATCAACCAGTGAATTGGAAAGCTATCTTTTTTTGGCATCTTACGCTAAGAGAATAAAGATCTGTAGCAAGCGTTAGGTAAAAGAATCCTCAACTTTGAGCTGCCGTCCGCATCACAACTGAAAGCATCTTTCCTTTTGAGGCGAAAGCGTCAAACTTCTTTCACTTAATTCACCAATTAATGACTTTGCTGCTTGCATTTTTGCAGGAGTATCTTCTCCAGTGATCTGGAAACAATTCCTGAAGGAGCCTTCAGGAATTTCACAAGTCTTGTCAATTTGTAAGTGCATTTTTTTTATTTGACATTTGTCGTTGCTGAAAAAACTACTCTTTTAGGTTTATTTTCTATATTTCACGATCACGCAGTCGTGCACGCGACCATGATAATACCCTAAAACACATCACGTGCGCGTCCTCGTGACTAAAAACCATTCTTGAAAGGCACATGTACATTCTCGTATGCGATCACGATCAAGTGCGCAGTCACGCACGCAATCACGATAACGCATGTAATCACGATCATCCTCACGCTCACCAAATCCACATAGTCACGATCACGTGCACGCACTGATCACCTGCACGTTGTAAATCCATTGAACTTATTTGCAATAAGAAATTTTAGATAGACCTTGCTGATATTCGTGTAGCTTCTGCGTGTTCAACAATCAGATCGTGAGTTTGACTACAATCAGGTTATTACTTGGTCCAACTGATTTCACTGTCACTTTGTATTAAATTTCCAGGAGTTTACCCAATAACAGCATCCGCACCATAAAAGGTGGCGCATTCTCCGGTCTCAATCATCTGCAGCGTCTGTAAGTAAAATTTCCTTGTTGTCTGTTTAGCAGTTAGTAAAAAATTTAAACTATGGCAAAAGCAGCAAAAAATACGTCACGGAAAACACGCGATAAGTCGGTGTTACGACTCAGGGTAGGTCGCAACCAAAGTTATCATTGGTCGATATGGTCATTTTTCAGTGAAAATCAAAATTTCGTCACTGTCACAGAATTTTGTTACCGAAAGAAGTCGCTTAAAATCTAACTGGTTCAACTTGTGAGGCTGATCAAAGAATGCCATTTTAGAGTAATCTCGCGACAGTATCTTGCAGAGATCTGTCACACCGGGTATTCGTGTTGTGTGTGTGGTGAGAAATATATTTTTTGTTTGAATATTCGAAGACAATATTTTGTTTTTCCCAAACAAGAGTGGTGAACAATTTAAATAATTTTTTTTATGTTCAATCTCTCTTGATAACAGAGAACTCTCTGGGAACCAGCTGATAGAATGGGAGGGAAATTTCACAAACAGTCTTCCGTCTTTGATTCTCTTGGATTTATCTGGGAATTCCAAGTTCGTTCTTCCGAGCTTTCTGTTCAAATTGCGCATGCTCAAGGAAATTAAGGGAGTGACCTGGAACGACCCATGTGCTAATTGCTCTTTGGTGAAGAACCACACTCTGAAGGAAGGCGAGTTTAAAAACAATGAGGTTAATATAGAGACTTCCGAACTTCGAAAAGGAGATTACCTGGTTGGGAACATGGGACATTGTCGCGTAAACAGACTCGAGGTGAGCCAAGAGGTTGTGGAATATGCAAAACGTGGATTCTTTCCACGATGCCTCGAGATAAAAGCTTGTTTTGACAATGAAATTCGCGTCACCCCTTTACACCGTTGCTGGGACATCGATAACAAAATCTTAAGTATCGAGTTCTTAATCGCACCAATTGCCATGATCCTGAATCTTACAGTGATCGTAGTGACATTAACAACAAGAGTGTTACGAAGGAATGTTACTATGTGTCTAACGAGCAATATGGCTCTTAGCGACTTCCTTGTCAGTCTTTACACACTTATCTTGGTCTGCACAAGACTGAAGCCCTACACAGAGTTTATGTTATTCATGAAGAATCTCTGTAATGCCCTTGGGTTTATTTGGCTCTCCAGCGCAATTGTTAGCATCAAGACGTCGCTCATTCTCACCGTGGAGCGGTATTTGGTAGTTGTGTACTGTATGCAACCCTCATTACGAATCACTCGGAAGATAGCGCTCATCCTTGTGTTAATCACATGGTGTTTGGGCGTGAGCATCGCTGTTTTGCCGTTGGTCAATATTTCTGTCTATGACGGTAATACATTCTGTATTCCTATTCGCCCGATCAAAGACATTCCCCATTCGTATGAGCTGAGTATTGGACTTTCCTTGTGGGGAATAGTCCTGTATTTCATCACCATACCTTTCTACATTAAAGTTTTTAAAACTGTGAAGCAAACGGAAAAAAAGGCGGGAATCAAAAGAGACGGAACCCTAGCAAGGAGAATCGGAGCTTTAGTCCTTAGCAACATGATCTTTTTCTTGGTGCCTATCGTCATCGCGTTTCTGTGGCTTACGACAAACATTCAAGAGGTGATGTCGCCGCAAAGTAGAGAAATCCTCACGGGCGTTCTACCAACCATCCTTTTCAGCTTTAATTCACTTATTAATCCCCTTCTTTACGCCTTCAGAGCAGAAAAATTCAGGAAGGCCATCAAGATTAAGATAGATTATATATGTCTTCGTAAAGGCCGTAGCACGTCGTTGACAAGTTCGCTCTCGGGCAGACTCCGAGGCCCGACAATAAGCTCCAACAATGGCGGTGGAAGTCCAGGCAGGCAAACCCCTGAGTTGAGGACTTCACGCAGTGTGTTAAGCTTGACGAAGATATAGTTTTCCAGTTGAACTGGCAGTCAAGGAAGGAGCTCCCAGAAGGTCAACTTCCTGGTATATCTAGGCGTAAAAATACTGCGACATCACTTACGAAGGACCATCAGGAGAGAATATGCTTTCCTCTCCTCAACTCTCCTCAATTTAAAAGACACAGTAGCTTAACTTATTGAAGACTGGAAATGAGTCTGAACCCAATCCTAGTTAGGTGTGATTCAATAATGAAAAGAACAGGAAAATAGTTAATGATGAAGAAATGTTCTTAAAAAAAAAACGTTTTGAGCTTAATTATAGGTTCCAAAATTGTATTTCGATTGCGAGACTATATCATGTTGGACCCACACTATGCGTTTGGTTTTCTCAATGTTGGATTTTTCTATATACTGATTAATTACAGGTCAAGGGCTTGTAAGGACGTTTCCGTGACAGCACTGTATTGAATGTTTACCCGGTAAAGTATAACTTAGTCGGTTTCTGGCTACTATGCGCTTAGTTTGCACAAACTTTAGATGGAACTGAATACACTAATCTCTATGACAGCAAGGGCAACGAGTTTTCAAGGGGGTGTTAATATATCCAGCGAATTGAATAATTTTGTTAATAATTGTAAACTTGTGCAGTTTACATAGGTTTTCATTGGTCAAGAAACTCGTGCCAGTCTCCAAACCTTTCATTTGGCGAGTTATTACAGTTGAATATCGTTTATGGTAAATTAAGTATCGTTCGATGGACCAATCAGAATTCTTTTTGGGCTATATCGTGTATAAATGTTTGGGTCTAGTCTCCTAAGCAGCCGCACTTTCTTTAGGTCACGCAGCGCGCGCACCACCAATTACGTTGCGTGACATGTGGGAGCTTTGATGGATTGAGAAATAAAACTATTAATCATTGCATGCCATTAATAATCTGATAAATCAACATAATTAGAATTAATTAAAGTAGCATGGAAAAAGTATCATCTAATGGGCTCCTTTTATCTGCTGTTATTTTAAGAATTGAAGATTGGAAATGTGTTTGTCGTCAAGTATTCAGTGGCGCTATTGATACGTTGCAATTAGGGACTGGAGCAAACACACCGATAAATTCTCAAAATTTAATGACATAACCAGTGGTGTCCTAAATAAATAAGAATTGATTTCAATGACAGTAATTTACAGTAATGACATACAAGGTCGATGAAAATCAAACGAAGAAAGGGCAGCAAGAACATGCCTGACGGTTAGAATACTAGTACGAAACGACACTCGAGGAAAAATTCTGACTGATCATAATTGACGCGAAAAGTATTTGATTATACCCATTCCGCGCAGAGGTTGGAGACTAGCAGACCGCTGACCGATATTGCAGCAGGGACAAAAAAAGTACTGTGATTGTTGACTTAAGGCCCAGCGGTGGGAGAGGAGAGGTACTCGTTACTTAACCACGTTTTCTACGGGGACATTCTCCCCTTAGGTTTAAATCAACCTTAACATTTCTATCCACAGTCCAGTATCAGGCGGTCAGTTGTTAAAGTCCCGAATTTGTTTACCCATAATCACTGTAATTTTCAGCTGCATTAGCGGTCGCGGTCATCCTTTACCAGGTCCCTCCGGCCTGTTTTTATCGTTCTCGACCAGCTGTACTAAGGGTCACTAAAATTGGTACCACTCAAGTAATACAAAGAATAATGTTCCAAGTAATTGAAATCCATTTTTCTGTCCAAAAATCAAAGTAAATAGTGTTTTTAAGCGAGTTTTTTGTACATTTAGTGGTAAATTGTATCGAGAATTCTCATTTATTGCATATCTTGAAAGTGAAAGGTTAAAAGACACGCTGTTGGAGGAAATTCTTCTCTTTTCTTTTTTTCTGTCTTTTTGGAGCGATGTCTCTCTTTTCACTCCTCCTTCCTCCCTTCACTTAGCCGGCCTTCACGTCAATTGAATTTTCTGCAGGTTTTGCTTTTTTTTCCCCCACGTATTAGTACACATTACATGTAGTTGAACATGACGTACTAAATAGACAATTTCGTTTCTCAAGGCGGAAGTGTGCAGACCATGTCTACAACGGAAGCATTTGGCTGCTTCTCTCGCAGCCGTTCGATCATTTGAGACACTCTCTCCGTGGTAGATACTTAAGGCAGTCTGAAAAAAGATTTTGACGTACAATGGCAAGTAATCCCCAAGATAACTCCTTACAAACTGCCGATGTAGACTGCAGAACAGACTCTGAGAACGACACTGCAGAAATTACCAAGGCAAGTGACTTGATTTTTCTTTCTCTGTTAATTAACCAAGCATCTATAGATTTGATTGCAAACGTATTGCTCTCTAGTTTTGACAATTTTCAGCTTCCAAGATCAGATGAAAAATATTTAGGGCATTTTAAGTATAAGCCTCTCGTATTTAGAGCCGTAAGTAAATATATCTACAGTGGAACATCACTCGCTCGATGGCTGTCTCCTCCTCGGACGAAAGTAACGAAATTAGAAAATTGAGTCAGTTGCCAGAGGGTTTCGCCACATGTGAATAAGCACGTAAACATTTTTTCCTCTAAGCTGCATCATTAAGTGTTTAAATTTAATCTTAAGTTCGGTGTGTAACATGCATGAGCAGCCTAAAAAAAAATACTTCATCTTTTCGATAAGCTTGTAAGTGCTACTGAAAGCCTTTTTTCAATTTTTGCCGCCAAGTGCCAATCTTTGTTGCGAAAAAAAGGAAATCTCAAGCAATCAATAATAAAAAGATACAATAAAATGAGATAAACAGATAAATCATCTACATTATGTTTTCGTGAAGGATTGTTAGAATTAAAGAAGAGAAAAATGCCAGTAACGAACAGTACGTATAGTATGTTATATTGTAAAGAGGTACGTGAAAATACAGGCTTATGAACTAGCTGGAGGGTGTTATCTTGATGAAACCCAAGTTCTCCAGTCTTGTTTAAGAGAAAATTTATAGCATTCAGTGGGGAGAATTAGTCTATGGATCTTGAGAGTTAAAGCATAAAGATTATCCAAGTCATTATGGTAAAAATTGTGGTAGCTTAAGGTTGTGTGCTGTTATCAGTAAAGGGTCCCAGGAAGTTTAAGCCACACCCAGGTGGTTTCCCTCAGAAACTAGGGTTTATATTAACCCTTTCACTACCAAGATCTCATTGGTAATTCTCCTTACTGTCCTCCATACAATTCTTATGATATGAGCTTGGAGAATTTGATATTAGATCAACTAACAATCCCCCAATATATATTGTCTTTATTCTCATCTCAATGTCTGCCTGATATTACAGTTTTGATATTGTAAGGAGAAATTCTATCTCGGTCACTTCTGGGAGTTCAAGGGTTAAAACTCTGGTATTTTAAAATGCTAGTCTACCCCATTCTCTTCATGGGGTTTATTCCATTACAGTTTGGTGACAAAGGGTTTTGCTTATGTCATCAACTGAAACAATAATTTTTAAGATTTCTCATTTCAATCTCTGTAACAGCCTGTTACTGCCAGCATCTCAGTTGAACAAGAGTCTAAAGACACTGATACCAGCATGCAAAATGCTAACAAAGTAGAATCCTCCAATGTGGCTGAGTCACAGGAAGGTCAATCTTTAACAGAACAACAAGATGAACAAGCAACAGACCCACCCATTTCTTTCAATGTCAAATCTTCTTTGAACAAGAAGGACTTGGTGGATCGTATCAAAGGTGTCATTTATGGAAACTGTATCGGAGATGCTATAGGACTTTTAACAGAGTTTATGACTAAATCTGAAGCTGCAGAGGTAAATTGCAACTCAGCAAATAATGTCTCTATATGTATGTATAAAATATGTGTATGTCTGTGTGTGTGTATGTATGTATAATTAGGTATACCTGCAAAACTTCCAGTCAGAGTGAAATGCAAATGAAATTTTTCTAATCTTTTTTACCCATATTTCTGAAAATCCAACCATTTCTGAACACTATCAAAGATTTTTCAAGGAAGGGGAAGCCATATATCTTGGTGTCATCTTGAAAACCAAGGTTTTATCTTATAAGGTCTCTTTCTGATTGCCTCACATGCCTCACGTGTTAACCATCAGTATGTATATTCTCCATACTGCTCTCTAAACATTTATTTGATACTGATAAGGAGAATTTGTTTTTATCAAACTGTTGGGAGTCAACCTCCTTTAAGTGACAACTTTCACCTTATTTTGTTATAATTAAAATAAATTTCAAATGAAAAAGCAAAAAATCATTACTTGAGGTAAAGTTGTGAAATTGGAAAATTGTAACAGAAAATAGTCGAATCAAAGAAAGAGTTTAAAAACTTAAGTGGTAAATCGGAGAATATTAACCCTAAATCAGATATGCCATTCCCTCTATCTAGCCATAATTGCACTTCTCTCCTTTCTTCATCTCCCTAGACTCTATTAGTCAGTAATAAGCCTTTATTCTTGTATGATTCTTACAGATTTACAGTGATAGAGGCATTGTAAATAAAGTCAAGGGATATTTCAGTACAAGTCAGAACAGGATACATTTGGAATATGAAATGAAGAACAATGATTCTCATCGGTGTAGATGGGAAACTGGAGACTGGACTGATGACTCAGATCAAATGATTTTGATTTTGCTGTCTCTGTTGGACAACAAAGGAAAGGTTAAAAATTTTAACATTAATACAGTCATATGATCCTCTAAATTTGGGCTGGTTTTAGAAGGAAACTGATTACAAATTAAATCCTTCTGTACTGAGTGCCAGTGACCTTCTTTGAATATGGAGTGGAAGCTGTACTGGCCTTGTGGTTTAAGTGCAGCTTGCACATTGGGCTCCAGACCAAGAACTCTGGGTTTGACCCTTTGTGACATCAGTGTGGGGTGCTCTTGGACAAGACATTGCACTTGCACATTGTCCCTCTCTTATTATATTATATTAAATTATATTGGGCAGTAAACTGTCTGGAAACTTGATAAAATGCTAGGAGGGGGGCAGAGGGTATCCTGCAAACCTCCATGCAGGGAGGGGGGAGTAATCCTCCTAGTCACCTCATACTGTAACAACCGGGATAAGAGATGGACATTTGTAATCAGTGTTGGGGGAGGTTGGGCAAAGGTAAAATAAAACTAATTTTAGTGTAAAATTGTTTGACGAAATAAATATGCCCACACACTTCAACCAAACAAAAAAGGTTACCACTTAGGTGTATGAAATAAAACCACATCCAAGATGATGTGGTCCATCTTGAAGCTCTACTGCAAAGGGCCCCCCCTGGTCCAAGTGAAGACTCTAAGACATAAAGAGCTGTAGAGTGACTGAGGTAAACCACCTTAAAAGATAAAATATGTGAACTATATTTGAATACTGATTGGGAGTGTTGGCTGTTTTATTTTTTGCAGATGGTCCCCCTTGATTTTGCCAAAAAAATGAAATATTGGAGCAGGAAGGGTTTTCCAGAGCTGGGTGATATAGGTGGAATGGGAATTGGCAGCACTACATACCGTGTTTTACATCACTCTGACTTCCTTACTGATCCACACAAGGTACAGATGAATAATCATGAAATAGTCAGGAAGTTGCCCTGGCCTGAGTAATAAACCCTTTCATCCTCAAGATCACATCAGTAACTCTCATTACTGTGTGCCATACAATTCTTATGATGTTAGTTCTGAGAGTTTGGTATTGGATCAACTGATGATCTCCCAAGTGATAGTTTTCTTTATTCGCATCACTTGTCTGCTTGATTTTGTATTGATATTGTAAGGAGAAATTCTGTGTTGGTCACTCATTGTGGTTTTAATGTTAACAAAGGTCTCGAAAACACAAGCCAGCAAACTATTTCAGAGCAAACTGGCATCACTATGTGCGATTGATACAAAATAAAGATGAAAATTAAAGAACAAGCTGCTGAGGCATCATGGTCTTACGTATCTACAGAAAAACGTACAACTGCGGAATGGACTTAACAACTGGTTGAGGAATAGCCTCAACAATGAAACGGCGGTGTCATCTATGCGTCTGTCCCCTAATAGATCACGAGGAAGAGACGGAAAAGGGGTGGGGGGGAGGGGAAATTTTAGCTTCTCATATAAACTTATCGTTTATCCTCTGCTCTTTGCTCTCAGGCAGCCGAGTACGTTTGGGATTCTTCAGGTCGCTTTGTAGCTCCAAACGGAGGTGTCATGCGCACTTCAATTCTAGGAGTCCATAACTTTGGTGACATTAATGCAGTGATAGAAAACACCAAGGCGGCTTGTAAAGTTACCCATGCAGACCCAAGATGTATTGCGTCTTGTGTCGCTGTGACAACAGCCATTGCAATGATGTTGCAAGGAAAGTACTTTGTGGAGGAGTCTGGAAGCTATGACGTTGAGGCATTGATAGAGACGGCTTGTGGTTATGCCAGTGCTACACTTGAAACTGAAGAGCAGGTAATTTTCGATAATTTGTTATGGAGCACCTCGAAGAAGCCTCGTGAAAGCTGGTGGGAAATGTAACCGTTGCGTATCCTGATTTTCATATAGTGCTTTATGCTAACCATTGAAGGAATAACTAACGGGCTGTTACCGTAGCTTAAAGGGGGTAAGTTTATAAAGAAACTGTGGTGCTGTGTCGGTGTGAGAGTACAACAAGATAATTTAGTTTTATTAACTGAGTTGATGAAATTAACTGGCCACCTTAAAGACTCTAAAGATGACGTTTGAAGCAGTAGCCCTTGGTCAGAGCGACTAACTTTATTCAGCCCTCAGACAACCAGGGTATGCACTCCAATTTGTGCAATTTGCCATTGTCCAATTAAACACTCCTACCAGCTACTAAGGCTTCGTGGTTCTGTGGTGAACAGATGCGAGTTCCCTGAAGTACGCATGCAAGCAAAGAGTTAAACACTCCTTCCCTAAGCAATGCTGCCTATAAAAGCGTCTCCGAACCTCACGCTCGGCTTTCTTAGTGACGGCTATTCAGGCCTCTCTTGAAAGTGTTCCTCTAAATGTGAATTGTACTCTCCAAACCACTTCATTTTTATTTCTGGCACTTAAAAGTATATATGAAATTATTACTCTAAATGCGTTCTGAGATTCGTTGGAGTAACTAAAAGTGGGAAATGTAGAGAATTGACTTCCAATTAAGTGCCAATGAGGGAGGGAGGGGGTAAGAAGCAAGTCACAGAGCGCAATTGGTTAATCAGGTAATATGCTCCGACCCCCACTCCCCCGGCGACTTAGAGCATCAGCACGTTGCTTGTCAGTTGGTTAAAACCAGAGTGATGACCTTGTCTCGTAAATTGGTTTTTAGGAAGAGGGTTTGAAAAAGCACGTGTTTGCTAAGTCATTGGAAAATCTACAACTTGACGAACATGGCAAAATAGGCTACACTTACAAATGCTTAGGCGCTGGAATTTGGTCATTGAGGCGAGATGATTTTCGTGCTGCTATTGAGGATGTGGCATTTGAGGTACGTCTGACGCCTGGAAGCAATCAATATCTTATTGAATTTTTGTTGTTAAAAATTATCGTTTTGATGAGTGCAAATGAATTGTAGTTTCTACGGAGACTTCTGAATTGCTAAGGGGAGTATGAAACATCCTCTTACTTTACGAATATTGTGTCTCTATGTGTAAAATATTTTAATCTACTACTCATACCACCACTTTACTTAGTTAAGAGAACTTTGGGAGTTTGTAAGAAAAATGCTCACGATACTCAGAAATTTTATGAGTATCTTTGAAGATACTGGTGCGATTTTATTTGATATGTATATGAGAAAGTCATTTAAGCGTAAATCTTGATTTACTGCAAAATTCAGTCAAGGTTAAATCAACACGTATTTCTAACTGGTTCTGTATATTTTCTTTTTTCACGCACTAAATTACGGACCTACATTTCTTCTCAGGCCGGAGACGCTGACACAAATGGCGCTGTAGCGGGGGCGCTGTTAGGCTGTAAACTGGGTGCCAGTAAACTGCCGGAGTCTTGGCTCAATGAATTGCTAAATAAAGCGTGGCTAGATGAGAAGATTGAGAGGTAAGTAGTACATAATGGAATTGCTGAAAGGTTCTGAACACTTTTAAAATAGAGCCCACACAATGCAAAGAAATTGCTGTGTATTTCAGGCAATAAATCCCTCACAATAAATCTCGAATGGTGTACACGTGGAACAAGACAAGCGCGATCAGACGCGCGATGAGACACGCGTGCTACTATAGCTGGTGCAGTACGTCACGTGCGATGTCACGTGAAAAGTGCAATTAATAAACTGACTAAGCTGATAACATTTGATAAATCATCACAAATACTTTCGAAAATGTCTGTAATATAAATCTTTATAACTGTGTCAATACTGCTGTGTATACGGGGATAACAATTCGTGCCTTACATAGGACGCGAAGTGGACTGTTCCTAGGAGCGCGGCTTACTAAGCTGCGAAGTACTCTTACAAATGGCTCTCGGTTGCGCGGGTGGTGGCGAGCGCGGGAAAAACGCACAAGCGCGGGAAAAATTGCGCTTGCACAGTGTAAGTTTGCGCCTTACTTAAGCCGCGATGCCATTAATACCAGTGGTTTCGCATCTAGTAAAAGCTGCGGCTTGTTAAGACGTTCTCAATTCTTCCCATCCTACATAAGCTACGGCTTTGAAAGTGGGAATGTACCATTTTATACTGTGAGTTTGCGTCTAATGTATACTGAGGATTGTTGTCCGCGTAAAATCGGCCCTAATGTTGTAAACCTTGCTTATTACACTTAGTTGGCGTAAAGTCGGCGGAAAGTAACGTTATATCATTTATATATATATATTTTTTTACATTTTCAAACAAAGTAATTTTACCTTTTTTAGGTTCCTGGCTCTACTTGGTCTGAGTGAGTGAAGAATGAAAAACAGCGCCTTATTTGGCACTTAAAATCCAATTTTAGATTCTCTTCAAAAGTACTTCATATTAGATCCGAGCAGATATTTCTAAAATTTAAAGGGGATATGTTTTCTTAACTTTTGACATAATATTTTTTTTGTTTTTGGATTATTATGGAATGCGCATTGATACTATTAATATGTTGATTTGCGCAGTATAAGCCCGAAATTATTATTTACATTTCAAATTTTAACTTATAGGTGTAAAAAATAAAGAGATTAGTGCCTGTGCTAGAAAATCAAACAGTTTCAGCTTCATGTTAATGTTCTAACACACCTGCACACCCACACACACCCACCCCCTCTGAGAAGTATTATGACAGAAGTCATCAAATTCAGGTAACAGTTTAAGTATGTTCCCTAAAAATGGAACTAAAAGTGCTAGATTACTGGAGGACAAAATACGTATGTTGAGCACTCCCAAATATATATGGAAATGTAGTTAGTGTATGAATATATTAATAAAACTCTGGACGTAACCCAAAGGCAAGTATTAAGTCAAATAACTTTTCCTCAGTTCAGAAATTCCTCAGGTGAATTAACGACAGTCACCCGAGAAAGCAAAAGGCAACCTATCAAGATTGGTGCGTAATGAAAAGATGGCGCGCAAGGTAAAAGAAAACGTAGACATAGGCGCATAGAGGAAAAAAAGAAATATAAATTATAGGCGCAAGAGAGAAGAGGCAATTCGAGGAAAGGCGCAAAAGGGGACACATTCTTAGGAAAGAGTGCACGAAAAAGGAAACTTTTTAAGGTCACGTTCATTCCATGTTAGCCTCAAGAAGCGCGAGAGAGTTGGGGACGAGTCACAGTCGCACGTGACAAAGGGTACGACGAGAAGGCAGTTATGCCCAGGCTTCCTTTCGGGAAGACTTAGGAAAAGTCAGTCTATGTGTAAGAGACGCGAAATAGAGAAACACACAGCAAAGAACCGTTTTATTTTTATTTTTCTTGCTCAAGCTACTACAGCACTTAATGGTGCTACGTAAATATATGTGTTTACATCTTGACGCACTGCTCAAGAGGAATCTTAATGCCTGGGAAAATTGTAATCTCTGTAGTCTTCTGGCATACTAATCCATCCATACAGCCACAGCGATGTAAATCCTGAAAAAAGGAACACATCCAACAACCTTTTCATGCGATTTACGAGGCGAATCAAAGTCAGAGGCGAAAATATTCTAGAATAAGGCTAGCCGTATTTGTGCGTGCGCACTGTAGATGACTTAAAAATGATACCATAAGTGTGCGTTGGATATAAGATTGTAAATCGCCAACCAAGATTATTTGTTGGTCATGAAAAAGACTAATCGTAATAGGTTTTCCTCTCTATGTATAATGTGTCATTTTGTGTTATTGTGGATTAACCGTAACTGTAGACTTGCTAAAATTATAACCGTTAGCCGTAAAAGCCATCACCCCAGTGAGACCCCTAACAATTAAGGGTGACGATGAGAGAAGATTTAAAGAGATTGCAAAGAAAGCCCAGGTTTGCATTTAGTACCTTGAAGTTGCAGGCGCCGTCTTCTGGGATTTTAGGGAGACAGCGCTGGATCACAATTGGACAACAGAAGTTTGGGGCGCAATCAACGTCGGATTGACATTTCTAGTTTACAAAACAACAAAAGTGAGCCTCATACTCAATTGTACGGTAGGATCTGGGTTTAATATTACCCTACATTAATAAATAGTTACCGTCAAACGTGCCGTTCAAAGTGAGTGTGGGTTCTTCCAGGAAAGGAGCTGTTGATGTAGTCTTTATCAGTTCAAAATAGCGATGATTAGTTAAGTTTTTGGCTTGTATTGTTTGATTTCCATTGGAAGGTAAACTGTCATTTAATCTTTATTCTCTTCCCCTGAAATCGATATCATCTCGCACAATAGAGAAACACGACTGTCTCTGGGAACGAAACTTGTGGTTGGGGGTATGGTACCTTGAGTCCAAGGTTCGTCCATACTTTCACCTAGTCGTCCCTTTTTTTTCTACCCACAAAGGAATCTGGGACGGGGATTAGGGTGCGCTAAGGCGCTTGGGAAGGAGAGAGAAAAAGTGGTTCAGTTTTGCTTTCTCCTTCCGTCATTCCCTTGGTGGAACACGAGCCCGCTTAATCCTTCCCATCAATCACTTCACGAATAAGGAAAAGCGACTGGGTACGAGTCTGAGGCTCGTCACCAGTGCTGATCCACTTTGCGCTTATTCCCCAGGATGTGTTTGCGAACGCCTTGGGAGGCGGCTGGTTTCAATTCCTTCGTATCGCAATGATCTGAAGGAAGATCATTTATTTCATATGGGGTGGTAGACACCCCTCTTAGCTTCGCTCCAGTTACCGTGATAATTCCCAAGAAACGCTTGACTCTGTAAGCTGCGTTTGCTGCATTGTTCTGCTCCTCGGGGTCCACGTTGATGGTCTCGATATTAATCTTCTCATCATCTCCCATGCATTGCTTGACTGGAACAGTTTTGCCATCCACGATCATTTGTTTGGTTAATCTGCACGAGAGTCCGGATTGGCAAGAGCAATCAAGCCCCTGTGGAAGAGAAAATAAACCGCAATCAAAGCTCATTAGAACAGGTGTCGCGAAACCGATTCATACGAATCAGTGCGCCACGACGGCCATTCGCGACCCAGGAAAATATCCCAATGAGAAATCAAAGTAAATTATTGTTAGCGGTCTGCAGCGCGGGAAAGCAGAAGTGTTCAAATTGCGATTAGTTTTACCTTTGGTTTTGATTGGTTGAGGAGATGGTGGGAGTATTTTAGACCAATCATAGAGCGATGTGACGCATCACCAATGTCGACCTGATTATGTGCAGTTTCTTTTTTTTTCTCGAAGAAGAAGCAAATTCATGAAAATTCCATTTACTATTCTAAGACGATTACCCCCATTTTCAAACTCACCTTATTGTTGCAAGCCTCAAGCCTCTTGAGATTTTCACATGCCTGGAAAATGATGATAACACGAACAAATTTTTTATGGAGATAATTTGGCCACCGTAAAGAGTTTCGAGCCTAGCCCTTCGTGAAAGTCAAAAGCAAATATCTATATTGACAATAAAACCTGTTGCACTTTTGAAAAATCAGCAGATCAAAATGAAATATTTTACTTCAGTCCTATTTAAATATTTTGTTGTTAGATATGAATTAGCACGTGATAGAAAAGAAATGTTGCAATCTACAGGTTTCGCATCTTAAAGGAAAAAAAAATTTTTTCAATCTATCTGTAATGATAATTTATTTAAGTCTATGTTCATTTTGCTTTTTCTTAAATGTTTAGGTTTCCAAAGTCTAAATTAGATTTTTTAATTCTTGCGCACGATTTGTTCATCATAGGCTGTTATTCGATCATCACTATAGAATGTGAAAGGGACGGATCTTGGCGGTTGTTAGTATTAAAGATATCCAGCAGATATTGTGGCAAAAAAAAGGGAAAATCATGAACTAAGTCTAAAGCAATCATTAGTTTTACGCTTCACAATTAGTAAAGTCTGACATAAAATGATCCAGAAACTTACCGCAGAAGCAAGGGCAAAGCAGATACTTAAAACAACAAAAATCTTCATAATTTCTGACTTGAAGAAATCAACGTAGGGCTTGATCTTGTTGAGAAATTCGCAATTGGTAGAGATAAGCTCTGAAAACTGTATATATAGCTTTCCGTCTCAAGACACAAAGTTGTGCGAGTGTTTTTAAATGCTAAGTTCAAACGAAAAAAAATTTCGGTTTGAAATGAAGTTTATACAACTGCCTGGAAAAAGCTATCATAATTTGATATATCAACAAAACTTTCTCGCAATAATTTAATAACTTCATTGTTGTATTTTGTCACAACACACGCCTTTCAGAAACCTTCTCATTACACGACGTTAAAATGTGTTAGAAAATTGAGCGCTTGGTATATTCTTTATATTTTCGGTAGATTTCTCAACCATTTTAAGCCTTCGGTGATATTAAGCAAGGAAACTCTTCACAAAACAAGAACTTGAAAAACAAGCACTATAATTTTTACAAGAAATATTAAAAGATAAATTTAATAAACACTTTTATCAGCTGGGAAAATTCAGGTCTTGCCTTCAAAGAAACCGACTTTAAATATACGTTGTGATATAAAGATAATTTTTTCTTGTTTTTACTGTTTATACTCAAATTTGTCATGCAATTGAGGATCAATACCATTTTGTTGACATTATCTAATAGCAATTTTGTCAAATCTTTGGTAAGTTGGCACAGATGTGTAAAACAGTTTACTTTTGAAACATTATTTGTTATCAAAAATTTCAAATGTAAATATTCATGATCAGCGATTATGATATGTAAGGCCATCCTTCGAAAACAGAACGGTTCTCTGAATTTTTAGGGATTCTGCGGCCAGAAATTTCATATTTATATCAGTCACACCTCCTTCTCATATATAAAAACATGCTTGGTCAAGTGATGGGTTTGCGTAGCCAATCAGCTGTTACATCAGTGCATCGCTTTATCAAACTTCATATGCTCCCTTTTGAAAATTATCTCTATCTGTGTTATGGAGGAAAAAGATTTCTGACGAATTCCTCCGCTAGGACAGAAGCCCGAAAGACAAGATTGAAAGGGTATTCCGGTTGCTACTGTAGCTAAAAATTGCCCTTGCCCATTTTGGGTTGAAACTCAAATGCGCACGCGCAGAAACGAAAATTGCACGAAACATTTTTCATTGCTCTGAAACATAAACCACAGTTCATGCTATCGGTGGGAAGGAAATAATCAGGCCTTTTTTTGGTTTAACACATTTATTTTGGGTTTAACATCCAAATTTTCTCTATCAGTGTTTACTCATCCACAACTCAAGCCAAGCGCCATTTTAGGCATCCATACACTGCCTAAGGGAGAGCTTCGTTCCTGTGATAGGAAGCGTGATGTGAGCAGTCTCCTTACATTCTAGTCCATCTGCGCAGCCGCACTTGTGTATGCCCTACAGAACAAACAAAAAGCATAATTCTATTATATCACAAGTTTAAGGAGGAAACATTTTTTTGTAGTTGCTATGAACCTTGTTGCCATAGAATCAATATTGTAAATTGTGAAGTCAAACGCGAGAGAAACTCATAAAGAACGCGTTCTGCTGATTACTCGACCCAGACTTCGCGCAGAGAACGAATTCCACAGAGAAGCCAAAATTATCAGCGACCAGTTATAATTTATTGCCTGAGTGGGGGAGGGGGAGAGTAAGAGAGTTTGTTAGTTTGTTTTCTATTGGTGACGATTGATCCCCCTTCCCTTCCCCTTGAAAACCATGTGATCCTCCCAAACATTCTCTACCCCCCACCCAGGAGATAAAATTTGACCGGTTTCAATACGTAAGGAATAAAAATCCTATTAATGTTATCACTTACCGTTAAAACGCAGGTGAAGAATTTCTTGAGTTTTGGAACACATCGCTTATTGAAAGCGCAGCATCTGTTGTAACTGCAATCTTCTTCGGTGAGGCATCTCTAATTTATGAAGCAAAGAAAATTTCGTGACGAATTAGCGCTGCTCCAAATGTTTTTGTTCAAGCCAAGTTTCAAACTTACGTTGAAGAATAGCCAGCGCTTTATCCTCATGGGTGCATCCGCTGCCTGGTTATCAAGGTCGATGGACTCCACTTCGATATCCACATCTCCCGGCATGCACTGCTTGACGGGAGTCTCGATTCCATGTTCTATCACTTTCTTCGTGAGAACGCAAGAAAGACCATCCTGGCAACTACAGTCTCCTTCCTGGGCACAGAAGAGGAGATGCGAGAGAAAAAAAAGAAAACAAAAAGAATCTCAGCATATGACCTATACTTCAAGAAGGACTCGACATATCGTTCGTCGTATGAAGAACGAGCTCAACGAAGAAAAGTGTTAGGAAGGCCTTTTCTGTGCCTTGCGTTGTTTCTCTATCTTGGAGGCATCGGTTTTTGTTGTCTTGCACTTTGAAGGTACAATTATAAGTCGCAGAAAAATGGCGCAAAACTATTGTAACCTGGGTCGCTAAGGATTTACTTTTTTATGGTGTTACTGGGCAGGACGCTTCAAAATACAGGTCTCTTCGTGACAACTATATGAACCTAATCCGAGATAGAATTGTTGGTAAGTTCCTAAGAGCTGAAGCTAACAGACTTCTAAAAGACAACCCTAGCCTTAATGGTATTGAAAAATCTAATTTCATCTGACTTATACGTTTACTCACCGGTTTGTTGCAAACTGAAAGTTCAGGAAGTTTTGAACATCCCTGTAAATTAATAAATATGTACAAATAAGTGTGTGGAGGGACTGGAATGGGAAATTTACCAACCAGGATCAAACAAAAACAACAACCAGAACAGAACAAGTAGCATAACCATTTTCCAAGTTTGCCCAAGTTTCAAAAAGAGTTCGTTTTACCGGCTTTTTTCCAGTTTTCCTCGAATGACTTCGTAAGATAAAATGGACAGAGTTCAAACGTTAATTGAATCTCTATAAAGCATTTAAAAATGAATTATTTACAGATTTAGTAAAGAAGAAAAAAACGCGTTTTTCTTACAAATATTCTGATGCAGTTTGATAGAATCAAGCTCAGTTTTAGCGGTATTTGTCTAAAATTGATTTAACAGATGATGCAGAAACATATATCATAAATTCCTCGAAACTCACCAAAGCAAGTGAAATGCTTAAGCTCAAAATCAGGATAATAGTCTTCATGTCTTCCCCGCTTGACTGGAAGAGCCTAAAGTATAGAAAGATTTAGTTCACACTCTAATGGGGCATTCTGACTGAGACGTTGTTTTTTATACTTCACTATTTTTAAAACAATCTGAAGGACAGCATTTTCACAGGAATCATTCAAAAGCAAGAGTTTTTTAAACATCGTGTGTAAACAAAAATTGTCAATGTAACACTGTGTTTTTCCAACTGTTTGTTACGCACACAACGAAGGGGTCATCGAAACGTAAGCGTTTGGAACCGTTGATGTCAGACAAGTGTTTTGCATCGTGTCCGCGCATAATAGTATTATTTCATGTGTCGTAAGACAAAATTAACATTGTAAGGTAGTAATCGACACCTTCTGCTATACAAACACATCTGTATATTGGAAAAAAGAGTCCTTTGCACGATAACCTTTGCACCGACTAAAGGTTGTTTAAGCCAAATACCGAAATCCATGGACTGCACTTCAAAGTATCAATCCATATCGAGGAGGTTTTTTTTTGTAATGTCAAGTAATCCAAATGTCTTCATCTGCTTTTTCCTTTTACTCTTGGTACAGAAAACATACTGACAACCAATATCTCTAAAGTAGTGATCATGAAACCTTCCGTGAACATTGTCGAAAACAGCACTCAAAAGGTCTATGAAACGAGATTTAAGTTTGCGCAGAAGGATGTAAAAGATACAGAATAAAGGGAAAAAACGGTACTTGCTCAAGGTGATACATCAATTCACATTCTCTTGTCTTCGTATCTGTCTTGTATAGTTTTATCTTTTCATTTTTGCAGCATAAAAATGAAAACGAGAATTTGTTGCCACCAAACAAAGGGAGTGTACAACGTTCTCTAAAAAGAAGGAAAAGTTTTTTTAAGAAGTAGAACTTTTATTAAAACATTCAAAATGGAGCGAAAAACTTCTTTTTTTCATCTGAAATAGAGTAGAGGATTTATGAAGCATGCAGCATACCCGCCTCCACCTAAAATATCCAGGAGTACCCCCACCCCCAGCCCCCTCGACCACTGGTTTTGCTGTATATGCTGCACGCCTACAGCGGATTTTTTTAAGAGTTTACTCACCCCTACTCCTCAGCAAGTGCGTCTGGCAAACAATGTTTTAAAACTCTACGCTGCGTTTCGCTATTGTACCTTTCAACACAAAGTTTTGGTGTGTAAAGCTAAGAGGACTGAGTACAAATAACACACGACTGAGGTGGCATTGCAGCTGAACAACTTTGCACTGTTTAGAGACGCATTTTGCGAACATACACAATTTCCCAACACTAACAAACATAATACGTTCTCCCAAAGTGCTTTACTCACCACGCAGTTGAACAAGCTTCATTTCATTTTAGTTTAAACTTGATGTTTTAAAATACTTATCCCCGCTTTGCAGTCCTTGAGTAAACTGCAAAACATACCACTTCAGGCTTTTTCTCGAAAACTTTAAAAGCAGGGCACAAGGGTCTCTAGTCACAATTTGTTTCATCAAGACTATAGTCTCTCAGTTGTGAGCGATTCTTCCATTCACTCAAACTCAAGCCATGAAGATCTTTATTTTGCTGAGCCTTTCTGTCACTCTCACTTTGGTGAGTTTTCAAAAGTTGAAACATTTCATTTCGACGGGTTTAATAGTCTATCCTTCCTCTTCAGTAGAATGAAGAGAACTATTAATTCATATTTCCAACCAAATCACGCGTTTTGCGAACTTTATTTGGAGAGCCAATTAAGATGCATTTGTTTCTTTCAGGGATGTTCAAATCTTCCTGAACTTGCAGCTTGCAACAGAGAGGTGAGCCGAAATTTTATCTTTCAGGGCGTTGATTGATATTTATGGTAATGATACTGATAGTAACTTCGTATGACTGCGAAAATTTTAATTGAGTTATCAAAAGTGTTCGGGAGTCCTTGCTTCTGTTTAAAGTTTGCTCGGTGATTAGTCCAGAAAACTCCCGTTTCAGTCTTAAGAACTGAATTAGACTCAAAGCTTAAAAGTGATGCGATGGGGCTCTTCCTTTCAAATTTTCGTGAAGCAGGGCCCGTCCCACCGCCACCTAAGCTTCTGCCTCAAGGTTGATACAGTATTTTTGTCCAAGAGGCTGTTAGTGCGGGCGTGTCTGTTCATATCGCATTAGTTACACTCACGTCACGTGATTCTTCTACCAGGAGGGAGACTGCAGCTGTCAAACCGGCTTGTCCTGTGTTCTGACCAAAAAGTTGATCTACCAAGGACAAATGACAGACGTCAAACAGTGCATGCCAGAGGGGATGGAGATTGAAGTGGAAACAGTCGATCTTGACGAGGAAGGTGCCGTTGCTCCCATGAAGAAGAAACGCTTTTTGTTTAATGGACTCCTTAAGGTAGGACGGATTGGATTGAATTAACTATATTAAATATAGAGTCATACTTCGCAATTGAGTCTTTTCCTCTTAAGATTGTAAAACGGCTTTAAAAAAAAACTAGGGAAGGCCAGGAATTACACTGAACGAGCGTTAAGCACGTGAAAAACACATGAAAATCACACGGAAAGCACGTACAAAGCACGTGTACGAGTCGCAAGTAGTTATAGTTTCAGTTGTGTCTAATTGCTCTATAAGATTAAGGAATGTTAAATCCGTTAAATTCACTTAATGATAAAGATATAGTTCGTTCTTGTCTTAAACTTCGAGTTCAATGAATGTTACTATTGTTTTGTAAAAACAGAGATGCACAACTCAAACTGACTGCGGAGAAGACCAGTGTTGTTTGTTCAACAAAAGGTGCGCTCCAAAACTTCGGAAGTACTTCACATGTTATTTAACGGTTAGTATAAAAATGATGGTTGGCATTATTTCGTATAGACCAAGCATAGTATGAGCAAAAACATGGGTGATATGAGTTACAATCTCGTTAAGACTATTTTTATCTTTGTTATTATTTTCAGAGTCCGTCTTTATCATGATTTTTTATGTAAATAATTTATAAATAATAACATGATTTCGAATGCAATTTGGTGTAAAGAAGCACTTATAAATTGTTCAAAGATTACTCATTCCACTAGCCTCACAGGTTCGTGCAATTTTATTGTCTTTGAAAAACCTTTGCTCGTGCTTATTAACACCAAATTGCACTCGAAATCGTTTTATTACCAATACTAATCATTTTATCATTTTCATTATCGTTTTTATTACCATTTTTTATCATAATAATCATAACTATTATCTTTATCTTATTTATTTTTCCAGCACCTTCACAAGTGCGGTTGCCTTGATGGCCTGGTTTGTACCGAAACAGCCTCCTTCACCATTCCTCTGACTGGGATCAGGGTTGCCCTGAGGCAGTGCATGTAACTCGTACCAGCCTCTTGATCCAGACAAAGTAATCATCAGATGGGAAGACAAAACTAAACATGTAACGCTTAGAAGCATTTAACTGAATGAAATAAAGAAAGTCTTCAAAATGACTTGGAAAACTATTTGCTGAAGTCCGATTAACAAAGACTCTTTTACTTAGAACACTTTATTGACCTGCAGCCTAAGATCAGAACTCGATCGATCTTTTTTTTCGTTTAGCAAACTAAAGGCGAAAATAGTAAATTTGTATAGGCTACCAGTCATATAGTTCTGCGAACTTTTTAACTAATTCTCTCCAAAAACAATTAAAGCCAAAATCGTATATTTTAGAATGCAACTTATGACATCATAGCTCGTTACCATGACAGCATATTCGAACCAAACTCGGGCAGGAAAATGAGGAACAGGTGTTGATATCAAAGCAAACTGGGAAGTAAAGTTTGCTGCATAAACGAAAGAAATAGAGGAGCAGATGTGTAACAGAAAAGCACACTCACTAGATATTTTGATTTTTAATCAGGCAGGGGTTCCAACTAGGATTAAAAAAAACACGAGAAAGCTTTTCATGGAAAATTACATCTCAAATAATGTACATGAAAAAATTACTCGATACGAACCATAGCACCCACCATATTTCAACCATTTCTTATCGCTTAAAAGGTAAACTTTGATTGATGAAATAACACACACTGTTAACTTTTTCACACCCATGAGTAACTAAGACAGAGTTTCTCCTCGCAATATTGATATAATATCAAGGAACAAGTGATGAAAAGAAAGAAAAATATCAATTATGGGATTATTAGTTGATCCAATACCAAATTCTCAAAAGCTTGCATCATAAGAATGGTATGACAGACAGTAAGGAGAATTACTTAGAAGATATTGGGAATAATAGAGTTAAAATTCACGGTCTCGTCCAGCAAATTGGCTTTCCATTTTATGTCAAGCAGCTGAAAAAGTCGTAGATACATTAATTCAAAAGACCAAACGTCTCATAAAATCTTCAAGATTTATATCATTCAATGGTTATGAAATGTTCGCCGTGTAAAAGGCCATAATTTGCCTGTGTGTAAACAATAGACTTTCCTCGTATTATTCCATTCGTCGAAGATTTGTCCAAGGACTTTTTCAGCATCCTGTAATAGACACTTAAGCATATTATTTACACTAGCACTAACAACTTAATGCAATAATGTTGGTTGAGCTGTGTTTGTAGACATACACTGTGAACACACCCATAAGTCGTACTGAAGTATTTACAAATCGTAGAGCAACCAATTTGAGAAGTTTGGACCAGAAAAAAAGATTAAAGAAAATTTCCCCATGCACATAAACAACTGTTTAGTGAAGCGCGCTCTGTAAAACATTCAAAATGCTCTCTATAACAAATGGTTTCTTTTGTGTCATTTCTCTAATTCACCATGAAAATTTAAGGCAGGAATGTTACTGAATTGTAATTGTATTTGATATATTTGCCGTAGCTTTCAACATTCAGGGCAGAAAATGTTTATTCTGCTGAAAAGAACATATTGCAAATATTTCAGAATGGGCTCTGTATGTTTTCTCTAATCCTTTCAACAAACAGCTAAGCTAATTCTTATTTCACATGGGCAGTTTTTGTTTGAACGTGTTGTTTAAAGACACTCACATTATTAGTAATGTTGTAAAACCTACTACTTACTCAATGTGCCTCAAAGCTATAAAAGAGACAAGACAGCAGATCACGGCACTCAACTTTACCAGAAGTTTACTTGGATCTGAGAATTTCTATAAATTGTTTCACTGAAGTCATGAAGATTCTCATCATTTTGAGTTTTTGCGCTACAGCTGCTTTGGTAAGCTCACAGCAACTTGCAAAAATAATTAGGTTAATTTCCTTAACCCGTTACCTCTCAAGATCCGTTGTCAATTTTCCTCTCTAGCTGCTCTACATTTCCTTGAAAATTATTAACGAGAATTTGGTGCTACATGTAGACCAAGATAACAACTTCTGCCTGATAAGTTTGAGAATTCTCATTACCTGTTTGCGGGATAATGTAAAGATATTATAGGGAGAAGTTACATGTTAATCACCTCTGGGATTTTCAATACATATTTCCAGTAAGGGGAATGTACTCTCTCTCCTAAAGCGGGAGAGGTTTTGAAACAATTCTGTTGGAGGCGTCACAGCAGTTACTTTTTTTGTGTTATTAGAAGTAAATGTTTTATTTCTTTTTTCTGATGTGTCCAAAATTTCGATTTCCTCCCCTTGGATACATGCCATGTATGCGCGAGAAATGAGAAAGAGAGATTTCTGTGATAACATAGCCCTAGAAGTTGGTACGTACAAGGCAGTCTTTCATGAAATCATGTTTAACTGAATGGTTTGCTTTTGTTCTTTACCTCTAGGGATGCGGTAATCTTCCCAAATTGGCGGCTTGCAACATTGCAGCGGTAGGTGACTGAATGGTACTACAGGCTTTTCAGATTGTTTGGGTGGTTGAAAGTATCAGAGAAGAATAAAAATTTGTACTATAATGAAAAAAAGACAGTCTTGGCATGAAGAGGATGTCACGAGAAGGCGTGGAGGAAAAAACGCTTCAAAGGACTAACAGATTACACAAAATAACAAACACAAAATTTATGTGTATACATGAGAAAGCATGGACTGGATATGATAAGCTGAATTATACACACGTTTTGATTGGTTTTTGCCCACAGATGTATAGCATTTTGCTTTTTTATCTTATAAAACAAATTCATTCCATGTTGCCATGGGTCTGTTCAGTAATAGATCACAGTTGACGTTAAAATGTGTTTTTTTGTTATTTCAGGGCGGAGGAGACTGTAGCTGCCAAGCCGGTTTGTCCTGTATGTTAACTAAGAACATGATCTACAATGGACAGGTTATTCCTGTGAAACAGTGCATGCCAGAAGGAATGGACATTGAGGTGGAAGAGGTTGATCTGGATAATCAGTCTGCAGACGAACCCATGAGGACAAAACGATTTCTATTCAACGTAAGAATTTTTAATCAACCCTTTCTTTTTGCACCAAGGGACCGAAATTCTAGGAAGCGGGAGGGGGGGGGGAGGAAGAGAAGCTTGAGGGGGGGGGGGTGAGATGTCTCCCAAATTTACATAAAAATGAGATGCAATTTCTACAAAAATGCCCCGCGTCTGCATAAAAGCCTGAACCACCAGCATCGTTTAAGCACCCATCCCTTCCTTGGTCACGATACCGCTGTCCCTAAAATACTTCAAATTAGTTTAAGAGACTTGAAAATTCTTTATAAGAATGGGCCCTACTCCAAAGGTTATTTTCCACTCACGTATTCTTCTTTCCCACAATTTGACACACGAAATTTTATCTTCTTTCCAACAAGTATCTCTCGTTTTCCTTTGATGTTTCTATGGAGATCGAATTGGGACTGCGAAGGTTGTCCGCGCGAGGCCAAATTTCTCAGACCGAAACAAATTTTTATTCACGCCATGTTGCTTTTTTATAGCGTTGCAGCTCCGAGGCTGAATGTCAGGATAACTACTGCTGTGCCTTTGGCAAACGTTGTGCTCCGAAACTTGGGGAGTTCTTCACTTGCTATCTTGTGGTTAGTAACAATATTTTCTATATAAATAAGTCTGTGATTTTCGTGGGGGTGAGTGGTTGGAAAGATAAGTATTTTCGTTTGCCTCACGATATAGAATCTTCTTTGTTTGGTTTTAGTGACAGGGTTAATGTATTGTTAATAAAAACCAGTGTTATAATAACGTAAGTCACAATAGTTTTACCATGTTAGTGATTGTGTTGTGAAGATGTTGGTCACAGTATTGGCACAGTATATTGAGGGTATCAATGGGATGATGGCTACTACATTTAACGGTTAAAATTTTGGCTGTTGTACGGCTAACGGTTAACTTCCTTCGTTTTTGATTAAAAGATAAATTTTTCCGGTTAACTTTTTTTACGGCTAACGGTTAAAATTTGTCAAAGTTGGTGCCTAACGGCTAAATATTTAGGCCATTTTAAGGCTAACGATAACCCCATGGAGACCTTCTATATTGACGAAAGTAGTTCACAAGCAAGCCTGAAGTACAACTTAGCTTAATATGGCGTTTTCTGTAGCTCAATAGGTAGACCAAATTGGCTCAATTTACCGAGGGGAACCTCAACAATTTTTTTTTGTCTTGTGACGAAACAAATAACATCTAGTCTTTGGATCTTTCTTTATAATTTCACTATCTGTATGTGCTTCTCATTTTCATTGTTTGTCTTTTTCTTTTTTAACCTTAGCAAAAGCACAATTGCGGATGCGGTAACGGGATGACCTGCAAAGTAACAACCACGATCCGATTACCTTTCGGGATCAAGATCCCTATCAAACAGTGCGTGAAGCCCGAGTAAGCCTTTGAGCAAAAGTGTTACATCAAAGTTACAGAAAAAGTAGTTTTTATTTAGTATGTTAAATTCTGTAACATCAAACGAAGGAATAAAAGTTCATTGAAAACCTCAAACAGATCTTATTTAGAGTATGACTTTGTCAGCAGGTATCAGCTAGCGACAGGCGAGAGTTAGCTCCACATACCATATAGTCTGTATCAGGGAGGGGGGGGTGAGAAAAGTGGGGGGGGGGTAGGGTAGGGAGACGTCAGTCGGTGGGAAATTCGTGCTGCGTGGCATCGTATAAAACCTTCTTATGCTGCTAAACGAATCCCAGCTTTGCTGTTCTCCCTCTCGTGATTTTACATTTCCTTACAACCAGAACTAAACTATAGGTCATTTGAAGATATAACTAGTTTTGCTTGATACGTTTCCCAGCTCTCATCACCCTTTCACAGTTAATATTTATAAATAGTGTGGAAAATTTCTGTGTTCATCGTTCCAAAGTGCTAACAAGTATGATTACGTGGTTTTCCTGGCTGACTTCCATCTTGAAACACCCCATTCTCAGTTTTTTAACCCTGTACACGTTAACATTAGTATGCATAGTCTCCATACTGTTCTCTGTAAATTTCCCTGAGGCGTGAACGAGGAGAACTTGTTTAACAATCAAAGGGCTTAGTTGGTGATCATTTCCTCTATTCTGGAGACCTTAATGTGTGACTCAGGGGTGATATTTTTGGGAGAAATTAGATGCTAGTCACACTTAGTGGTCAGAGGGTTAATTGTTGAGTCTTGTTCACATTGATAGTAACTGAGGACCAAAATAAAGCGGGATTTCCTTGATTTTGCTACACTTTTCTTCGCCATATGATTAGTCAAGAGACTCACTCTACTTTCTCAGCCAATCAGATGCTTAAAACCTATCGCGAAAATGAACCTAAGAATGGTAATGGCCGAAGCATGTTATTTGGTGCAAAGCATGAAAAATTACACAATATTGTTTAAACAACCACTCCCACCAATAAAGAAAAGGATTAAGGCTCTACAGAAAATTTGGCGCTGCGTCGCTGGGTGGTATTAAAAATAATTTGGTTTTATCAACTGAGCTGAGAATGTAAATTTACCACCGCAAAAAGTTTCGAGCGTAAGCCTTCTTTTCGCTCTGACAAAAGAGCCAACGCTCGAAACGTCAAATATGGAAATTCTTTACAGTGGCCAATTTACATTATCAACTCAGTTGATAAATCCAAACTCTCCCTCCAATGGCTTGTTCAAACGTTTTTGAGGATACAACAGTGAAAGCTGCCAACAGATCGGAGACACTTTGCTTAGATGTGCTGTAAAGTGTTACTACTACTCAATAACGACAAAAACTGCTCAAAGGTTCTATTAGATTGTTAAATATATTTGTTTCTTGTTTGTGGCGTGTTTTCACAGTTGCTGAACGTATTTTACAAGCTCTTTACGACTGTGATTATTATTTAAATTCGTGCAAACAGGATACAGGCTGAATTAACAATCGATAACATTTTTAAGAGTTGGTAAGTTTTACTACAGTACGAAGAGGCCATAGTGATGTTGCTTTGTAGACATAACCAAAATTAAAACTGTTTTATGTTTTGTCAACGGCCACTTAGAGATTCATAGCATTGACTCAAAGTTATAAGCCCTCCCTGCTAATTTCTCAAAAAGAAAAGAAACTAATACACCAAAAGACATTTGCAATGTTTTCAATTGTAGGCAAGTAATTTTTTTACGTAAGGCATACATCTACATTTCCTTTTTATTTGAAAAGGTTTATAAAAGCCCTGAGTCTCTTTCATGTCCCCTATTAGATTGACATGATCTAGCAGTTTTCACTCAAAAGCCTGTAAAACAGGTTCTCAATGGCGTTGTGTAAAATACCCCATCACGTGACAAAAAAGTATAAAAATAACTGACCTAACGAACCGTAGATTTATCCAGTTAAGACTGAGTTTATTTTAATCCTAAAAATTCCCATTTCGATCAGATTCAAGAACTCAAAATGAAAAGCTTAGCAGTCCTAACTCTGTTTTTTTCGTTGTCTGTGGTAAGTTGTCTGTGCTGATTAGCAGCGATAATTTTTTTGCTTCATTTCAGAAACCGAACGTTCTAAAGCAATCTCTTGGCTCCCCTTGACTCAAAGGAGTGACCGAAAGAGAATTTATCCTAACAATATCAATGTCAAGTAGATAAGGGATAAGAACGGAGAAACATATCAATTAGGGGATTATTAGTCGATCCAATACCAAATTCTCCGACCTAACGTCGTGAGAAATGTATGGCAGATAGTTAGGAGACTTACTATTGTATTCTTGGGAGTGAAAGGGTTCAAGATGTCATATTTTAGCGGTAGCTATCGTCAACGCTAAGCAGTGCAATGAAACCAAATGTCCTCGTGTAATTCAACTTGAATAACTCCAAATTATTCGCACGCAAAGCAGAACAGCTGATGTATTGATATAGACAGGAAGGAAAGAAAAAAAAAAACCAAAGCGAAATGACAAAAAAGATGAGAAATATTTCGCGGAAGGAAAGGAATATAGGAGAATTTCAGCGCAGTTAACATTCACACTCTGACAAAAAACAGTAAAACAATACAAAACGAAGAGTAAAACAAAAAATTTAATCTGTCTTTTTTATTTCCAGTTATAAAGTGGATAATCAAAATTGGACTGGACGCTCAGATGTAACGGGGCTTGAAATCCCGGCTTAAATTACGATATTCCTGATCTAGATAGGAGTGGAGCGGATGGTTTAAAACTTTTTTAACGTAGAGATTAAACTTTTTATCTTTTTTAGGCTTGCTCCAATTTGCCAAAGTATTCAGCTTGTGAAACTAGGGTGAGTCTCAGATTCATTTAAAATTCGAAATTTGCGAGGATATCGCCTTGTTCTAAAGCTTCTAATGTAAATCTTCTTTTGTTTTTCTTTTTCTCATGCTCAGGAAAATTCCCATTGCAGTTGCGCACCGGGATTAGCCTGCAAAGTAACACGGAAAATTGACATGGGAGAACAAACAACTATGGTAAAGCAATGCATGCCGGTCAATGAGCCGATCGTCGTCGAAAAACTAACAGAATATGACGTTAATGAAACTTTGGATCCTGGCAGTGCAGCATTGGACCCGGCGGCAAGATTTTATCCTGGAAAGGTGAGGAAAAAATAATGATCTGGGGTAAAAGGAAACTAGTTTTGGTACTTCGTCCTTGCAAGTTTTTCCTTTTCATTTCTCCTGGATCAAAAACTGTTATGTCAGACGAGGGGGACTTAAGTCTCGTACCCAGACCTTCTACGGCCAAACGATGGTACATAGTGGGATCTAACTTTTCAGTTGCACGGTAGGATCTGGGTACGAGATGAGGAGGACCTATTATGGCGAAGATTTGAATCTTTCTTTCTTTCTATGAAGCGCTGAAGAGAACTTGAATAGAGAAATACGCTGATTGCAGCCAAAATTCTATCCCACAATATGATGCTGTTTCGTTGGATGTATAACAAATTCTGTTGTCTCTTCAAAAGTATGAATTTCTTAATAGTGATTTCGTGCTTCTATTAAACTTTGATTTCAGAAATGCACCACGGCAGCCGACTGTTTTTGGCCAAACACCTGCTGTCTATTTAGCAAACGATGTAGCCTGAAGTTGCTGAAATACTTTACTTGTTACCTCAGGGTAAGTGAAGCAAGTATGAATAGTTAAATGGTAATGAAATGTTGAAAGAAATATTGGATTACTTTGATTTTTTTCAACATCCCTCTGTGATTGGTCCAGATACCTTGCGTATCTTTCTCACTGTAATCAGATTCAAAACTATTGGTCAGCGGTTGATCACTTGCGTTTCCCGCGGTTCAGGTTGTTCCGTGTGGTGGTTGTAGTATTAACTCTAAGTTTCCTATTGGTTACTTGTAATATTTCTTTTGTTCTGATTGGCTGTTTTGATCACATTGGCTTTGACTGTAATGAAGCGCTCTTGGATGGCAGGCGTGCTCCCTGTGTTGCTGATGCCTTTCCAAAGGCCTTCATAAATTTGCCCTGGTCGAATAACGTGATCTGAGAACAAACTGAGGTCTGTTAACAGACAGGTTCGTGAGCTGAGGTAAAATCGGTTTGGATCAATGAGAAAGCAACATAAGAAAGTGGAATCTACAGTCCCCAAGGGCCCCCCTTCCGAGGACTGTCCGTCAACTTCAACCATATGATAGGTAGAGCTGCTTTCCTCAAAAAAAATTGTAACTTTGACCCAACTTCCACAGCTTGGTCGAACCTCCAAAACAAGTCAATGTTGTTTTGAACGCTCTGGAAGGGTGAAAACTTAAGTGGGCTTCGTTAAATGTGAACTATCGAAAGATTAAAATACGGTTTCAACAGTTGAAATGGACCTCTGAAAACTCATTCGATAGGAAAGAGGCTTTCACAATCCCCCGACCTACACCCCCTGGAGACTCTTCGTGCATTCCGTCATAATAAAAGATCTGTTTTCCTGACCAGACAATATTCTTTGGTTTAATTTTTAGAGCGTACATAAGTGCGGTTGTCAGGAACATTTGGTTTGCAAAACCACGACCCATGTGACACTTCCAATCGTCAAGATTCCCTTTCCAATAAGGCAGTGCGTGCCGGAAGACGAAGCATAATTTTGTTCGTGAGATTGCCAATTACCATGGTAAAGTGAAATAAAATCTGACGTGCTTGATTTAGTCTTTGGTCTTGGTCTTGTGACTAAGAATCAGTGCTTCGTTTAGTTCTACGTGGTCCTTTTGCGTGTTTCTCGCTCCTCACGCGTGTTTCCCGCCCCTTACGCTCTCCACGCGCTTTCCTCCTCACGTAAACCGCTTCTTCTCGCACTTATCTGCCACTTTTGCCCCGCACTTTCCTGGCGCTTTTTACGCACTTTCCCACAGTTTTCCCGCGCCTCGCCCTTACCGCGCTTTCCCCCGCAAGTTACTCGAACTTTACCTGCAATTTGCCCGCACGTTGATCGCGGTTTCCCCGTAAGTAACCCACACTATTACCGCGCTTTTCTCGTAAATTATCCGAATTTATCCGGAGACTTCAATTGTACTGTACCCGCACTTTTGCCACGCTCTCCCCGCAATCTCCTCGTGCTTATCTTGCACTTCACCTGCACTTTCCTACGCTCGGCAATGACGGGATAAAGTGGGGACAGTTCAGCAGGACGAAGTGTTTGAAATCGAAGCTGCAAATTTAGGAATAGCCTTATTGTGACTCAATGATGGTTTCGAAGAAAAAGAATATAAATTTTTAGAAATTCCGAAAACTCGTGGTGGGATTATAAAAACGTTGAGTTTTTCAAAATGAGAAAAACATTACATCAATCCCCCCTTAGGTAATCTCCTCCAATCGATAATGAAGACATACAACTATCAAGTAAATAATAAAGCATTATATTTCCTTCGCATACAAAAAATTCCATGTTACAAAAACATATAGGGAAAATAACTCCACCCTTAACTAGACACTTTTCTTAGTAAAAATTCTTATAGTGCCTCGGCAATTTCAATTCTTTACAATAGCTCTTAAAAACATCTGAACATCTCTCGACGCAAGGAAAACTAATTACATCTTTCAGTTAGTACACACGCTCTGATTGGTCAATTTAGCAGGCCGTATTTCTACAAACGGCACGCTAAGTTCAAAAGTTTGTTTGAAATTAAATTCTATTCCTCTATTTGAACCCAGATTCATCTTACTAACCTCGTTTTCTCGGACCGTACTGCAAGTTACGCTTTTTAACCTCGTTTTCTCCGCTCGGAAAAAAACTCGGTTTGTAACTTACAATACGGAACTCGAAATCAGTTAGTAAGCGGTATTCCCCTTTCCACATTCAGTGATGCCTGTATGTAGCTAAAAGTTCACGGAATCATGATGCAACATTGTTTTTTTTTTTTGGGGGGGGGGGTGGGCGAAACTTAACAAGGGCAAATCAGATAAAATTTAACTAATTGGGGGTTGAACAGGTCAGTGTCGATAATTTTTACGCCGATTGTAGATTTATCTATGCATAAGAGGATGTTATTGAAAGAAAAACCTCATCTCTATTTTTTTCAGTTTTAAAATTACAAGTGAGGAGAGAACGAGGGTTACATGTACAAAATATGCTATGTAGGGATCTAGAAAAATCTAACTATATTTGGCATATTAGTTGTGCTTTCCATTAACCTACTGGCTCTTGAAAGCATCCCATAATATTCCATAATTTGATCATGTCTCGTATGGGCTAAAAAGTCTCATAAATTTTGGGGAAAATTATCAGCGTGAAATAAATTTATTTAGAATTACTACCTAGTTAGGGGAACCGATGTTTTAAAACTCCTTATTTGAAATAAAATTATCCTGTTGTTAAATATTTTAAAGCTACTTATATCGAACGGCTCAAATAACGGTGACTTCTACAGTCTCACTGCTTTCCTGACTTTCCGGATTTTTTTCCTCGATTCCCTCAGCTTTTATTGCACGAGCCAGAAGTTCCATCCACCTAATAAGAAACGAGCATCCTCCTTAAAGATTTCCGCCTATTTTCTTTGACTTAAGGTGCAGAGAATTTAACAAAATGCAGCCATTTTGGGTAGTCTTATCCAAGAATGATCACTTGGACAGTTTTCATTATCGACCTCCTATAACATTGCCATGGGTTGAGAAATTATTCCTCGATATATTCTTCTGTGTAAGGATACTGACACACCGCTCGAGATGATACCACACCTACGCACCTACCCCTCCCCTTGTCCAACAACTGTCAACTGATTAAAAAGTCAGGGTTAAAGTTGGGTTAGGGGAAGGGTAGGTGCGCAGTTGCCCAGATATTGACGTTGATCCCTAGTTTCTGTGCCAGATGGCAACAAGAAGCAATACCAACCCCAGTCCCCCCCCATCCGCTTCCACACGGGATTCTAATCTGTCGAGAGTTACCCCTCCCCCCCTTTCGTCAGGTTTTCTGACAATGTGCTGGTATATATTTGGGTGGACAGAGGCACTTCACCATTAAACTCACATGTAACTTCTTATAACATCCATATTTTTTACATAATTTAAGGTGCATTAGAAAATATCTTTCTAAAGAATCTGCGGAAATATTAGTTCATGCATTAGGAATGGAAGAATAGATTATTGTAATAGCCTTCTTTTCAGAGTGCCCGACATTCATTTAAAATAACCCGCAAAGAGTTCAAAATACAGCAAACAGGTTAGTTTGCATTGTTCCTAGATTCTGTCATATAACACCAGCTTTACGTTCTTTGCACTGGTTACCTGTTAAATTGAGAATTAATTTCAAAATTGAAGTAAATACTTTTAAGGCTATCAATGGCTTTGCTTCTAATTACATATCTAGTCTTATTAAGATAAAACAGCCTTCGAAATATAGTTTGCGCTCTAATAATAAGCTTTTATTACAACCATTAACCACTGGAACGAAGAAAACTTTAGGTAATAAGGCTTTTGTAAGTGCAGCTCCTAAACTCTGGAATGGTCTTCCTAGTTTAATAAGAAATGCATATAACTTAATTAAATTTAAATCTCTATTGAAGACATACTATTTCAACATATTTTGATGCAGGACCGAGTATTTAAATTTTCATCGAGCATTTATATTTACATTTAGTTTATTCTATTTATTTTATCGCGCATTTGATCATATGCATATGTAAAATGCGCGTTACAAATAATAACCATTATTATTATTATTATTATTATTATTATTATTATTATTATTATTATTATTATTGTCATAATACATTATCCAGCAGATAGCTTATGAGAATACTCAAACTAATCAGGTAGAAGTTATCATCTTGATCTAACACCAAATTCCCGAAACAAGTTAACAAAGAAATTTGTAGCAGCTAGAGGGGAGAATTAGCAATCAGATCTTGGGAGTCAAAGGTTAAGGACTAAAGAATATTGACCACAACACCTTACAATAATCCTGTCCAGTACTGGAGCCCAGGCCCCGCGATTTGAATTCTAGCGCGGAGACTAAAACTTGCGTATAAATATCAAGTCAAAGCGATCCCTGATTCACTGAAAATTCTCACGAGAAACGTATACAAATTAATAGGGAGAGTTTGAAATTTCGTCAGTTATCATTACCTTCGCATGCTCTCCGCACTTTCGGCCTGGAAAAAAAACACTCGTATGTTTTTGTGATGCACTTTGAACACATTTTTCTGGCGGTCCACCTCATCTGCCTATAAAGGAAAATGTAAAAAGATACATGAAATAGCATCTGCTTAATGCTGTATCTACAAATTACTTTTGAAAAGAACATTACATTGCGGCTCTGTCCAAACGTAGAACAGCACATGCGCAGAAAATTGAGACAGTAGTTTAGGTGAAACTCAAACATTTCCATCCTATTAAGAGGCTTTGCAAGAATGTCGCTTTAGCGGAAAAGCAGGCATACAAGTAATAAAATCTTGTTAAAAACCGTGCAAAGTTTGTGGCTCAGAAAGAGAAAAACCGTTTCCACGATTTACATGCATTTTGTGCTCCGCTAAAAAACTTGCAGTCAAAATGCTGTAAAGCAATAGGAAATCGAAGAGGATCTAAAGCACTTTGCTGTTTTTTGGAAAAATGAATACCCAAGTGATCACTACGGCAAATCAGGATTTCATCTGAGGGAAGGCCAAAAGCTGTTTTCGCTTATACTAAAACGGTGAAATAATATATCATAAGAAGATAATTTGCACTCGTTTCATGGGTAAATCCCACGCGCGTAGCTCGGAGGTGAACAGTAAAGGACAGTCGGGGTTTGAGTGGCCAATAAGAGCGCGCCTTCAACGCTGTCCACTGTTTTATTATAAACTAAAGGAAAACATCACGAGGAGCCAATCAGAACTTCAAGTAACAACAAGCCCAGCGCCTGAAGCGCGGGATAACGTGGTTGACACTGGAATTTCACTGTGCGGTCAACAGAATATTTTTTAGGCAGCACTGACTACGATAACTTACTGGGGATAGCTTGTCTACATGATGGCCAGGGAGGGGTAGATTGAACTCAGCTTTGGTATCCTGTATGGAAGGAGAAAACAAATTTCGCATTCAATGAATTCAACTCCAAGGCCCAATTGTATAAAGGTGGGATAACGTTATCCAACAGAGAAATCGCTATCCAGCGGACAAATGATAGCAAATCATACTAAACTATCCACCGAATAGAGATTTATCGAGCAGATAGCGTCATCCAACCTTCGAACAAACGGGGCCAGATAAATTGTATTACAGTTCTCAAGTAATTTAGTGTTAACAACTGAGTTGAAAACGTAAATTGGCCACCGTAAAGAGTTAAAAGGCTGACGTTTCGAGCGTTAGCCCTTCGTCTATCGCTCTGACGAATGACTGACGCTCGAAACGTCAGCTTTTTACTCTTTACGGTGGCCAATTTACGTTTTCAACTCAGTTGTTAACACTAAATTACCTGCTATACTCTCCCACCGACGCAGCACCACAGTTTCTTTAGGAACTTACCTTCTTGTACAGTTCTTAAATCTGGTTCTAAGAATTACAGAAATCGTTGAGATTGTTGGGAAAAAGTTCAGAGACGAATGCGTAGTAATAGAAATCACTCTGTGGCGATCGCAGCAACTGCTACCCTTTTTTCAGTGTTACTCGTTCTCCAGGAGGTTATATCAAATTTAGACTTGAAACTTGAACGTTTGCGAAATGAGGGGCTTCTGGCTTCTTACCTTAAGCCCTAAAAACTTACACCAAACTTAATTAAGATTCAAATATATTTTTTTCGCTTGCGTTGTTCAGTTTCTCTGTATAAGAAGTCGTGAACTCAATTAGACAACCTTGCCCAACAAAAGCTTCCTCTCGGTCACAGTTTTTTGGTAAAGTTCAAAGAACTATTAAATGTCACCAATACTGGAACAATGTTGTTACTGGTACTGCAATAATGTTGATATAAGAGCAATTTCCAAATTGAGTGTCGAAAGTAATCCGGGATTGCTTTAGTTTTCCTTTACTCCTCTCTATGATTGGTTCGGAAAACTCGTGCCACTTTCTCAACCAATCAGATGCAAAACTAAAACCAATCACGACTTGGTCACCCGCGTTTTCCCGCGCTTTTGGCTGTTTTTTATTTGCACTCTCATTGGCTCTTAAAAGTATTTCCTTTCTTCTGATTGGCTGTTGTGATTGTTTTGATTTTGGTTTCACGACACTCAACCAAAAAGTGCTCCAATAATGAAGGTATCAGTTTGGTGCTGATACTAATTGCAGTAATATTTTCGGTCAGTATTTTCCTTTACCTTTTTGGCCTTGTACCGGAACATCACAAAGTCACTCGACAGCACAAACCATCTCTTCTGCCAGCTCCTATCACCTTTGGTCTTAAAATTCAAGTATCCACTGTGCCAAATCTTTGATTCTTGGCCGATTTTCAACACGCATTGCCCTTTTCCTTCCGCTTCCTTCACCGCTTCCTCGCTGGAGCCTTTCATGAGAATCTTGTGACAAATTTCGCAAATCTTCTCCTGTTTCCCATTCTTGTACTCCAGCGGTGCTTTGAAACCAGAACAATTTCCGCACACCACCCTCCCACAGGCGCGACAATGGTGCCTCCGACGAATCCTCGTAAACAGGATGTCACACAACATGCACATGCTCACTGCTTCGTCTCGTACCCAGGCCGGCGCTTTCTTTCCGAGGTCTCCCTCATTCATGACTTCAAGCTTGCTCCCTCTTCGATAACTTTCTCTTTTTGTTGTCAGTTCATCCACGGTCTCTTTCAGTTTTTTAACCCAAGCTTCTTTCTCCTCGGCGGACGCTGCAGTGAAATCCATAACTCTTTGTTTGCTTATGATACGAAAGGAGTTCTCTAGTTCCAGTTCCTCGTCGACGTCGTCAACTTCCATTCCATACAAGTCCATCTGTACTTTCACTTTGTATTTGTTGGCGCCAGGAAACTTTGCGCAGCAAAGAAGAATATCGTTGAACTGTAAAATAAATGGTCCAAATCTAGCTTCTCCTTCCCTTTTCCAAGGCTCTCTTTAAGTAGAAAAGGGCGAAAAAGCTGGGGAGCGAAACATTGCGAGGGCGTCGCCAAAAAATGGTTTCCCTGACAACCGCCAAACGTCGTTCGCCCGTTTCCGCTGATATATTTCATCAATGGAATATATCAAAAGAGCATTTTCCCTAGAGCTCATGTCTACGAATTCACTTACAGTTTACGTCACTTTACGCGTGACTTTCACCACAATACACATTTATAAAAGATAGAAGGGACTTTTTTTTTTTAGATATCACGAATTTCGGACGCTAGCCCTGAATACAAAACTATGAACTTCTAGCCCTACAGGTGCGGGAGACGAGAGATATACTTTCAAGTTCTTATCGGAGAGAGCGACAATGTCTGACATTAAGCAGATGTTATCGCAAAGGCGGAGAATTCTCCACGTCGTTTTATGAGCCCGAGTGTTGGTTCGGTCCGGGGAACGATCTCGCGACATCTCGCGACATATCCACGGTTATCCACCGTTCAACTCGAAATGGGACTAACGCTAAAATTTTTTCCTGGAAATACTATTTGCTTACCAACATCAGTGTTCGTTCCTGATGGCTGTCTGTCGTCCTCGCCGCAACTTTCCTAACTTCTCCTTCCATCACAAATTCCTGGAACAACAACAAAGATGCAAATTTAGTTTAAGCCATCGACAATCGATTGGGATAAACCTGTTTCATAACGGTTGAAAAAGATACTTACACGACTAGCAGTTATCAGTGGATAATCATCTCCTATTCTTTCTTGGATTTCCAAAAGAATCTTGAAGCGCTCCTGTTTTTAAAAGAAAATTATTATAATTATAAATATTGTTACTGTTATTATTATCATCATTAGAATTATTATGGTATAGTGTGGTTTTATTTTATAAAGACATTAAGAGTCTCATTTTTATTATTGTAAATATGTCGCTCGTTTATTAGCATTTTTTCCTTTACTATTTTAAGTTTAAAATTTATGAAGAAAAACGATGATGACTCTAATGTGTAATGTCAAAAAGACCTTTGTCAAAAAAAAAAAAAAGACCTAATGTCAAAAAGACCTTTTTTCAAAAAAGAATGAGTAAATAGGACTTGGATTTTAAATCACTGTTGTTATTATTGTTATTATTATTAATATTATTATTATTATTATTATTATTATCATTATTATTGTTATCATCGTCGTCCTCATCATCATCATCATCATCATCATCATCACATCATCATCATCATCATCATCTTCATCATCATTAAAAGACAAAAAATCCTTTGCAACGTGAAAACTGAATAATCTTCAGAACCATGGAGGCAAAGTTATGTTAACCCTTTCACTCCCAAGATCTCATAAGTAATTCTCCTTGCTGTCTCCCATACAATTCTCATGAAGTTAGTTTAGAGAATTTGGTCTTGGATCAACTAATAATCGCCTGACTGATATTTCTCTTTATTCTCATCACTTGTCTGCTTAATATTGTATTGATATTGTACGGAGAAATTCTGTCTTGGTTACTCATGGGAATAAAAGGGTTAATTTGGTAAAAGAGAGGAAAGGAAAGAATTCTACAGGTTCGTCACGATGTAGAAAAGGTTGACACAGGTTTCAAGAAAAAGAAATTACTGCTAACATATCTGTGCTTCAGGACAGATTCCAGATTTTATTCAAGACTTACTGTTTTCTTCATGCTGTCATTGGCATGCTGAGCTGAAGCTGAGATGATTTTTAAGGCATCTAACAAAACAAAAAAAAGATTTTCAAAGCAGTTCGGCTCGGAAAAAAAGGAGATAGAGAAACAAATTGACAGAGAGGAAGTAAAACATGAAAGACAGGGGCGCATACCTGTAGTGTTCTTCAAGTCAGGAGAATCTTCTGGGAGCTTTGCGACATAGTCTGAACAAAGAGATGAGAAGGAATGTTAACAAAGAACACGAACAGACAATTTTCTTTTCACGTCAGACTCGACCGAACAGGACTGAAATACGTCTGCGTTTGTCGGGAACTTTTGCGGGCGCACACATAAAACCATGGCAACACTACCTATACCGGGATTTTTGAAAAATTATAAAAGTTTGCAGTTTTTTCTTCTACACGGGTTAAGACGTAATGAAAGAGGTAAAGCTTGAAACTTTCGCTTAAGATCCTCTATCATCAAGGGAAAAAAATATCCTTTGCACACCAGGTTTTAATCTTACACTTTTGCCGCAATTGAGCTGTACACTGTTGTATTTTGATCCTGAAAATGTATTCGCGTACGTTGGCCTACAATTATGCGATATGTGAGCGGGCGCTTTGGGACGGAAAAGATTTATTTTCACGCGCGGCTTCGCCTCTAAGTGCTTTAAAGCACACAAAAAACGCCAGCTACCAGGCAAGCTGAGCGCATTTCAAATCACAGCAATAACGGCCCTTCACGACAAACAAAAATGTCAAAAAGAGAAAAGGTAATCTGCATAAAGCGCGGGAAAAAAACGAGTGACCAAGGCGCGGTTGGCTATGGTTTTGCATCTGATTGGTCGAAAGCGTGGTGTGAGTTTTCTGAACCAATCACAAAGCGGAATGAAGGAAAACCATTGTAATTCCGGATTATTTTCGACACTCAATAAAAAAATTGCCTTATTAAGCTATTAGCAATCTTAAGCACTAACATTACCTTTTAGGAGCAGTTTGTATCTCGGCACTCTCTGCACTGGTTCCAACATGTGATGTTGAAGCGTTAAATGTTCACACTCCTCAGTTTTCTAAGGGGAAGCAAAAAATAAGACAAGGTTTAATTCTTCTGATAATCACATGACAGCTAAAAACGACTTCAGTTTTTACACAAATTCGTAGTTAACTTATTTTTACGCGACAAAATTGTAAATAAAAATAGTTTCGTGAACATTTATGTGTCAGAGTGCTTTTCGATTGAACGTCGTAAAACTATGACCAAAACAATCACAACAGCCAACCATGGCAAAGAAAATAACACCATGAGCCAATGAGAACTCGAATAATAAAGCGCAGGAGAACGCGGGTGACCAAGTCGTGGTTGGTTTTAGTTTTGAATCTGATTGGTTAAGAAAGCGGCGCAAGTTTTCTGGATAAATTACAGAGCTAAATAAAACAAAAGTAAAGCAATCCCGCATTATTTTCGACACTCAATTGAAAATTTCGTTGCGTAACGTACTTGGATTTCCTCGATCACGGCTGCCATAGTAGGTGACTTTTTTATCCAAGATGCTAAAGTTTCTGTTGCTTTGTCAAAGTTTCCAACATAATGTGTATACAACTGAAAGAGCACAAAATGACAAAAAAACAACATTAATTGAATTAGTCTCTCTCTAGGAGACCTCCCAAAACGTAAGCATCAAGCTTGGGAAAATGGAATCAAATGATAGTTTAAAACGATAGTTGTAAGAAATAATATATCTTTACGGATTCAAACCACCAATTTTTTTTTACTGGTTACGAATTCATAATAATTCAAGACAATAACAGGACACAAAGCTATGATCTACTGTGTAACACTCTTTAAACCTGAACACCCTAACATCAGTATGCATATTCTCTATACTGTTCCCTATACACTTCCTAAGGTGCTGATGAGGAAAATTTGTTGAATAATCAAGAGTTTCTTTCGTTGGTGATCATTCTCTGTACTCTCATGACCTCATTGTAAGATTTGAGAGTGATAATTGTAAGGAGAAATTAGATGCCAATCAATTTTAGGGGTCAAAGTGTTTAATTGAGTTAAGATACAGAACATAAGGGAGTGAGGTTTCATCATGGATTTTGAATCACTTTAAGAAATAGTATGACATACAAATATGCCAAAAAGATATCAACAATGTATATGGGAAATAATTTTAAGCACACTTGCCTTTAAAAATGGAGCTAGCTCTTTAAGAATGTCCCCAATTTGGTTGTTGGTGCCCCTGATAAAAAAAGAATAAAATAACAATAATAGTAATAATAATAATAATAATAATTATAACAATTATGATGTAATGATTTATGAATTTAATCAGGCAAATTCATCAAATAATTGTTGAGAATGGATTCACTGACTGTTTAATAACTGACTGACTGTGACTGATTGACTGATTAACTAACTGATTGTCTGACTGAATAGCTGACTGACTAGCTGACTGACTAGCTGACTGACTGACTGACTAGCTGACTGATTGACTGACTGACTAGCTGACTGATTGACTGACTAGCTGACTGACTTGCTGACTCATTGACTGATTAACTGACTGACTGTGTGACTGACTACCTGACTGACTAACTGACTAACTATAGCTGACTGACTGACTGATTGAGAGAGGACTTGATTGACTGACTGACTGACTGACTAAGTGATTGACTGACTAATTTACTGATTGACTGATCCACTCACTGCAGCCTTGGAGTTGGGAAAAATTTCTTTCATCTATGGTAAAGGAGCACTCTGTTTCAGTTCACAAAGAAATGAACCAAATAAAGGCTTACTGTGCTTTGCTTCATTAAATATTCATTAAATATCTATTTTTTTAACTTCAGTTGAATACATAAAGCCAAAAAAAAAAACATACCACTCTTTCATCCTTGCCTCCAATTTAGGTAGTAAGAAATCTCTGTGCAGTTGGTGAATAGCTTGTATGTTGGAAAAAATGTCAGTGAGCACCTCCTTAGGTAAAATACTTTTTGCACAGCACTGGTCATTAATTTGCAAGTAAAAGACCTAAAATTGACATAGAACAAAATAAATCAATAACAAATATATAGAGCCCTTTTTTATTTACCAAAATCAGAATGAACACAAGCGGTTATTAAAGAAAACTTTAAGGAATTTAAAGGGAGTCAAAAAGGTCTTTTTCACAGCCATTGTTGTCAGTGTCTTTCCAGGCAAATAATTTTTCTCCCACTCTCTAAGGAGGAGGGCATTGCCTGACATGAGTAGTCAACAGTAGCAAAGGAGATGGATGACATCTCCCCTGTGTACTGCTTTGATTCTTGTCTGCAAAAAGTTTGAGACATCTTTGTAAAAATTTGTGAGGAAACTTGAATTTCAAGATCTCTCATATTAAAACTATATTGCTTTAAATGATGGTATAGGTAAAGAATTAATCAAATGATTTACTACATAAATGACTACCTTGTAAAAAAAAATACTATGAAAAAACTGGTATTGCCTAATCACATTCCAAACTGAAAAGCTTAGTAGTAACAATTATTTATAATTAATAAACACTGAATGCAATAATGAAAGCCAGTTTCACAATAGCAAAAGAAGTTTTCTTAAAAACATGTTCCATACATTGCCATCAAAATTATTGCACTTAATACTGACTGAAAATTGAACTAGAATCATATAACAAATCTACAAGATAGGATGTTTCAGCGAGAAACATTGTCACTTTAAATTTTCCAACTGGAATTGACTGCGATAAATATATCAGGTCTGTTTTTCTCTTCCCATCTTTTTCCATTTTTGTTTCCAAATAGGGCAAATGGTCACAATAGACTATGTGTTACTTGTATTTTCAGGTCTTACCTGATCAAGTAGGTGCAGTCTTCTGACGTAACTGTAAATGAAATAAATAAATTAAGAACAATAAGTTTTCAAAAAAAAAAAAAGAGACTAGTGTAGTAATATTTTCAGTGAAGAATGATTTTTAATCATTATGGTAGAACTCTGAGCTCAACTTTTTTCTGTTGCCATTTGAAAACCTAAAATCATAAAATGGTCCTTGGAAAGAAACTCTAAAATCTTAAGAAAAAAAAAGGGAGAAATTGGCAGATCTTCAAAAATTAAAACAACTTATTGAAAGAATTTTCTGGCTGATACTGATGATAATTAATTATTGTTTTCCTGGTTCAAGCCTCGCTTAATTTCACCATGAATTTTAATAAGGTCACAAAGTTAACTCTTTAACTCCCATGAGTGACCAAGACAGAATTTCTCCTTACAATATCAATACAATATCAACCAGATAAGTGATGAGAATAAAGAAAACTATCATTTTGGAGATGATTAATTGATCCAATACCAAATTCTCTGAACTGACGTAATAAAAATTGTATGGTTGACAGTAAGGAGAATTACAAATTTGGTCTGGGAGTTAAAATGTTAAAAGAACTGGTTCAATCCCTGATTGCTTGGCTTCAAGGGCCAAACCAACAGAAAGAGAAACAAAACATTTTTGGTTGCCAACCTTTTTGAGTTTGTAAAAGGCTAATGAAACACAAAACAATCCAGATTGAAAAATCTACAGACAATATATCTAAACCCAAACAAAGTACAGACCTTTCTAGCCCAAGGGTGCCATATGGCACAGGATGCCATTACATGCTTAATATTCATTCATTTTTTCTGAAATTTTCACAACCAAAGGATCATTGAAAGATCTGCACATTGAAGGCATAAAATCATGGCCCCTCCAATACAAGACTTTACCACCCTTGCAACTTTTGGAACTTTTTGTCTTTGTACTGTTTTGGTTCAGGTGATATGTCACAACAATCAATGCTCTGAGAGCTGCAATTTAGGCTATAGTTTAGTGGTATACCCTATATGTCCAAGGCAAACGAAAAGTTTCAACCTTTTTAATTTTCACTTTGGACACTTCTCTGTCTTTCCAGTTATCTCCTCTACACCTGTTGGTGTCCTTTATAGCATACCCCAAAAAATGCCTTTAAAATGATATATTATCCATGATCTAGTGGTTTATCATTATCATTTTAGAAAAATATGGCATTTCCCTCAGGCAGGAAAGGGTTGATAAGGAAACTGATTTCTCTCAAGGCTTAGTTCAAATCCAATTTTTTTCAAGGCACCTGAATTGCACTTTTCTCCACATCAAATGATTACGCTAGACTAAAATAAATTTTAGAACTACTGACTATAAATTCATTGTTGTTAGAGATTTACATACAAAGACTTGATAGTACCTTAAGAAAAATTTTAATTCTAATTATTTCTCACAAAATGAAATAATCTTGCAAAAGACAAACACTTTCTTACGCTCTTTCAGTGGTAAGAATTTCCATGGCAATATTGTAGAGCTTCTTACTTATGGCATCAGGAAATTCCTGTCCAAGGGAAATTAAAAATAGCATCATTTGTTTTGCATAACAGCTCAGTAGGGGATTTAATATCTGCACGTGGGAAACTAATTATCCTGTTAATTTTTTCACTCATCATGAGTTTGGAATGAAAATTTTCCTGTTTACCACCATAGATTTCTTTGTTAGCTGTTCATGAAAATTTGGTGTGATGTCTAAATATACTCCATTCATGAAATTTTTCTTGTCAAATTTCATGTGCTAATGTTTCCAGTCTGAGTAATGATCTGTTAAAAATTGTCAGGCCCTATAAAATTACTTTATTTCCATCCAGATACAGGTATGTCTGGTATGTCAGATCCACTCAATGTTTGGATACAGGATACAGAGAGGTAAGGAATCAAAATCTTTCATAAATTTGGATAAAATAAGGACATAAATAAGCTTACTGCAGGAACTAAATTTTTCAAGCTTGAGAGGCCTGTGTCAATATTCATTAGATAATAATCTAAAGTCAATATTGATTAGGGTTTTTGATAATTTTTTCCATAGACAGCTGACAAATGGTCTAATAGGTGGCTGTACCCAGAAAAGGCAAAAACCCAAACATGAGCCTACTTCCAAGCTATGAACAGACGACAGTAGGAAGTCTTATGGGACGCAATAAGCTGCTGGCAGCTGGCTATAGTTCAAAACCCTTGATATTACCCTTGGTTAAATAACACATTACAACTCTACTACTAATTCCTGTCATTAAAAAGTTTGCAATATTTTATGTCCCGATTTACAACCAAGAACAATAGTGAACTTTTGCTTGTTATGATGACTAAAATATCTCCTGAAAATAAAATTTAGACAAGAATTGTAGTCTTTAAGAAAGACTGAGGCTAAACAAAGCCGAATTTGATATTGAGAGGGCAGAATACTGCATAAAACATTTCAACAATGGTAAAAATACTCGTCACTCAAACCCAGGTGGCATTTAGATAAAAAAAATATACTGTACTACTGAGAAAAACAGCATTTCATCAGGGACAACATGTACTTTTAAGATGTGCAGTTCAGTTTGAACATTGCTGTACCATTTGGTCAATTGTGCAAAATTCCAACTCTGTATAAATCATGTGCATAATTTTTCTGCCAAATAGGATAATGTTTCAGCTTGTAGAATCATTTACCCTATTTAAATGTTATTTATCAACTGTATATACAAAATACAAATTGAATAACATAATATTACAGTTTCTACAATATCATTAATGATTATCATGATATTTATAAGATAATGTTGCAAAAACTATTAAGTAGACCATTTCACTTCTTAGCATCTACAGCTAAGAAGTGAACCTATAACCTGAAACAAAATTCTGCAAAAGGATGAAAGCCTGAAATGTGTTAAATCATTTTCAACCCTTTAACTCCTTGATGTAATTAACAAGTTATTTATCCCTATAATATCCATACATCAACCAGCACACAGGTAAAGACAAGACTCAAACTTTTCAGTTTTCTTATTAAAACATGTAGAAGTTGTTATTTTGATCTGACACCAAATTCTTGCAATTAATTTTCAAGGAAATGTATAATAGCTAGAGAGGGGAATCAGCAATCAGATCTTGAAAGTTAAAGGGTTAAAAAGTTGAAATGATTTACATGTGAAATGTGTGACATTCATGATTTTCTGGTTGAAAATGAAAGAGTAAAGTTATTATTATAAACAATTCAATCAAAATGAAAGAAACTTACAAGAGGTGCTGTATCACAAGAACTGTCATTGCTTGACTGTGAGTCACGTTTTAGTTCCTCATCATTGTTGTCAAAATCATCATCATCATCATCAAAATCACTGTCCCAGCCATCATCGTCGGATCCGTCATCATCATGATCTTCTCCTTCCTTGTTACAATCATTGGCATTTTCAAGTTTTTCAGTTTCTGACCTCTGTTGCACTGAATTCTCCTGGTTTGATTCCATCACAGAATGCAAATTATCCTGAGGGAAAGCAAGAACCCTTGACACTCGGTTCTCATCCAAAGGCATGGGGTCTGATTCACCACGAAAACGATTTTTTACATCTTTTGGTAGAGCTCTTGGAGGAGGTCGTGTTGGCATTTCAACCTTGTCTTGCGATGCTTTTGAAGAACACTCATCCATTAATTTAGTTTCCTCAACAGGTAATATTCCTGGCATTACCTGTTCACTAAAAGTAATTGTATCTTCCAGAATAGTCTTTGAATCTCTCTGTTTCTCTCTGTTGGTTTTACCCATCAAGTTTTTGTTGACTTTGTGCAATGGATTCAAGAAATCACCAGCAGCTCCAATCCCTCTGTCACTTTCAACAAGTTCAAACCTCTTCCTTAGATCACACACTTTTGATTGCTTACTAGTAAGTGATGGGTCAAAGAACTTTGGTCTGCCCTCACTTGTGTCCATAATGTTTACAGATGTTATCAAACTGTCAGATCCTGGTCTCCGATCTGTTTTGTTCCCAATCTTTCCTTGAAACAAACCTTTGGCATTTAATATCACTAGTGTCCCAGGTATTTCTGGGTCAGACATGACTCGAGAATGTCTCTTGATATTGGTTTTTTCTTTCATTTTCGTATATGTCACAGGTTTACCATCTTGGCTTCGTGCCCTAGAGAGGTTTGACTCCTGTTTCAGTGTCCTGATTTGTGCGGCCCTTTGTTGTGCAATAAGACGATATCTGTTTTTAGAAGACTTATCCATAATGTCTGTGAAATCTCAATTAATCTGAAAAAGGCAAAATGATAGATTACAGTAATGGAGCATTGCGTTATGCAGTAATTTAAGCCTGAATATTCTTATAACTCCCTATTGTAATTTCAGCAATATAGGAAGATGTTATGAGACATGATTAGAATGATATTGGTCAACAGGAGACAGGAAGTCTTTCATCTGGGGTATGTATATTTACCTGAGGCAGAGATCTAAAGTTAATGAATCTTATTCATTGAAAATTATACCAGAACTTTTGTTCAGTGAGTCAGAATAGTATATGCACCAATTAAACTTCAGAAACCAGCATATACAGAAGCCAGAGGTTTCTCTTTTAATCAAAGCACTTGGGGACATATTAAATGTCTATTGTAAACAATGCCTAGATTAAGATAACACTTCAATTGACGGACTCGGAAATTTACGAACACGATCACGATTAGGACAAGTTGTGGCTTAGCTAGAAGTAGCAGCCTGAGAAACATCCGCTAAACAATTGTAGGTTAAAGGAGATATCATAGAAATCGAAATTTGTCATCAAAGAGAGATATTTTTTTCATTCCTCTAAGGACAGAGGACAAATCTGTAGTAGATTGAAGCAGTGATCTAGTACAGAAACGTCAATAACAAAGGAAAGAAATTCGCAACTCTAGTTATGAAAATCCATCCTGGGCATATATCAAATTACCATTAAGTTACGGTCAACTGAAAGATCTTCCATTCGTAAGCGGGTTACCATGTGCTCATAATCTGACGTCTCGCAGAAATTCTTAACTCATCGAAAGTTGTGATCAGAAATATTAATATAAGCGTTAGTTCCCTTTCGAAAGGGCCTTTGTTCGTGGTTTCGATCACAAAATAACTTCCTCCTACGTAGACGCTCTTTTGTTTTCAAATCGAAGTTCTCGCTCGTTCCCGTCTGATCGAGGAGGGCGCCAAAATCGAAAAGTGAAATTACTTGTTTGATTAAAAATTAAAATATGCATCATTAAAAAATCTGAAGATTTGAATTGTAAAATGTGTTAAATTAATTAAAATCTACAGAGTATTGATAAAAACATGCTGAAACACATTGTAAAGATGAGAGTGTTTTTCTTAATTGGCCTTGTTAGCTTGATTCAGCATCGCCACTGAAAACTCACGCCTGATTTTCTGTATGTTTAGCTCATGATTCACATCATTAGAAAGTTTGGGTGAAAACGTAATATAGGTGAAACCTACCTTTTTCCTTGTTAAGATGAGATCGCGACTTTATCGAAGAACATCATTCGTAAAAAGGTCACCAACTTGATGAATGACGACTTGTCATGTTGTGCCATTTTGAAAGTTATTTACCCATGTTGCATTTCGCCGGCTGAAATAATACCCGGAAGTCACCTTCGTCCCTGGGGTAGCTAACGTGTAGACGTAACCTCCTCCACAAGGTGAAAGGGAAGGGAGGGGCCTTCCCTCGCCTCCGTTTCATCTTGGCGGGGAGGGTGGGGGAGGGTACGGCTACATGTGGGCTATCCCCAGGGTCCTCACTGTGTTCTGAGGTGTTCCGTGGCCTTACAGGAAATAGAGAATGGAATGGCAAGAGTAGAAAACATTGCAGTCGAAACATTCTACTTGGGGAACGATATCTAATTAAAAGACTCGATTTCTGCCGTGTTATCGCCTCTCACACTAGTGAAAAGTTCGACTAAAGCACGGCGAAGGCACAGCCGGCGTCTGAATTAAACTTTTTAATTAATTTCAGCGAAGCAATTAAGTATTTTAGTTCGACAAGCCCCGCCGTGTTACACGACTCTAGCGTGACAGTGAATCAGATGTTGGCAATGGGCTGAGGGTGCTTAAGCAAATGCTGAATTTCGCACGACATTAGCCCGACGTCTGAATAAGAGTCGTGCTTCCACCAATCCTATGTCGAACATACTTGCAATTAAGTTCGGCACGGCAGAAGCACAGCGTCTGAACTGTGCCTCTTCCTTTTTCTTCAGTACAGAGCTCAAAATTTACCATCTCTCCTTGTCCATTTACTCGATAACTTTGATTACAGCCGCTGGTCGGCCTGCACTCCTCCCCACACCGGACGCGGTTAAATGGCGGAAATTAGCCTATTGAAAACCATACGTACTCATTAAGACTCGGGGGTGGGTCCTGAAATTTTCATAGAGGGGGGGAGGGGGAGGGAGGGCGTCAAAAATCACTTCCTGGCCAACCCGCCCTCGCACACTTACTACACTCGTAGTTAAAGGGAAAAGAAAGGTTTAGTGACAGTATGTGATCTAGTCTTTGCACGAATTTTGGTGTCTGATTGATAGATTAAAAAAAATTACATTAATAAAAACAAACAAACAAACGAACAAACAAAAAAGCTGGGACGCTGGGGCCCAAACCCCCTCGACTCTTCCTCTGGATCTGGCACTGAACCATTAAAATGAAAAACGAAAGAAGAACGCTTACTAGAAATTTGAAATACTGGACGAGAGGCTTTCTACTTTCGAGAGAGGGAGAGGAGAGGAAATGAGAGGAGAGGGAGGAGAGGGAGGAGAGGGAGGAGAGGGAGGAGATGGAGGAGAGGGAGGAGAGGGAGCTAATCAGAGTGTTTCCGCCAAGCAAACTTAACCATTACTATTTTTGACGGCTTTTGGAAATAAAATGAGGCACACAATGTACATTGATGTTAGATACAGCATCACTAAAACCATGTTCCGTCTTATTTTATTGGAAAAAGAAACTTGCCAAACGAGGGAGTTTTTCTAATAGTATAATCCATAAATTCAAAACTCCTAATTTGAACCGGTCGTACAGAAATATAAAACAGACCTTGACTGAAATTCTCTCCCCAATCTCGCTTAAATTTTTCTCCTTTTTCCCCCCAAATTATTAGCTTCCCAGAAGACCTTCAACCGCATTTATCGCGTGACGCTCATTTTTTCATGAGAGTTCTGGTCACGCTCACTAGTCACGCAAAGTTCGAAGAGAGACTGTCATCTCCGACGTTTTGTCACACCACCAGAAAGTCCTTCAGTAAAGTCAATCTTCTCTTTTCTGCTATGTCCATTTGATTTTCAAAGTCCTAGAGAGAGAAAAGAAAGCATCATCATGTTTTTGTGCCAGAGTCAGTGTTGAGAAAAATTGGTCTAACTACATAGTATGATAACCAGAGCTGCCAACCCCGACGACATCTGAAAAAAAACCCAAAAAAACCCCACAAAAAATGGGCCCAGGGATGTATTCTCCTACCGGCAAAAGGTTGAGCAAGGGAACTGGTGACTAGTGGACAGCATATAGCGTGTAAATGTTGATTTATGGGCAATCAGATTCGATTACCTCGCTTAAAAAATATTTTGAAAGATGCAATATATAATAACTGGAATCTTGATTTGAAACAAATATAATCCCGCGGCGATCTGCCAACATCCCATAACTCTGGATTTCCGAATGCAATCGTCTGTCAAGCCAAGAGCAACTCACCCCTCTACAATAGAGTTCGTCTCGCTCCAGCTTCCAAGACAAGTTTTCTATTTCTAGTTCTAGTTGTGCTTGTTGGTACTCAAACTGTCGATAAATAAAAGGCGAAAATCAATAAAAGAGAAAATTTTGGATTACTATGACAAATGCAAGTTTTGAGGAAAAACCACCCTTAAGTCTTAACACCCTTATATCAGTATACGTCTTCTACATACAGTTCTCTGTAAACTTTGTAGGGTGCTGATAAAGAGAATTTGTTCAACAGTCAAAAACTTATCTAGTTGGTGACTATTTTCTTGTAAGAAGAAATTAGATGCTAGTCACTCTTAGGGGTCAAACTTTTAAAGTTCTATAGAGTTTCACTTCTGAGTGAAACTCCTTGGAAGTCAAATGAAAATGTACCGGGGTAAGAGATGAATAGTTACCAGTCTTTTTCTCTCATCCTCCATAAAGTAGGCATATGGATATGTGTACATCATCGTATAACGACACTGCAAACAAGAACATCAAACAGAGAAGTTACAATCACCACGGCAACTAATAATTCATAGTTTGCTGTGAATTCGACGAGCGTTGGTGAGGTTCACATGGAGTCAATAGGAACTAAAACTAAAATAAAAAACAAATTGCTTGAGGCGCGGGAAAACGCCAATGACCACGTTGCACTTAATTTTCGTTATGAATCTGATTGGTTGAGGGGATGGCGCAAGTTTCCTCAACCAATCACGGAGTGAAGAGGAGTAACACTGCCCGATGCGCGGGAAAAAAGTGAATGACCAAGTCGCGGTTGGCTTTAATGTTGAATCTAATTGGTGCGAGTTTACCGAACCAATCACAGAGTGCAGTGAAGCAACACACTGAAATGGCCGAGTACTTCCAACACTCAACTGGAAATTGTTCTGGACAAGTTGTTTACTTACCTTTGCTAGTAATTGCGCAGCATCTAGAAGATATTGCCAGTCGATCCAAGTGCCGATGTTATTGTTAACTTTTTCTTGTATCTTCTGGTTAATTTTTCGCTTTGTCTCTTCTTCGCGTTTAAGACTGTCCGCGTGATTTTGCCACTGGCAAAGAAAAGATTAGCATGTAAGACTCCTTGCGTATTGATCTCAGAAGTATGCAAAAGTCTAAGAAATACTTTTAAAACTAGCCTAGTTTCCCAGTATCATGGATATTAAAAAAGTTTGCGACAACTTTATAGAATTTCGCTTTACCAAAGAATTTGCGATATCGCGCTTCACGCGACAACCGCTTCATGAATACGCTCGCGTCAAAAGCTTCGCGTTCTGTAACATTTCACTCATGGTCACGCTAAACGAAGATATTCCAGTAACTTGGTAATGAAAGCAAACTAATAATAAAAAGAAAAAATAGCCCCGCAAGTGAATTTTTTTAGCTTGTACCCTCCTGGCCGTTCCATGCAAAATAGCAATGTTAAATTGCCACTTGTTGTCTGAGAGCGGGAACATCGACAGAAAATTGACCACGTCTTCATTTGGAAGTCAATCACGGGCACGCGTAAATATGAGTGATTTAAAAAGATAGCTATAGAGATGTCGAGTTGGACACAAGGCTTATTTCGTAGACTAACACATACCCTTTCAAAATAGAAGAGATATTTTTTAAGCGCCTCCCTGGCCTGTATACCTGCGGACTCGTTTACAATGTTTGGATTGGATTTATACCGACTGCATTCATAATACTCTGAGCCATGACTCCTCCAGTCTCCACAACACATCCAGCAAAAATCTACAATTCAAATCAGGATGAAACGTTTTGATAAGAAAACACTACAAGGTACGGTTCAACAGTCAAATCTTGAAAGTAAAAACACTTATCGAATCTTTCAGTTTACTAAACACGCGGTGGTTGTTTTTTAAGCAGGCTGTGCTCTATTGTACAGTCTATTTGCAGAAATTCTGCGCTGTGCAACAACAAATCGTTTCCTAAACCTGTCAGACACAGGGATGAGATGCAATAAATATCTTATCAACCTCCTAATCAGAGTTCGAGCAACGATCATCCTTGTTGTGCAGAAGGTACATCTATGGACTACAAACTAACAACTTACCATGTTTACACTTGATACATTGCTGAAAATTGACATAGGAACACAAAGATTAGTAATTGAATAAGAATTCCTTAACTGCCTCGATGGGAGTGCAGCAAAAACAACAAGACATCAAATGAAGGTAGAATTACCATATGATTACAGCCTCCATTCTTTTCTATACAGCTTCCACAGTTTGGACACTGTATGAAAAGCAAAAGGAGCACAGTGGTTAAAACACCAAATACTCACATATAAGCAATTTTACCTATCAAAGATTGGGGGCAAAATTGATTTACAAACGTTTTGTTAATGAGTAATGATCTGATAAACAGACTGTAGGGTACAAGTAATTATTGTCCAGAAAGGCTTGACAAAATATTTGCACTTGTATAATAACTAATAAGATTAAAGCTCACTGCAAATTGAAGGGATCTATTGTAGGGATTTCAATAATGTTTTCCATGAGTGGCTGCCAATGGTGTTATAGGCAGCTGTGCCCAGTCCCCATGCTGGGGGCCCCTCCCAGAGGAAAAAAAAATTGGCAACTACAAAAGTAAAGTAATTCCCAGTATTCTGGACATCTGCTTGCAGCCTTAACCCTTTAACTCCCACAAGTGATTAAGACAGAATTTCTCCTCACAATATCTAAACAATATCAACCAGATAAGTGATGAGAATAAAGAAAAATATCAATTTGGGGATAATTAGTTGATCCAATCTAAATTCTCTGAACTAACATTATAAGAATTGTATGGTTGACAGAAAGGAGAATTACAAAATTTGATCTGGGAGTTAAAGGGTTCACAGACTACCTACATCTCCCTCCCTTAGCTACACCATGGTCTGTAAGTGAGTATCCTAGATTATACTTACATCTTTAGTATTGGCTGTGATATAATTAGCTGTCTCTGAATCATCTTCACATTTTGTAAGCCATTTCTTAATTGTATAGCAATCTGTTGGTGCATGGTATTTTTCACCACACATAAAACTAAGAGAAGCAAGGAAAATACAAAAGGACATAATTTAAAATGTTGAATGGGTGGGAAAAGCTATACAAGGTACTGCAAATGCAAATCAACAGGCAGTCTCACTTAAAATTTACACTCCCAGACACATTTGTTGGAACAACCATTGCCCCCCCCCCTCCCCTCCCTGCCCTTCTCCATGATAGTCTGCAAGATGGCATGAAACAATGACAATTTACAACACTGGAAGGGGTAGAGGCACAAAAGACCATCATAGATACAGTTCTGGAAGAAGTGTCTTAACTAAATATGTAGCAGAATGTGGAATTATCATAAATTAAGTAACAAAACACACTCACAAGATTAGTAAATTGTTCATCTTTGGGGAAAAAAAATTAATCTCAAAATTCTATGATTAAGAGCAAGAATATTGAATATTAGAGAAATGTCCTTTTTTAAAAGCCTTTTATCAATATTTTCTTCTGTCTCAATGCTCAAACATCAGCTAAAAAGTTTCCAATTTTAAAACAACCAGAAATTTTGACAAATTATAATTTAAACATTCCCCACCTCTTAAACACAATCATATACTGTGCATGACTTTCCCTTTAGCTCCTCAACACCTATGAGTAACTAGGATCTAATTTCTCCTTACAATATCACCCTTGATACACATATTAAGGTAATGAGAATAAAGGATATGATCACCAACTAAAGAAGCTCCTGATTTTTAAACAATTTCTCTTTGTTGGCAAGTTAAGAAAGGTGTAGAAAACATTGTAAAGAATATGTATGGTGATGTTAGGGTGTACTGGGTTAATGTTGTTATAGTTATAAAAGAATGGGGAAAATCTGACTCACCAAAATATTGAACTGCAATTTGAACACCATATTCTTTTTGCTTTAGGCTCCAACACCTTCACCAGGAAACCACAATCATTGCCAGGACACCATCTTATTAAAGGATGACACTAAAAAAAGAAAAAAGCAAAAATTTATTTTTAGATTAGAAAACAAAGTCAAGCTTGGACCAAAAAAATTATTTTATTAATACAACTTAAATAGTTTAACAGAAGTAGGGTGGAGATGACAATGTTTTACCAGGCGTGAGGTGATTACAATGTATGTATGTGCATGCTTACTTCCCTAGATGGGATAACTGTCCATTGCAGGTCCCCCCCTCCCTCCCCCCCCCCCACCTCACCAACTCACACTCCTGGGTGGAGAGGCAATGTGACAGCAAAATGTTCTTCTGACGGCAGTCTGTACTCATGAAGCCAAGTGGCCCACTCAGCCCCTGCTTCTCCTGGCTTCCTTAGCATGAAGCAACTTGTAGTGCCATGGATGGGATGCTCGTTACGCAAGGTTACCCCCCAGCATTCAGTTAGGTTCCCTGAAAATTCGTAGGCATCCATATATATCCAAGGGTGGGATGACACATTGTTAGAATAAAGTAATTTTCCCAACAAATTGTCCTGGCCAGGTCTTGAACCTAGACCTCCAGACTCAGAGTCCTTCTGATGACCACAATACAATAACCCACCAAAGCTCCCACCTGGATTTCTTGATCAGCCATCCATTATGAACACAGACCATTAAATATCCACTTTTCCCTTGCCCTTTTCAATACAAAGTGCTATTGCCAAATTTGAGTTCAGTTGCTTCAAAACTGAAGAAAACAAGTGTTGACCCATCCTTATTCACTCTGATCAAGAGCCAACGCTCCAAACATAAGCTTGTAAACTCTTAATGGTGGCCAATTTACATTATCAACCCAGCTGATAATACCAAATTACCCTATTATACTTTCCCATTTACGCAACACCACAGTTTCTCTAGAAACTCACCCCCCAAGTCATAGTTACCTTAACTTCATCATTAAAAAGAAACTGTCTATATTTTTCTCTAGCAGCCACATTTTTTAGTATTTTAAGAGCCATTTCCTCTCCAACTAAGAGATTACAGTTCATACATTCAATGCCTGCAAAAAAATCAATAATAACTGTATTAAATTCCTAATTGTTTATCACATAGGTGCACAGTAATTCAAACAGAGGTTAGGAGCTTTTTTTTAAACAGCAGTTTTCAGTTTCTGTATCAGTTTTAAGAATGTAACACCAACAGTATGTTAAATCATCACCATGGATACTTTCATTGTTCACAGAAGGGTGCTACAACTGGACCAAATAATTTTTTCTGGTGCAGGAGGAAAGGAACAATTTACAAGAGAGTAATTTTTCCTCAGCATCATTGTCTATATGCAGTATGCAGACAATTGTTTTGCACACTAAGTAAACATTATTTTTTTCAACCCCAGAAAAAAGAAGATTTAGTACATATACCTTCTTACCCCTTTCACTTACAAGAGTGACCAAAAAGACTTTTCTCCTTACCATATATTAAATACAATTCAAGCACATAGATTTTGACAAGAAAGAAAAATATCAACTGAGGATCATTGTGTGATTCAGTACCAAATTCTCAGAACTAACATACTAGAAACTTATTGTAAACAGATCAGAGAATTTATATATTGATCTTGGGTGTGAATTTATTAACCCTTCAACCCCTGAGAGTGACTATCAAATAACTTCTCCCTAAAGTAAAACTCTTGCATCACACATCGAGGTCATGAGAATAGACGAAATGATCACCAACTAGTGTATACATCCTCTTGATTGATAAACAAATTCTCCTTGTTAGTGCCCAAGGAAATATATAAAGAGCAGTAGGAAGAGTATGCATACTGATACTAGAGTGTAAAGGGTTATCACACCAGTACATGAGTTACCCAACAGTACTTACCAGAAGATAAACCAATCTGTAACTGGGTAACACAATATAACATCCAACAGTCATCACAAAATGAATGGCCACATGATGCACTGCTTGTGTTGGATTTTGTACAACGCTGAAAGCATACTGGGCAGTAAAGAGATCTTGATGTCTGAAAGATGCGAGAAAATTCATTGAAGATAACATCATCCATACTATTACAACTTACACAATCTGCAAGATTTGTGGGAAGGATGCAAACCTACATGCACAAATCATAGAGTACAACTTAAAATCTTTTAAGGAAGATCTGACAAAATATATTGGCACAACAAAGTAACCATGACAACATCCTCATATATAATTACTCACCGTTTGAGTGGCAACAGCTTTTTCTGGAATGATCCTTCCTTCCACAAGAAGTCCTACAGGATTGACTCTGTGCCTGTATGTACAATGACAAATGTTTTTTGAAATATGAGGGCACTCATAGTATCATATTTATTCAATAAATTCAATATTAAGAATTGGATCATTGGATAATGCAGTCCAAGAGTTTTCATTGGCTAAGCCATCATGGGTCATGAGCTATTATACAATGCATGTGTATGAAGACAAGTTTATGCAAAGGTGTTTTTTTACATTGTAACATTCCATTTGTTCTTACAAATAGAGTTGGGAAGATTTATCTATATTTTTAGGTGTTTTTAATAAATTAAGAATTTGTTCATGCTTAGCGTGCGTATATCGAGTTATGGATGCACGCAGGAAGTTTGGAGAGCACAAAAATTACGTAAGAGTAGCTCGAGGTGCAGCCGAGAGCAACTCTAGCTTTTTGAGTGCTCTCCAAACTTCCCAAGTGCATCCATAACTCGATATACGCACGCTAAGCATGAACAAAGAGTGCTCTCCAAAATTCCCAAGTGCATCCATAACTTGATATATGCACAGCTAAAAGCATGAGCAAATTTTTTTATAACAGAGCAACAATGAACAAAAAATGCTCACCTCATCTTATTTATGCACGGGCACATAAATAAAGATTTTGTTCATAGCAGCTCAATAGGGCGTACATAGGGCAAGCACGTGCGCTATGTTATAAATAATTATTGCACCTATGCTTGTTGGATATGAGATGATTCAAGCCGAGTTAGCTATATATCGCATCATATCCTATGCATGCTCATGGAATAATTGTTTAACCCTTCAACCCCTAGGGGTGATGAGCATCTAATTTCTCCTTACAATATCAACCCTGAATCACACATTAAGGTCTTGAGAATAAAGAAAATGACCACCAGCCAAAGAAGCTTTTGATTGTTAAACAAATTCTCCTTGTCAGCATCTTAGAAAATGTATAGAGAACAGTATGGAGAATATGCATACTGATGTTAGAGTGGAAGGGTTAAGATTAGTACCTTGTATGGCAAATTTTAAATAGATACAGATGTCACAGGAGATCAAAATGTTTTATTGAGGAATATTTGCCTTTTTAGAATAGTGTTGTTCAGCCAAAACATTTGGTTGTTTAATACGTTTTCGAGTTAATTATTAAACATGAGATTGCCACCATTAGCCCTAATTAGTACTACCACAGAAATATCCCATTACGTTTTGATTGCGTAAATAGGACTGTATGTTACCTTTCCAATATCTTCTCTGTGTTCCAATCGTGTTGCATAAGAAGGATTCGAGACACAGATTCCGATACCTGGTTATAAATTCAAGAAATAAGTAGATTCGTTAAGAGCACAGAAATTGAAATTCTTCCAGTATTGGAAATCGCAATTTTAGTCAATGATGGAATTGCTGAACAATTTTCGTACGCATCAGCTAGTTTTCTTAGCGATTTTACCTTAATTTCCTGAGAGATCTTGGCTACTAAAGCGTCAAAAACTTCTTGTGCTTCATTAGGATCAATGATCTGGAATTCAAAGGCTTCAGGATCGTCCTCCTTGTCTGATGCCATTCCTTCGTCTTCATCACCATTATTATAATAATAATAATCATCGTCATCTTCATCTTCGTCATACTCACTCGATTCCGGCTCTACAGAGTCTTGAGATTCAGTATCAATGCCAGACATCTTTAACTACAGGGCCACGGTGTTAGAAATTGCAAAACACGAATAAAACTACTAGAAACTTCTTGAAGTCTTTTTCGTTGATCAGGACGGCAAGAGCAGTTGTTAAAGTGATGCCATTCATCCAAATATGGCTATGATGGCCAAATATAGAAGTAGTGGGACTGGGATCTACAATAGACAAATTACCGCCATATTTGATTATTTTCGCTCCGAAATCAAAAGTTGGCAATTTTAGCCTAGTTTTAGGGTTTTAAAAGTTCCTGTTTTACCATAATGTCTCGTATCGTTCAGATATGTAAAAAGAGTTTTTATTTTTCTCGCTGAGAACACTTCAAATCATGGAAACTACGTGAGAAATTGAGCCTTGCAGTTCACCTCAGCAGAAACGATGAGTACTTTTGCGGGAAAGTTCAGAGAGTATCCGTTGATTTCGGCGGACAATTTTGAAAGAGAAAACCTCGATAGCTTGGCTTTTTTTCTTTCGCACTGCCATAAAGGTAAGGATATGATTATGTTCTATTTATTTTATTTCTGTGGTGGGGAAGTTTATTAGAGCGATGTAAAGTTAGCAGGAATTGATGTTAAGACTTGTGATGCAATTTTTTGTTAAAAAAATATTACTTTGTGCACAGCATGCATACTTCATAAGTGTCTGTGAAATAAGAGGAAACCCCATAAAAAGCCAAGAATTTGTTTCATTTTTGTATTCATATGTAGATCACATGGTTGGATTAGATTCTGCAGCTTTACACCATAGACTAAAGGCCAGGTATGCGAATACAAGATTCTGAACTGGACTAAGATAGAAATCTTTTGATGCACGTCTCGATTCAAATTTCCACCATGCAAGCCTGACTCAAAGGAAATTTCTAAACCACTCAATATGATTTTAAGAAATGTAGGAAAAATTTCTGCGTAGCCCCATACTTCATTACGCATGCACATCTTATTGGTGATACACTGAATAATAAAGCCCCATATATGTATGCATAATGAATGAAGTATGTCGCTGTGCGGAAATTTTGCCGAAATGTTTGGGACAAAGGGTACTAATTAACTTATATCTTCACAAATACAAAACTCTTAAATAAAATGCAAAAAGTACATATCAAATAATACACAAACATGTCATTAAACAGAGATAATTTAGTGTTATCAACTGAGTTGATAAGGTTAATAGACCACTGTAAAGAGTTTCTAAGCTGATGTTTTGAGCATTAGCCCTTTTTCTTAAAGAAATGTCTACTAAGAAACTCTTTGCAATGGTCAATTTACCTTTATTTAGTCATCAACTCAGTTGAGAAGACCAAATCATCTTGTTATGCTTCCTTGCTTTTGCAACCCAACATACAGTCATATAGACCACTGTAAATAGTTTCTAAACTGATGTTTTGAGCATTAGCCCTTTTTCTTAAAGAAATGCCAATTAAGAAACTCTTTGCAGTGGCCAATTTACCTTAATTTAGTCATCAACTCAGTTGATAGGACCAAATCGTCTTGTTATGCTTCCTTGCTGATGCAGCACAACAGTCTCCTTAGAGATTCCCCCTTTATTCATTAAACTGAGTGGCTGTGTTATAGAAAAACCAAACAGATGCAAGAGACCAGCATAAGATAATGCTGAGAGGGTTGGGAAGAGAAAGAAAAATGACTTTGAAGAGTACAAATAAGCTAAGCAGTTAAGCAATAGAACTTAAATGATCCCTTAAGTATCTTGCATGACCATAATTTTACTAGCCTTAGGAGAACTAACTAGTAGTAAAAGTATTCACAAGTGAATACTTTGCTGACATTGAATTACTTGTACTACACATACTGTAAGTGAGCTGGCTTTATTGCAAGTATGAAGTAAGAATGTTTCCATGCTAATTTTTTATGGTTGTAATTTAGAAGTACATCACCCAAATAATAGGTGATGATTTTCCTTGTGGATTATGCAGCAGCCAAAGCACAAAAGTTTCACCAGTTAGTTCAAATAATTAATTATAATCATGTAATCAATGGTCACTTTATTAAAAAGAAAAACTGAGCACTGCACATACTTTGTAGTTCTTTTTTCCAACAGTATTCCCCTCTCATTGGTTTCTTTTAATTCATTTTTTCAACAGCAAAACTGTATTCCTGTATTGTTCAGAAACTACAGAGAACTTGTTGATGTGCAACCCAACATACAGTCATCTCAAAGACTATATTGTTAATATCTAAAGTTTTTGTTTCATTAAATACATTGTCATTTCTTTTTCAATGTTTTTCTCTTTCTCTGTTGTTAAACAAAAGAGCATTGAAACCAAAACATCATTCTCCTTATTACAGCGCAGTATTCCTGTGGACCAGCAGACAATGGTTCCACTCATTGATGACAAGACAGGACAGGTAAATTGTTTCTTCTTGTTGTACACTTTCCCTTTAATTTATGATCTAGCTTTCCATTAACTTTTTAATCCTCAGAGTGACTGGCTTCTAACTTCTCCTTACCATATAGCCTTGAATCAAATGTAAAGGTTGTGAGAATGAAGGAAATGATCAGCAATGTGAGAAACTTCTGATTGTCAAACAAATTCTCCTTGCCATAGGAGATGTGAAGAGAACTGTGTGGCTGTGTGGAGAATATGAATTCTAATTTTAGGGTGGAAAGGATGAATTACAAGTTCTGATATTTAAATGGTTCATTACAGATCTGAAGTTATTTGGTTTCTTAGTGTTTTTATACTAGATCTGCTTTTAGAATTCTTGTGGTTTTGAAATTTAATATTTCTTGAGGTAATAAGTAATTCCTGTTTGTCTTGCTCTTTTCATAGGAAACTTCTTTTTGCGTAACATTGTTGCCTGCTGGACATTGTGTTGGATCTGTCATGTAAGTAAGATTTTATGTATGTGTTAGTTAAAAAGTCAAAGGTCAAGGTATATGTAGCTGGATTTCACCAAGTTGATAACCTTTAATTTGAATCTGTGGGGAATTTTTCTCAGCCTTAAAAAATATTATTCTAAACAGAAGGACTTGCCTAAAAGTTACAGTGTTTGTGAGTTTGTAAGCTGGCTACAATAACTTTTACACTGGATCAAAGTTACCTTTGTTTCAACCCTGCCAAAATTACATTTCATCTCATGATAAAATTGAAAGAGAATAACTTTCATGTGTATTCACTACATCACTTATGTGTACACTTTGTAGGTTCTTATTTGAGGGTCCGGGTGGGAACGTGCTCTACACAGGTAATCTCAACCTTGGCTAATATAATAATTATTATTGAAAACTCTGATTGGTCGAGAGCATACAGTACAACAGCGTGTGAAGTTAACATGATAACCCAAGATCTGTAGGAGATATTGAGTCATCATGTTGCATTAAGGTCTGCCTAGTTTCCAGGCTCCTTTTCCATGTTGGGTTCTCAAAGTGTCTTTTGCAGATTGTTTAAAAAGTGTAGAATTAAGTAACGATAAAATTTGGTTCTCACATGATGTCATGATTTATCAAACCTTTGAGTCTGTGTTATCTGCCTCTGCCTTTGGCTTCAGTTGATAACTCAGACTGTGGCATTGATAATTCATGATATCATGTTCAACCTCATCTAATAATTGCTTAATGTATGGATTGTTAGGATGGAGTGGGAGTTGTAGTGATAATTGGTGAAAATAAAACTGACAGAATCTAAAGATGAGTGCTGAATCCATTCGTGATTCCTGCATATATGCTGTATATGATCTGCTAAAAATTAGACTGTTGAAGCCTTAGGCATTTAAAGGGCTAAAATCCTGCAGCAAGGTTCTATGGCTCTTCTGCTTATTTTGAGAATTAAAAATATAGTTTTTCATTGGATCTAAGTGATAGAATTGTTAGGATAATTGAAATAAAATTGACACATTATCATTGTTTTGATTCCAGTACCATCAAGCTTTACTCTGCTTTTAACTTCAGTTAGTTACATACACCTTTATTCAAATTCTATATACAAATAAATTTATATATAAAAATTTGAAAAGGGGAGTTTGGAGGTTAGCCCTATATAACAACTCCCCTGAATAAAAAATAAAAAGTAACAAATGTAGAACTATGTACAGAAAAAGTACTGTAGTTACTGTTATGTCTCCAATAAAAACTTTAGTTCTGTGGCTAAAAAAAAACAGCTCTCATATTTATGAAGGGAAAGACGAATATAGTGTAGAAGGCACATTTCCTTCAGAAAATCCAAAATTTGGATTCTTAAATCATATGATACACTCTAGTTTTTTTTGTATCTGATTGGCAGGTGATTTTCGTTTATCCAAGGGAGATGTGAAGAGAATTTCTTTCTTTCATACCAAAGAAGGGTTTGTACATTTACCTTTAACTCATTTAACCACAATATTTGCAGTTATTTTTTACTTGTTTGTAACAAGTCATGGCAAAGAGAAATAAAGAAAACTTTATGTCTTTGAGGGACACCTTTTTTTTTATCACTCCCTTGTTTCTCCTGCTAAAGGTGGTGTCAGATTCCAAACCTTACAGTTTGTAAAGCATTATACACAGCAGTGGTCACATGGGAACTTCTTAAAAACCCTAGTGTAGTTTACCAACAAGTCATCTGTAGCTCAGTTGATAATGCATCTGACTGGGAAATCATAAGTTCTGAGGCTTGAATCTTCATAAGAAGCTCTTGGTAGTGTTCTAACTTTTTAGGGGAAGGGGTGAAAGCCTTGGTTTCTTTTCTTTTTTTTTAGGATCAAAGATATCAAAAGCATTTACATTGACACAACATTTTGTCTGCCAAGAATGAAGAGCCTTCCTAGTCGGGTGGGTATTATGTAATTTCCTTTCAATTGGTTATTTACAATGTTAGGAGTGGCTCTATTTATTCCAAATGCCTCAGTCACATTTACAGCACAATTAATTATTGCATGTGTAAATGTTGTGGCTAGAAGCATAACAGTTTTAGAATTCCTGTTTAAGCCATGTCTTGGGTCCAATTTCTTGTGTTCTTAGGAAAGACACTTTACTCTCACTTTGTCTCTCTTGACCCTGATTGGCACAAATGAAATGTGACTGCTCTTAGAGTGCATTATAACAAAAGTACTTCAAAGGAAACTGCTACAAAATTATTGAATTTAATTTTTTAAGTTGCATGATAAGTGTGCATGTAATACAAAGGTTTTTTTTAGTGCTCTTAAGAGGGGCTTGATTTTGATGCTATGGTTTCTGAAATAACGAATTCATGCTCTTATGAAATCGCAGCAACAGAGTAGAGATGCTGTTATAAACCTCATGGACAGGTAAGGTTTAGGAGGTTTTTATTGATAATCTTAACATATAATTTTGGAGTGCTATCCAACAATATAGGGACTGTTCATTATTTATCGTGGGGGGGGAGGTTGGTCAGAGTATTTTGGTTGTGTCACTGACAGTTAAATTTATCTGATCTCTCCCTCAAGACTCTTTAGTGTTCTAGTGATCCCTCCTTATTGCCAGTTATAATTGTTACTGTATGTTCCCCCCCCTCCCTTCCCATGGTGGTTATCATGAATAAATGATGACTAGTCCCTAAGGAAACAAACTTCAAATTAACAATCTTTATGCTATGAATTAAGTACATGGTTTTGTTGGAAACAGTAAAGAGAAGGAGACTAAAAACAATGACAACAGTAAAAATCATAAAAAAAGTTTTTGTCATTTCCTTTTCATTTGAAATCTAAGAAATACTTTATGAATATCAGATTTTTTTTATCTCTGTGTCACCAATTTGCATTTTCTCTTCAACCATTTTAAATACATGTCTATTTAACAGGTGGTTTTCAAGAGGTCCTGAATATGCTGTGAGCTTGTTATGCAAAGGAATGTACGGATTTGAATATTTATTGAAGGAAATAGCCATGAATTATAGAACAAAGGTAACTGTGTTTTTTGTCTTTCTGTAACCCTTTAACCACCATAAGTGACTGGCATCTAATTTCTCCTTACAATATCACCACTGAATCAAACATTAAGGTCATGAGAATAAAGAAACTGATCACCAACTAAAGAATCTCTCGATTGTTAAACAAATTCTCCTTGTCAGCACCCTAGGAAATGTATAGAGAACAGTATGGAGAATATACATACTGATGTTGGGGTGTTGCTGTGGGAAAAAAGTATGAGGCCTTGAGCAACACAAGTGGGCGAGAGGTCTGCAAGGGGCCTGGCTCTGCCAATGACTCATGATTTGTGCCAAACCCTTGGTAACCTCTCCCTGACTCTACACAAACCTCCTTGGAGGCAAAGAAACACATTATGCAGCACTATTAATGAGGGGCTGCTTGCTGATTATCTTTCATTTTGAGCATTTTTCCATGATACTACAAATATGAAGCATTATGTATTTAGGCTCTCTTGGCCTTGGTCTGGTTAGACTCTGAGTTAACTTGTGTGTCTTTAAATCCTTTGCGTTGTAATAAGATCCATGTCAGTGCTGAGCGGCTGGCCATGTACAGATATCTGCCGGACATGACTCCTTATTTCACAACTGATGGTCAATCTACCAAGATACATGCATGCAAGTGGCAGGTATGGACAGAAGGATTTCAAGATTGGTACTCTCCCAGATTCTCAGTAAAAAACGGTGATACCATGCTGAGTCAGCCACTATAGGAAAAAAGAGTTCTTAGATGTCTCTCAGACTCTACTTTCCATTACCCTTGTCAAATTTCACCCCTCATCCCTTCTTTAAAACTGCCTTTCCCCTCCCCCCCTTAAATTACTCTGGATTTTTCTATCTTCAAAATTAATTTTTCTGTGGAAGTCGTTGAATATGGGAAGGGAAACAATCTCAATAGAACTCAAATTTGAAGTAACTTCTGTTATTGACACAAAGTCAGCCATTAAACAACTGCTTTTGTCACTAATCCTTAGTAGAATTTTGCAAACCTGGTTACCCACAGTGGCTAAAGCATGTTAGTTTTTCCTGGCATGAAGTTCACAGGAAGGGGAGGAAGGACTTTGTTTAGTCTCATTAACAGCCTTAATTGACTTGTCTTGGGTACGGTGTTCAGCACAAGATGCATTAGTGTTTCCCATGCATCATTCCAAGCAGGAAAACGTGTTCTCTGCGATCAAAGTTTTTTTAGCTGGTTCAAGCTACAGAGAGTTTCAGAGCTGCCGTTTCGAACATTCAACGAAGGGCTAACGCTCTTTACGGAGGCCAATTTACGTTATCAACTCAGTTGATAATATTAATTAAATTAAGTTACCACAGCAGCACCACAGTTTCTTTAGAAACTTACCCTTACCCTTACCCCCTTTATTCAAGCTACAGAGACTAAACCCAGAATAAATGGGACACAGTAGTAGGCCCTTGTTCAGGTCACCCATCTTTCCCACCTCCCTCCTCCTCCTTTAAATGCTGTTATCCATATCTCCATGTTAAATTCCTCAGGCCAACCAAAGGTGTGACTCAGACCTCCCTTGTGGTTCTTCTGTTCATCCCTCTCTCAAGACAAAGGTTCTGCGTATAAAGCCAACAACCATGTGGGTCGCACGTAGCACAGAACCGATGCCGGAGGATTTCAAAAGGTGAGAACAAATACCAAAGCTTATTTTACATCCTCATTGATCTGATCACCCTGTAGTTTTCACCACATTTTCAAGAGATTTGCTTTGGCAAGTTCCCATTAAATTTCCCTCTTTTCATTGAGAACCCTTCGAAGTAATTTCCCACACGAAAAAATAGCCCAATATAAAACGCCGCAAAGATTTAAGTCTAATAAAAAAAGCTCTATAGACGCATAGGTCCCTCTGCATTCTTTCTACTCGTGCTCTGTAAATATGGCTGTCCGTCTACTGTATGACCCCCTAGTATAAATCGATAAGGAATAAAACTTGACAAGATTGCCTTTCCTTCCTCGCTAATGTGGTGCTGTTTGAAGAGAAAATCTCCAAAGAAGATTTTTTTCCAGGCGTAAATTTCAGTCATCTTGAAATGCAAAACAAAAAAAAAAACACACGCAGAAAAAGAAAAATTGCTTTTTGTCCCTAAGTTTTTTCGGGTCTATGATGCTTACGTTGCTGTTGTACACGTCACAAAAACTCAGCTCTTTTCAGTCAAAATAAAAGGTATCAGTGAAAATGAAGCACTTCTGATGCTATCCGCACCATGCGTGTATTTCAACCAAAGATTTTTTCCATCCTCAGGTATGACAAGGGGAAAAGGCTCTGGAGAGTTGTTCATTCAATGCACGCATCAATGGAAGAGGTACTGCAACCTTCAGTTGCTAATAGTTGAACTTCCTCTGAAGGGGTTAGGGGTGTTTAAAAAATATGCGGATATGAAAATTTGGCCATAAAAATCATGTTCTGGGTTCCAGGTTAAGAAAACCTTAAGATCGTTTCTAGGCTCAAAATCGCTAGCTCAGTTGCTAAGAAAAAAAAAGGAAGGCATGTAAAGCATACGGAAGTTTTACCGCTCAATGATGCTAAAGCCGGTGGAGTAGCAGCGAAGGTTCTCATTGAAAACCTTGTCATTTTCCGACACAAGCTTCTCACGGTTCGGCCGCTTAACGCTTCAAAGCGCCCGCAAAACTGCCAGCTGCGCAGGCTTAAATGAGTAAAGAATGAATGAAGTAATAAATGAGTAAAAAAAAAGGTGACTGTGTTATTTGAAGCTTAGTGAGGAGCAGGCTTTTGTGATACAACTTGGGTGTCTTTCAGATCGAGGATTTAGTGGGCTACTTAAGGCCTTATCATGTTTTCCCCAACGTACCGCCAGCAGGACTGGACACATTAGAAGATGCTTTTGAAAGGTAAGCTAACACCATGTTAGGTTTGGTAACCAAGTAAACACGAGCGCGAGCGTATCTTGGTAATAGTTGTTGCCAGTTTCAATTTCTGACCAGTGTGTTTTAAACGGCAAGGATTAGTTAATTAACGCTATCAATCCTAAGATCTAATTAATAATTCTCCTTTTTTTCTACCATACAATTCTTATGATGTAAGTTTGAAGAATTTGGTATTGAATCAACTAATAATCCCCTTACCGATATTTTTCTTATTCTCCTCACTTGTCTGCTTGATATTGTATCGATATTGTCAGAAGAAATTATGTCTTGGTCACTCATGGGAGTTAAAGGGTTAGGGAGGTGTCGTGTTATCTTGGCAGCGTGTTACATATGAACGCAGTATGTGGCCTAGCTCACCATCTTGTTCTCTGTAGCCTAGTAGTGGAGCATTGTAATGTGAAATTTTAAGCTTTGGGGTTCAACTTCAAAAAAAGGGACCTAGCCTGATTTCTTTCTTTGTCCTCAGCTCGTTACAACTCGAATAAACAGCGGTCTTTATCCAAATTTCTCGCTAGTCTCAGGCCCTCAGTCAGTGGGAAGGTGCTTAAAAGTGGGTGCGCGGAAACAGTAGGGGTCTGGAAAGGAAAAATATTACAGCAGTTTCTCTGACAACCATGCACAGCCGCCGTTTTCGTTCGCCTTTTCTTTAGCTGGCCTCCATTGACTATTAAGGGCCTGGAACAAGCTCTCGACGACTAAGTAGCATTATTTTATAAGATCTACAATTTTGCCTTTACCTCAATTAAATTTCCTCACAAGATTGCATTATTTCGAAAACCATTTTTTTTTATCGCAGACTGAAGGGCCTTACTCGCATTCAAGATTGTGATTCTTGTAACCAAGACGAGTCTGTGGAGGAGAGATTCAAACAACACGCTGCTCATCTCAGCGGAGAGGGTGTCACTAAAGACAAAAAATCATTAGAGGAGAAAGCTGCCTTGAGAAAGATTCAGCTTTGCGCCCCACCAAAGCCTGACGAGAGGGGTATGTAAAACCTCGTTCACGTTGGTCGATCTCCCTATTTATGTGATCCGATGAAATGATCACGTTGCTCTCCGCCGAGCAGTATGTTTCCAATTTATTTTTGCCTTCCAGTCCTGTGTCTCACGTAACAGGATTTGTATATTAGATTAGTTTGCAATTCCAAGGTTTTAAGTAGAATTAGGAATGAATGGCGGAATATTTCAAATCACTTCTCCGTAGGGTTGCAATGAAAGCCGCCGACCGGCACAGTACCTCCAACCATAGAACTCTCACCACCGTCAGTTCTTCTAGAAGCCGTTTATAGGAAGACGTATTGAAAATCCTAGCTTACGTCCCTTAAGTTGATCAGTTGAATTTTTCCTTTGTTCCCTTTCGAAAATGTATTTTTATCTTCTTATGAGCGCTGAAATGGATTGTTTCTTTTCCTCCTTTTTGTCTCTTCCTACTCAGTTCTTTTCTAGCCGCTTTGTGTCCATTCTTCCCGCCGGGTATCGCTCTCTGTGTCCCGCCAGTTTTATTATACCTTTCTCTCGATGTCTGTTTGCCGACTGTCAAGTCCATCGTTAAGGTCCTCGTGTGTCATGTCTTGATTCTGTTACAATGCCATTGCCTCCATGAGCATTTAGGAGTTCTAGATCTGTATCGACTGTCTTTTTTTTATTTCCCACACTCAGTTTCTTGGTTTCCGGTTTGCTGTTGTAAAATTAACGTTTCTCCGTCTGCAACATAATTGAAATCTGCGAACAAGGATTAAGTCTTGGAAAAAGTACGAAGTTTTACCAGTTAACGAGCTACAAGTCGTCAAACCAGAAAGAGAGGGGTGCTAGGGCAGAGTCCTATCTTGTAATAACGGGGAATGTTCACAACCAATTTTCATTTGTAACAATGTTTTACATAAAACAGCCGCTATACATAAAGTTAGTTTCTCTATGTATTTACTAGTCCTTGCCCAGTGTAAGGAGCTGGGACTAATTGATGACGAGAACCTCACACCACCTCCAAAACGACGTAGAAGCAGACGTCAAGGTATAGCTCTGGAGGAGAAAACCACTGTGCCACAGGACACCCAAGGAAGCTCTTCCAGAAAGGTCATCATAAGCGTGTCACAAGAAATCCAAGGGAACTCCTTCGATGGGATAAACACAACAATACAAAAGCAATCTAATGAGAAATCTTTTGGTGAAGTCGTCACCACTGTTTCACCGCAAACTCGCGAGAAATCATCTAAAGATGTTGATAGAAGTGTGTCACAACACGCCAACATTAACGGATACGAGTTCATAACAGAAGGAAAACCCATGATTTGTCCAAAAGTTGAAGATGTCCAAGACAGACCGACGGAATTTTACGAGAATTCATGTTGTCCTCCTAAAACTGAAAAGAAAGCTGAGGATGAAAAACCAGCGGAATGTAAAGTATCTGAAGTTTTGAGCAACACAGTTGTCTTGGAACGTACTAGTCATGGTCAAAAATCTTTAGATGGTATTGCTTCTAATAAAATTGACCACAATCTTACTTCGGACACGGGGATGACATCGAGTAATCCAGTCTCAGTTGTAGAGCTTTCAGGGTCAGATGAAAACTATGACCAGGGACCAGTGAGTGGGGAGCCAAGATCGAAAGCAGACTTTGATATCCCTCCCTCCCCGGGGCATGTAAAACCACTCCCAGACAAGCTGTCTGCGATTCACAAACTGCTAGGAAATGGCGAATCAACGTCGATTACAAATATACTCAAATTTTGAGTCGGAAGTACGTCAAATCTCATCGAGAACTATTTTTTTTCTTTGTTCAATTTTTTTCTGGCCTCAGTAGTTGTTGCTTGTTTTTATTATTATTATTATTATTATTATTATTATTATTATTATTATTATTATTCCATCAGAGTGTGTTTCTGTTACTAATGTGTTTTTTCTGCAGTGTTTCAGGCCTTACTTGGCCTTTCGAAGTTAACTTATTGTAGCTAAGAGCAGCAAACAAACAACTTATAGTCAGAATAATCAAAGAGAAGAAAGAATAAGTTTCTTTTTTTGTGATAACATTAACAATTAACGTGGTATTTTTACGATTAACTAAGACCAGAAAAATAAGTCGTATGCATACGGCTCATCTACGAAAGCAGCCAAAATTTTAAAAGCCTGCTTCTCTATCTACACATGAAGCCACTTTCTGAATATATGGAAGTTTTTAGGGACTCGGTATAGAAGAAAAAAGGAATCAATATTGCAAATATATTTCTTATTGCCATCTTTTGTTTTAGACATGCAACACATACCCATTTTCCTTGAGAGCAAAACGGAACCATAAACAGTACTACCAAAAAATTATCGTTATAAGCTTCCCGATCAGCCGTCGTTTGATTAAGTCACCCATTCGCCTCCTCTCCGTTGTTTATCAGAACAGCATAAAAGAAATAGTTTAGGTGCTTTTTAATTATCTGTCTTTAAGGATAGCCACACAACACGTTACACTCCCTAATGTATACGTAACGACTAAGAAAAGAGTTTTTAAGAAAATAAGTTTTGTTAGAACAAATGCTACTGCTGTTGCCAAAGGAGATTAGTTATTATGTTATTTATTTATTTATATAGGGATTTATCACAGCTTAGTTTTCGCATAGCATTACTTTACATCAATTTAATATAAATTTAGAGATATTTACAGAGTCGTAGAGATTTTAGTCTCTTATTATGGCACTTGTTAGATTTTAACGAAAATGTTATCTAAGTATGAGTCACAATGCTTATTCAGGTATCAACTTAATTGATTTCGGCAATGCTCGCTACACCTTGCGGATCAATGTTATATTTAATATTTAATTATTTATGATAGTTAATTAATTCATATATAATTTACTATCATTTTAATTTATGAAAATGTATGTAGATTGTTCTAATACGTCACACATTGAATATATATTATCGATTATTATCATCATGATTATGATTGTCGCTTTCATTATTATCTGCAAGAAAGTTCATCTTGTATTATATTTGATTCGTTCCCGTATGGCGCCATAGTATAATTTAACCCCCACCAAGCAGCACCTAAATAGCAAAGCTTGTTGACAATTGAGTTTATTTGGGATGGGCCTGGCAAAAACCAACCCAAAACACTGTACGACAGTACAAAATCTACAAGAGCTTAATATGTGAATTAGGTAAAGTAAATTGATATGAGTGTTGGTCCTGAAGTGGTATAATACGCTATCACGGCCACTTGGGTGACTTCCACGCAGAACTTGCCGTTATCTGCGCAATCTTTCCGTCCCACTGCCAGTTAAGCTGGGAAATCACCTACTATGAACTTAAATCTAAAAATAAACTTACGTGTACGATGAATCATGCCAGTTAGACTGTTTAGGCCATTGGGCTGATGAACCTGTAAATCAAATAAACCTGGCATACAAATACCAGTTAGACTGGGAAGTGCTCTACTTGAATCGAAAAAAACCTTAATGTAAAGGTGTACGAACGCAACAAGCCCGTTAGGCTAAAAAACAGCAAATAGGGCTACTAAGCAAGTGCTTAGTAGTGCTATACTCAAGAGCAACGGTACCGATCAACGAGTCACCGAAATCGAAACACTTAAACTTAAAGATTTAGTTAAAGACGTAAAAAACAGAAAACAAGAAACGTTGCATTCTTCTGGTAGACGGAGCTAAGAAGCCGCTAACAATAGAAGAGCGATTAAAGGCCAGAAAAAGCCTGCTCAAAAAACTCAATGAGGAAAAACTAGGCAGGAAATCTGGGTAGGGGCTGAGGATCTAGCCCCTGAAACTATTTGCCCATCCACCGGAGGCTTCAGAAAGGCCGTGCAGTGTTTCGTGCCGACAAAACAATAGCATTTCTGTAATACCGGGGCAGTGGACGGCAAATCCGGGGCAAACCGAGAAGCTTAAAATTACAGGGATTTGAGATAAAGGGGTGGGACCCCTAGGGATTAAAATGTCCCTCCCCCCTTGCTCCACTACCCACCAGAAACCTTCCTGTGCTTAAGAATTGGAAGACGCTCCCTCTTACGCAGCCCAACGTTGCGTTACTCAAATTCCCAAAGAAAATTCCTCAGCTTTAAATCTCCTAGCAGACAAACTAATCCAATACTACTTGCAGTTCTATGAGATAAACATTTATTATATAAAAAAACTATATTTCTAACAATATAAAAACTTTATGTCTATACAGAGGGTTGGTAAACGAAAAAAATTAAGGATCATTTGAGAGCAAAAAACATAAGTGGATCAATAAAAAAAATTAAACCTCTCCAACAAAAAGCCCTTCTATTTCCTCTAGTGAATTAATTTGATTTTCTCATTTAACGTAAGCAATCCTTCAATCCATGCCTAAAGACACATAATTTTTGCAAGTGATAGAATATTCACAAAAAATAGCGAGAGATAATATTGACTTCTTAGTATATCTATAATTCCATATATTCAGCATTATTTGTCGATATTGCAAGCAATAGAAAATTTGATCGGTAAACCTCTACCGTCTTCTGATTGTCGAGAGCTTCAAGTTTGTGGTCGGCCGTTCGTAAGTAGGCCTTGAAAAAGTGATGGACACCAACACGAACTCGTCAAACATTGTACGAGTGAGTGAAATATTTGCAATAAGTTCGTTAAAAATCGCCTGGTAATCGTGAATGAATAGGAAAGCTTTTAGAGAACCGGTAAAAAGTTCGTAATGTTTTGTGAATCGAAGACAAAGATGAACAAACGAGGAATAAACGAGCAAAACTTGTGAGGCATGTTCACCTCTACAAATTCTGACCATTTACAACGTTCTTAGACTAGAAGCTTTTGACATTTTATCTAACAATTTTAAAATAGGACTAAACACTAACTATGGCCAGAGCTGTTGAGTGTCATTGTGTCCAAAATTTGTCCAAAATGTTCGTGAAAGCTTGGGTCTGCTCTTAGTTGCACGATTGAAATCGGAAAGTAAGCCTTGTTTACCCAACTGAAAAATCAAGTTTAATTATACAGCGGTTAACTTTTTCCACCAAAACTATACTTTTCAAGTCTTTCTCTATATATATAACGGTAAAACTTTGTAAATTTATAATAATTCTAAAGCATTTGATATTTTCCTAGGCACAGATAATATAAGGTATTCCAATTAGTAAAATGTCCTTCTTAACGTTCTCCATCTTTCGCAAAGAAACCTTGACATTACGTCCAACATCTTTGCGTGACTCGCACAGCGTGACTCGGACCTAACGCCCTGGACGGCGTTACTTCAGTGCGTGACAACAATTATTTCATGATTGCATCGTGGTCGCTTTCTTAAGTTCGCGTATCCACCTGAAAAAGTCAAACAAAATAAAGAGTTATTGCACAACCTATAGTAATAGTTATCTTTATGTGACACAATCATAGATAGAATTGAAAAATATTGTTTCCGTTCGGAAAGAGGTAGATCTGTTCATTTACCTTGTTGCAGAGTTTTCGTTATCTGCCTTGAAAACTAACGGTGAAATACCATGGTGTTTGAGTTGAAATACAAAATCATTCCCTTCCTGAAAACCAGTGACACACATAAACACACGTGAGAAAAAAGTATCAATTCCATCTTAACGGATGCACAGAAAGTCATCGGTGAAGTCAGAGTGCTTTTCGATTGAGGGTCATTAAATCGAAACTAAAGTGATTGCAACAACCAATCAGAAGGAAGGAAAATACCCTGAAAAGCCACTCAAATCTCAGAGTAAAAACAAGCAAAAAGACTAAAGCGCGGGAAAACGCGGACGACCAAGTCGTGATAGGTGCTAGGTTTGCATCTGATTGGTATAGAGCGTGGCGCGGGTTGTTTGGACTAATCATAGGGAAAAGTGAAGCAAAACCAGTACATCCGAATTACTTTCGACACTCAAGGTTATTGAATATTGCTCTAACAGCGTATTAGTTTCAACTCGGCGTTAAATCACCCCTCTGATTGGTTTATAACTGCGAGCCAATCGCTGCTTAGTGTACTACTATTTAGCCAATCACAGACGAGTGCTGTGTCAGTCATACCTTGACCCCTAGCAGTTTTCCCGCGCTTCTTCACTCGAGTTCACCAATAATTTTCATTGAAATTCACTTGACTTTCAGTTTCCATATCCCAGTACAATAATTTATATCTTTCTAAATTATCTCATTAGCTTAAAAGACAATGTCTGACTCTACTAAATTTTCATAAAGACGCAAAATACCTAATTAAGATAAGTAAACGCACCTTGCCAAGATCTTCAATTTCATAACTCAAGACTGGTTGACTTTCCAGCGCCACAACATCCTACAATTTCAAATTGATCAGAAAAACCAAACTCAGTAGTAAGACACGGTAATCACACAAACAAGTTCATCAACAGCCAGCAACTATCCAAACAATTTATCCTTTCCTATTCAATTATTTCTCCTATCTGCGTTTTAGTCTTGAGGTTTTTTTCACATTTCCTCCATATCATATTTCTCATATTCCCTGCCTTAGACGCGTACCACAGATTTCCTGCGCTAGCAACCTGCGTCTCGTTTCCCGCTTTTTTTCCACTTTCGAGATGAACACTTTTTTCCTTTTTTTTTTGGCTTGTTTATGTTTTAATTGTTTGTTTTCGCTCATAATACTGACTGAAAACGAGATTTCATATTTTTAGATGTAAACAAACGGTAACTTTTTGTGGTTTCAAAACTTCGTTAACATCTTTAACTTACTGAGCTGGCTTTGTACGAATACAAAACATTGTCCTTGAGCACAAACCACGACTTCTTCCATCCAAATTTTCCTTTCTTGTATTTTAAGTAGCCACTCATTTGACTTCCTTCCTGATTAGCGACGACCTATTGAGAAACAAAATATTTCAGATGTCAAATAAAAAATCCTTGTATCAAGCGCGGGAAAAAGATTGACAAGGTCGTGCGCAATTCTAGTCTTGCATCTGATTGGTTGAGAAAGCATTTTTCTCCACCAATCAAAGAGCAAAGTAAACAAATTAAAACCAAAGCAATCCCAGAGTACTTTAGACATTCACTGACCTCTGTTAAGTGCGACGGATGCATTATTGTCGATTTTCTTTTTGTTTTTCTACTCTTAAATCGTCGCATCATTTCAAACTTGGTCGGTTTTCGTAGCAGCTTCTCTGCGTCTTCTGCCTCTTGAAGCAACGGGGGAAGCGTAGACGTAGGCGATTCTTCCTCTACTGCTTTCATTTCAACGGTGTGGAAATCTGGAAAGGAGGAATTGGCGTTGTAAGCTATCCTGCACAGAGTAAATTGTTATCCCGTGTGTTTTGCATTGGATTTCACTATAACGCGTGTTAGACACAATTAGAGTGCTTTTGGATTGGGTGTCGCAAAACCAAAACCAACGTAATCACAACGGCCAATCAGAAGAAAGGGAAATACCTTGAAGAGCCAATGAGAAGTCAAAGTAAGAACAACTAAACTGCCTAAAGCGCGGGAAAAACGCGGGCGACCAAGTCGTGATTGCTTTTCGTTTTGCATCTGATTGGTTGAGAGGATAGCGCCAGTTTTCACAGCCAATCACAGGGAGTCAGAAAGTAAAACCAATGCAATCCCAAATTACTTTCGACAATCAATGGAAAATTGCTCGAAACTGCAATTCTCGCGAGGTCATTATTTTTTTCTTTTCGTTACATCGTGAAAGTTGACGAGCCTCTTTATCATTATCGCACTAAGCCAATTTGAAAAAAATCAGCTGTTGAAAAGGGGTGCTCAATAAGGGAAATAAAACGGCTGCCGTATTGGGAAGGAATTATTCTTAAAAACATTTCTCGCGCTCACCTTTTAAAAGCAGGTCATAGCACTTGTCGCAAACCCTAGCCTGGTTGTACTCCAAGTATGCCAGTGGAGCGGTGCTTTCCGAACAAGCCCCACAAACAACCTGAAACAATAAATAGACGACGTCCTCTTCTCAGTCCTAAATTTCAAATGAACCGTCACGCACTCGAAAATCCGAGTCAATATTTCCCATCTTCGACTAGTTTGCCGCTTTCTTGTCGGTTTTCTTTTTATCGCTCAGGTGCGTTTCTAACTCAGAAAAAAAGCAATTTTAACTCTTTGACCTCTTAGAGTAACCAGCATCTAATTTCTCCTTACAATATCACCACTGAATTGCACAGCACGGTCAAGACCATAAAGGAAATGATCGCCTACGAAAGAAGCTCTTGATAAATTCTCCTTGTTAGCACGTAAGGAAATGTACGGAGGACAGTAGGGAGAATATGCATACTGATGTTAAGGTGTAAATAGTTAAAGAATTAAGCGTAAAAAACTTAACATACACAAAACATGAAGTGTCTTTTTAGAGCCTAACCTGTCCTTAACTATGCAAAACTACCGCGCACAGTTTTTGTGGGGAAGAGGGTGAGGAGGTCATTGACAAAATACAATCCATGGAATCTTGAGTTCGAGATTGAACGATATGAAACTGAATTTTCAACACGCTGTACTTACGTTTCCACAAGCTCTGCAATGATGCCTCCTGTTGGTGAGAGTAAATGGAGACGTACAGCTCATGCACATTGTAACACGGTGATCCGGAATCCACACAGGGGCCTTCTCTCCGAGTTTCATGACCTCTTCGTCCCTCTCTTGCACTCCCTTCACAATAACGAGAACATTAAACGGATTCAGATTTTAAAAATTATGAGATCACAAAGCCTCGCAAATGTAAGTGGAAAGATGGAGAAAAGACCCCTCGTCAAAAAAATTCTGAAGCCAACGAAAAACGGCTGAGATACCGAGGGGGTTTGAGTTACCCCAGGGGTAAACGTCAGCGATAGGGAAGTCAGCACTCGGAGACGCAACCCCAAATTTGGAATATTCAGGGTAAAATCAAGCGAGAGGGAAGGGGGGGGGGGATTGGGCAGCCTCGACTTGGAGACATTCGTGAGTCGGGGAATTCATTTTAGGGATAGACACTCTTCAAGAGGAAGAGGTTTAATCTAACAACACACACACAAAAAATGATTTAGAGCAACCTCTTTTTTCTATTACCTTTAACAAGTTTAGTTCCGGAAACAGTGTGGGTGGGGGGGGGGGGGGGGGGCGGGGTGTGGGTGTCGGGGAGAGGTTTCTTAATTTAACTCAGCTATTTTAACCAATTGAATCAATTAAAGTGCAGAATTCCAAATACATTTTCAGTAAAGCAGCCGTAAAAGAACAATTTATTTTTACCAGTCCTGTTGCATCTCTTGTCTTGTTAAAAAATGTGATTTTCCGTTTGGTGACAACGTCTATGGCGTTATTCAAAGTCTGAAAATGAAGTTACAAATTTGGTCAATATCTAACAGGTGGAGAGGATGGACCTTCACTATCTAACTGGTGGAGAGGATAGACCTTCAATATCTAACTTGTTCATGTGTGTACTGTGTATCGTTGAAAAGAGCTGTAAACTTTATACTTAATGTTAAGTCTGAATAGGGCACAGAGTCGCACAGGTGCAAGAGGTTACCCCTTCAACCGTTCAACTCCCAAGATCTCATTGGTAATTCTCCTTACTGTCTGCGATATAATTCTTGTGATGTTAGTTTTGAGAATTTGGTGTTAGATCAACTAATAATCTCCTAATTAATAAATTTCTTTATTCTCATAATTTGTCTGGTTGACATTGTATTAATTTTGTAAGGAAAAATTCTGTCTTGGTCACTCATGGGATCGAGTTAAAGGTTTAACCCCAAGAAGTGACTGGGTTCTAATTTTCCTCATATTATCACCCTTGGAACAAATGTTAAGAACATGAGATCGAGGGTAAAATATCTTTAATTCATAAGTTGCGACTTTTGACAGTAGTACCTACCTCAACCCACTGATCTCTTTCTTCTGGAGTGCTGTTTTAAAAAAAAGTAGAACGTACTAATTATGCAATTTTGCACATACAAAAAATTCCCACAACACAGAAACTAACTTCAAGGCTGACGGTAACAATTAGAATTAGCATTTTTATTTATGGTCAAACAACTGCGAAATAATTTTATATTGTTTTTCTTTTAACTGTACTACTACTGACAGTACTGTGATGTTCCGTTACTATTCAATTAAATTGGCGTTTTTGCGTGAGGTTACGTAGGAATTACGTAACGCCGGTAGCTGTATATTTATTGCCAGTATGCGCGTTGTTTTCAATAGATAAGTATCACTGCTAGTCAATTTCAACCAAGTCAGTCGCTTCGTTAGTTTTTGCTCGCGACGTGTTTCTTTTATTTAAGAGTTTTGCTGTCTGACCTGGTTACGCCACAAATTGTAAGTTTGTTTCTTTTTCACATAATTTTTGTCGTCGTTGTTATTGTTACATTTTGTACTCAGATATTTGTATTAATCATTCACTTTCAGTCGAATAACAGCTACACGTATTTACATCTAAATACACCTCTATCAGGCAAATATATTAAATGCGCATTCATTTTGTGGCGTTAAACTTATCTACATGTATTTACACTAACAACTTAAGGACAGGAGTCAAAAGTGCACCATGAAAAAATGCCTGCCCTCGAATAGTTTACCTGAAATCAAATGAATGACAAATTCAAAGGGCTCTTAACTAAATTCTCCTTACAATATCAACCTTAAATTAAACATTAAGGTTACAAGAATAAGGGAAATGATCACCAACTTAAGAAGCTCTTGATTGTTACACAAATTCTCCTTGTCAGCACCTTAGGAAATTTATTAGGAGAATATGCATACTGATGTTTGGGTGTAAATGGGTTAACAACGTGCAGAACTAACCTCGCTGTGAGAGTAAATGATCTTGTGGTGCTTATGATACTAAATTCATTTACAAAATCTGGAGAATCCGGAACAGTCACCTGAAAAATAAAATAATGACACGTGTATCTGTAAGAAAGCATTGTTCCTATGCTGCGCTTTCTTATGTTATTAAAAACATCTATGGTTAAAGGCAAAAGACAATCTCCTAGTCAGTACCAGTCCTACTCTTACCTGCATTCCCAACAGTGGGAGTGTTTTATTGAGCTTGTACTGATTACCGCCTACTGGGGTTGTGTACAACAAAACATCTGTCAGCTGAGAAAAAGCAACAAATAAATATTAATAATCTTTAATTTTGACCTCTACAGAGAAACGTGATTTCCTCAGAATAAACACCAACAGTGCACCAAGGTCAACATTTGAATCACTAAGTTATTATGAACATCGAAAAAGGACAAAAAAGCAAAATTGATCTTTTCTAGAATTAATAAATTAAGAGTTATTTACAAACCAGGAAAAACATTCTCTCTTGCATGTCTTTCCGACACAATTTCATCAAAGTCCCTTCTTTGATAAAGTCCTATAAAAGAAATATAAAAAATAAACGTGTAAGAACTACATTACGAAAAAGTTGTTATCAATTGGAACAGAACCCCCTCCCCCTTCCTTTCCTTATCAGACCTGCAGTCTTTGTAACAAAAAGTTGGTGCATTACTAATTATTACTCAACTGACTTATTTTTTAGATAACGAAAAGATGTTTAACCCTTTAACTCCCAGAAGTGATTAACAAGTAACTTCTCCCCATAATATCCATAAATTATCCAACAAACAGGTAGTGAGATTATTCAAACTTATCAGGTATGATAGTATCTTGATTGAACACCAAATTCTTGCAACCATTTTACAAGGAAATGTGTAGCATTTAGAGGAGAGAATTAACTATCAGATCTTGGAAGTTAAAGGGTTAACAGAAAGTGAAGTGGGGGGGGGGAGGTGGGTTGGGGTGGGTTGGCATATGTTAGCTCAGACAAAAAAATTCTCTGTTTTCCAAATCAAAGTTTGAACTCATTATTTGGAATTCATCAGTATGCCCCTGGAAATGATGAAGCTCACGTTAAATGTACTTAAGCACGCAACAACTGTTGGTACATACCCGTCCAGCTTTGACAATCTCTGGGTGTCCCACAAGACTCCTCTGAACCTTAAGCATCTGCTCAAAGTTCTCCTGTTAAAAAATAACAATGACAGTATTTATTTTGTGCTCTGTATTGCCTGTTTTACAAATTTAAATAATTGTTCACATAATAAGCTAAATTACATATGCATTTTTACTTATTCTTATTTATAATCTTATGGACTGAGGACAGACGCATGAATGACTTCACCATTTATAGCATTTTGCCTTTTTTTATAAAATAAATCCATTCCATGTTGTCATGGGTCTCTTCAGTAAAAGATCACAGATGTCAAAGTGTGGTGAGAAAATCAGTGAAACACTAAGCACTTTTTGTGGCATGAAAAAAGTCCTGTTATCTCTAATGCAATTTATCTTTAGAAGAAGGGAGGAATTTTTTCACACTGATGATAACAGTACAATTCCAACCCACCATTTTCTTCATGGACTCATTGATGTGTGTCGCAACCTCTGACACAATCTTAAGGGCAGCTGATAAGAAGAAAAGAGCCAACAAATTATGATCAAATGCTATTCATAACAGTGCATATCATTAGGTGCTATTTTGTGTATTGAAAAAATCAAAAAGAGGTGTTGTTTTGTGTAGCGATTTGCAATTTGATAATATTTATAGGGGTGCATTGAAAAATCCTTTCAGTGACTTCTGATCAGCAGAAAGATTCTCCTTCCAAATTGTCTAGTTTTCCCTTGTAAAACAGAGGGAGAAGTAAATATCCTATCAAGAGTTAAATGCATGCATCTTTTCCACCCAACTTTAAAAAATTAAAAAATGTGCCAACAAAGAACATGCGAATGCACTTGTTTTCAGTCAATAGGAAGCATATAATCTTTTCATGTACATTATTGTACAGTTAAATAAAATACAAAATACAATTATGTATGATTGAGAGAAATCCTTTAAATTACCTTCTATGTCCTTTGATTCCTCTGAGTCCTTCGGCAAATGCTTGAGATAGTCTGGGAAAAAATACCATCATAAAATATTCAAGAAAAAAAAATTTGATCATCGCTTTTAACAACAGAAAACTTAACTCACCAATAAGAAGAAGTCTGTAGCTAGGTATGCGCTGTACAGGTTTCAGCATATAAGATGACAATGCCATTCCATGACAACGTTCACTTGCCTGTAAACAGAAAACAATAGTTACAATAATTCTTCAGATCAATGTGTTATATTTTCACCTCTGATTCTTTGTTGTTCTATCTACATTGTACATGAGTTGATATGATGCAGTTATCAACTTTCTGCTTTTCCACTCATCACTTCTGTTAACTGAACTTTTTATAAAACTTTCTCTAGAACATGTGAATATTTTTTCAACATCATATGGTATTGACCATAGTTAAAATTCTTTGTCAATACCTTGAACTTAACAAAAAAGGTATCAACTATATCGGAATGTACAATGTAAGTTTCTAAAAAAACTTTGATGCTACGTCACTGTGGAGGTGTTACAAAACAATTTGGTTATATCAACCAAGTTGATAAATAAAAATTGACCACCATAAGGAGTTTCTAGAGCTGACATTTAAAGTGTTACCCCTTTATAGGATTTATTTTTTATTCAACCCAACAAAAAAAAACTGGTTGTTCCATTCAACATTTAAGGTGGCCATCTGACACCTGCTGACGAAAAAATACACTCACTTTAACCCTTAAGTCCTACTGGTGACCAAGACAGAATTTCTCCTTACATTATCAGTACAATATCAACCAGACAAGTGATGAGAATAAAGAGAAATGTCAATTTGGGGATACTTAGTTGATCCAATACTAAATTCTCTGAACTAACTTTATAAGAATTGTATGGCAGACAGTAAGGAGAATTACCTATGTGATCTGAGATTGATTTAAGTGTAGAGGTACACCATACCAATAACTGGCTGCCACCCTCACAATACTACACCAAAGATTTTTTTAACCTTTGACATTTTGGACAGCTGTCATTCAACAATGGGTGAATTACATTGCAGATTTAGTAGCCTTTTTCTCATCGCCAGATTGGGCTTTCTGTGCATTTTGCTGCATATCTGAGCAATTAAATTTGCCCTGATGAAGGAGTAATGCTTGAAATGTCAGCTTTGAAACTCTTTACGGTGGCCAATTTATGTTATCAACTCACTCAGTCCAAATTACCCTGTTGCACTCTCCCACTGACAAGCACCACAGTTTCTTTAGAAACTTACCACCTTCATTCAACTGATAACATGTCAGGGTTAATGCTAGATTAAGGGAGGGGTAGATGTGCAGTTGCTGACATACTGACGTTGATCTGTAAACTCTACTATTTTTTGTCTGATAACAAATAATCTCTCTCACTTTAGTTTGATGATGTTGTCCAAAATTTCATTTTGGGGTTATAAAAACAGCATTTCTCAAGTAGTAATAAATGATAGAGTCAGTATGTATATCAACAGATGCACAAAATTTTGGTTACGATACAGAGTTTTGCTTTTAATAAATATTCTCCATATTATGTCCTACCTGAAATTTAGCAACCATGTCTGCAAACTCTGAATTTTCTTTCATAGTGTCTTGAAACACACCAATAGCTTTGTCGTAGCCATTCACAAACTGAGTGTACATCTGTCGAACAAGAAATATAAACCCATCAAACTTTAATAAAAAAAATTCAAAAAGTTTCTCAATCGTGGAAATGGAACTGAAACCAAAACAAGATGACATTCAACAATTACAATTATTAAAATTTTAATGTTACAAACTGAAGTTAAATGAAAAGTTTATTACAAAAAAGACATGCATTTCTCAGCCGTTTTTACATTAAAAGATTTATTAGTGCATTAATAACTATTGATGACAATGTTAACATCAATAATCATTATGTTACCTTTAAGAAGTGGCTGTATTTCTTGATAATATCACCAATCCTCTCGTGTTCTTCCCTGAAGGAAACAAGATGCAAAAGTAAATTTTTGGTAAAGGATGACAAAGAGGAATTCCATCTTTTAAACCCATTGTTTGTGACGAGTTGTACATTTTTTCTTGCAAATAACGATGTTCTGTTTCTCTTCAAGCTGAGATAGAGGGGAGAAGAGGAAGTGTAACTAAAGTAGTATTCAGGGAGGGGTAGGTCAAGCCCAGTTGTTCAAAGGGCAGAAAACTCTATCCACATATAAATCATTGTCCAGCAGAAATGCATTAATAAAACATAAAACTTAGTGTACTATCCAAGGAGCAGAGATTTATCCAGTGGATAGGAGTATCCACCCTTCAAGTAACCCAAGTCCTGGAAAATAACTTTTACACAACCCTATTAAGAGAACATGGAAAAATTTACTCTAAAGGGACACCAGAGTGAGGAAATGGACAACATACCCCCCCCCCTCCCACCCTCCTCCTGCATGTTGTTGAATGAGGAAAAATATTTTTATTTTATTCCCAAGTGATTGGTAGAAAAACTTGAGTTTCCTATGAGGAATCAAAACTGTAGTAGAGCAGAACACAAAGGGTCTGAGGTTTACTTCCTCACACAGCTCACTTTTTTCCCTGCTCGCATGCTCGCCACCAAATGGATAACAATTTCTTTGATTAAAATTAATTATATTTGTACGTTCAAAATTCATATTTACCATGTTTTCATTCGTTCCTCTAGTTCTTGGAGGAATCTAGAATCCAGCAAATAAATATTCTCTAGGTCACAAAAGATGTCACCCAAAGTGCTATCAGCTACAACATTGGCTTGCTTTATTGTTCCATAACATTCCTACAGAGAGTTGAAAAAAAGAAGTCCAATTCCTAATGATCTAACAAATGTGTAAAGTGCATTCTAATGTAAAGTACAATGGACTATTTGTGGAAACAGTGCCATGGAGATGTCTGTATATTTATTGACAGTCAATACTCTTTACTCCCTGAAGTGATTAACATGTAGTTTCTCCCATTAATATCCATACATTATCCAGCAAACAGGTAATGAGAATACTCACACCTATCAGGTAGAAGATATTTCCTTGATTTATATCTATCACCAAATTCTCATAACTAATTTAACATAAGGAAATGCATAGCAGCTTGAGAGGCTCAATTCACTTCCCCACCCCCTCCCCCTTCTGTGATAGTATTTTTGTTGCCATTGGCAGTTTTAGCCAAGCTGCTGGTCAGGGTTATTGTCTCCAGTTTCACCTACTTTACATTATACATAGCTGCAAAAAACATGGCACCAGCTTTCCTGCTACAAAAAATGTTACCACACATACTTAAAATTATTAGATCAATGCCAGTATCTGAGAAACTGCACACCTACCCCTTCCCTTATCCAAGTTAGAATAAATGTTGGGTTAGGGGAGAGGTATGTGCCCGTGCCCATGCAATTCCTCATATACCAATACTGATCAAAATAATCTCCCTCTTCCTTTTTTTTCCTTTACCTCAAAGACAAGTTTTAAAGCATCCACAAACGTCTGCTCAGTTGAGAGAATTTCATGTGCAATGTAGTATGTCTTTGACTTTGGTGGACCCTACAGAAGTAATCATGGTAATTATAAACATTAAACAAAAGCTAAGATAGCAATGATGCTATAAATATTAGGGTAAATAAATTTGAGGAGAAATTAGATGCTGGTCTCCCTTAGGGTTAAAATAGTCAAGAGTGACCAGTATCTAATTTCTCCATGCAATATCACATTTGAATTATTCATTAAGATTGTGAGAATAAAGGAAACGATCACCAAACAAATTCTCCTTGTCAGTACCAAAGGAAATGCAAAGAGGGGGTATGGAGAATATCGATATCAATGTTAGGATGTAAAGGATTTATTTAATAATTACCTTTGATGATGCCTCTTCTCCAACATCAGAATCCGTATCAGAATCGGCCTCGTTTGCAAACGGCCCTGGTGTCAGGGGAGGGGCTTCATTTTCATTGTTTATGATGCTTGTGCGGCTGCTTGGAGGAGGTGGGCGTGGTGGAGGTTTGCGTTTCAAGGTTTGTTCCTCCTCCGTGGTCTCCACTGTAGAGATGTCAGAAGATGACAATGTAGAGAGCTCTGATGAAGATTCATTTGAGATGGAAGGTTCAGGCTGAAGAGCATTCAGACGAGTACGAGGTACAGGAACCGGAGACTCACTACTTTGAGTTGAAGTAGACTCTGTTGATGAAGCGATTTTCAAGCTTTTCCTTGGTACAGGAGTTGGTGAGTTATCACCACTATTAGTTGAAGATGAGTCTGTTGACATGACAAGCTTCGAGTTCTTCCTTGGTACAGGACTTGGAGAGTTTTCACTGCTGTGGGTTGTTGATGATTCTGATGATGCAGCAGTCTTTGAGCTCTTCCTTGGTACAGGACTCGGTGAATTCTTCAGCTCTCTTGTCCTTGGGACTGGTTTTGGTGATTGCCTTGTTTCTGACTCTGTGCTTGCTGAACTGGATGTCTCCTCCACACTTGCAAAGACATTAAACTCTTCTTTTAACAAGCTTGTTCTCGGGGGTTTTGGAGGTGGAGTGGCTGACACAGGAGCTGACATTGCTGGTTTTGCCTGAACAGGCACAGCATATTCACTATCATCCTCCTGTGGAACTGCCTGAGAGGGAAGTCTACTTGAAAAATCAGAGAATTTTTCAACCACAGGTACAGGTGTTACTTGACCAGGAACAGAATATATTTCTCTGTCATCAGCACAATGACTATCTGTTACTGCACATGCTTTTACTATGATTGACTTGGGCACTGCATACTCATCTTGCATAGTGACACTGCGTGCTCGAGATGAAATTGGAAGTGGAACACTGTACTCGGATTCATCAGTTCTAAAACTTTCAACTGGAATGACCTTAGCAGGAACTCTGTAAATAACCTCATCATCAGACACGCGCTGAACAGGGCGTGATATTGAGAGAGAAGCTGTTTCATATTTACTGAAGGACTGAGTTTTTCTCAGGGAGTCTCCCTTAATTTTAATCTGCTCAAGTTGCCTTGAAGTTGCAGCAATATTTTCATAAACATGCTTTTGTTTCTTAGCCTTGCGACTTCGTCTCTCTGGGGGAACTGGCTGAGACTCTGGAGAAAGTGAATTGTCGCCATCTACATTTTCCTGTGATGGTGGTTGCTCCACAGTGACAAATTCAGATGAAGCAGTTTCCGGATCTTCCGCTGTAGAAATAGGGATGGCATTTACAATGCTCGCATTCTCACACTCCTCTACTTCAACTTGTACGACCTCTTTGTTGGCCTGTGAAGGAGGTTGTTCCACATCAACAAATTCAGATGAAGCAGTTTCTAGATTTTCTTCTCTAGAAATAGAGATGGTATTCACAATGCATGGACTCTCACCCTCCTTTACTTCACCTTGCACAACCTCTTTGATGGCCTGTGAAGGAGGTTGCTCCACATCAACAAATTCAGATGAAGCAGTTTCTAGATCTTCTTCTCTAGAAATAGAGATGGTATTCATAATGCTCGCATTCTCACACTCCTCTACTTCAACTTGCACAACCTCTTTGATGGCCTGTGAAGGAGGTTGCTCCACATCAACAAATTCAGATGAAGCAGTTTCTAGATCTTCTTCAGTAGAAATAGAGATGGCATTAACAATGCATGAACTCTCAACCTCCTCTACTTCAACTTGCACAACCTCCTTGTTGGCCTTTGAAGGAGGTTGCTCCACACCGACAAATTCAGATGAAGCAGTTTCTATATCTTCTTTCAAATTAGGGATGGCATTGACAGTGCTTTTATCCTGATCTTCCTTCATCTCAAATAGCACAGCCTCAACATTTTCCTGTGAAGCAGCTTGCTCCACATTAACTAATTCAGATGACACAGTATCTAGATCATCTTCTATAGAATCAGGAATGACAGTGCTTTCATCCTGATCATCCCTCTCCTTATGTATCAAACCCTCAGTGTTTTCTAAACTTGATACATCTTCTTCTATTTTAGGTTCCTCCTCATTGCCACTAGTACACGCAAATTCCGTCTGGCCATCTTTTCTCTCTTCTTGACAAAAATTTTCAGGAATTGAATTCTCAAGCAACTGTTCTCCAGATTGTTCAGTTTTGTCCAATTCTACTGCCATGTCTTGGCAGGATTCCAATTCCTCTGGTTTAGTAAAAACAAACTCAAGTTCATTTTTCTCCATAAATCCTTCATTTTCATGTTGACCCTTAAACCCTGAGTGATCTTCATTCCTAACATCTTCTAATTTTTCTTCAGCAGGTTCCTCAGAATTGTTTTTATCTTCATCCACATGAGAAATTTCCTTGAAAATAACACGATCAGTAACTGATAACAAAGTACCTTCTCTTATCGGTTCAGCCATAATCACCTCGCCATTTTGTTGAGATTCATTTTGCTGTGCTTCTTCCATAGCTGCTTCATGGCTCTTATCAGTTACGTTTTCAACTTTGTTTTGTCCAGTTGAATCTACACAAATTTGTGAACTCTCTAATTCAGTTTCACACTCAACATTCTGGTTAACTGATAGTTCTTGTACTTCATCAACTGGAGAATCTTCCTTCATAACAATTTCTTCTGAATCTTCACTTAGATTTTCCAAAACACTGTCCACTCGCTCTTCAGCTTCAAAATTAGACGCCATTTCCTCTTGATGATTGAAAAAATTAACCACACTAATTTCTTCTTCCATTTTGTCTTTTTCTACCTCATCATTGGTTAGTGAAGCATTCTCCCCAACCAAATTTTCTGAAAGAAGGTTGCTGGCAATTGATTCACCTTTACCAACTTCTATAACTTCATTGTTTTCTGCTCTAATCTCTCCTTGTACTTCCAGTATTTTTTTTCCTTTTTCATCACTCCTTGTATCATTTTCTATCACAGTGACAGAACATTCTTCCTCAAGCTCAACACTGTATAATATATGAACTTTATCTTCTGGTTCTTCTACACCATCAACTGGTTGAAATTCATTGCAAACTCTGTCATTTGAAGCATCATCCACACTGACCTCCATAGGCTCAGAAAATTCCCCAACTTCATTCTTTCCCTCGGGTAGCATTGAAGAAATGTCATCATCCTCACTAATATAATCAACTGTTATTTCAAGACCTTCCAGAGGATCTGCCATGTCCTTTTCAAAATTTATGTTCCCAGGTTGAATAACAAGAGGCCTAGAAGCTACCCCATTCTCATGAATGCCGTTACTATCCACAAAGCCATTTTCAACATTACTGAATTCACTATCTTCTGAAGCATGCTCAAACACAATATGTCCTTTTGAATTGTCTAACTCCTTAGTATTTAGGCTGTCTTTACTAGAAGTTTGTTCTTCCAAAGAGACAAAAAACTGTGAAGATCTTTTTGACTCGTGATTTTCAGATGATGCCACCTTAGAAGTGTCTTTATCTAGAGGGGCGAAAAACTGTGATTCATGTGCACTGTTTGTGGAAGACTTTGGCACCAAAACAGATCCATCCTTTGCTGGCTGACTAACAATTTTTTTCACACTTTTGACACTAATGTTCCTTTTCACATAAGCTTTCTTAGGAATGTGATTCTTGGGTTTTGGAGGGACAGGAGGTTTTTTCTTTTTCTCTCCTGATGACTGTAATCGCAAATTTGACAACAATTCACTCTTACGTCCCAAAGAACTTCCCCTTGGGGGTGGAGGAGGTCTTGGGGGTTTTTGACGCCCCTTGGTGTCCTTGACACTTGTTGGAATATTTTCTTTTCTTTCTAAACTTGGACTGTATTCTTCAGATGATTTTATTTTGCCATTCTTTTTGGATTTTCTTGGTGGTGGTTCAGGAGTTTCAGATGATGATTCTCTGCATAAAAAGGAGGAATGTAATTATTAAAGTGACATTTTTGACGGTGAAATCTTGGATATTACACTGAGCAGCTTGTAATTAGAGTTGTGGTGATTTTACTGAGAGCAAATGACTGTTTGATTCCAGCAAATATTATAGAGCTTCTAGCAACAAAAGAGAGTTTCCTCAACTCCCTTTTGGGCACATGAGTCAGAGGAGACTCTCATAGAAAACTCCTCAGACTCCTATGATCATGCTCATGCTAACAAACCTGTTCCTATGGACCAGAACACAGGGCTGTGCTCTTGCGGCATATGGTAGTCCCTCACACCTGTATTCACTCTAGGGCAACTCGGAAAATATTAGTTTTTTCATAAAAAGCATGTGCTTGGCACCCTGATTTTCACAATTTCAGAGAAATGGGCTCCCTTTAATTTTTTCTTGGAGCACAGCCCTGTGAACAGTACACTATTCATATCTTGCAGAATTCAACAAAGGATAAGAGGAAAAGACCCTCATTCAAGGTGACCATTTGCAAGTTGTAATCTACTTGAACTCACCTTTCCAGGTCGTCGTTGCCACTGCCACCTGTGAAAAACCATTGAGAAACAAAAACAATTTTTAGATACAAGTAATGTAAATAAAGAACTATTAAATTCCACTTAATAGTCCATTTTACAGTTGTGTGCTTGGTTGCCAAGCCTTTGAACAGGATTGAGGCTAAGGGTGACCTTGTGATGATACAAACCTTGCTGCTTTTCAAATGCAAATTACTTTGTTATCATGCTAACTAGATACAGGTCTCTATCACAACAAGGTCACCTTCAGCCTCACTCCAAATCAAAGGCCTGGCAACTAAGTACATAACTGTAAAATGGCCTATTATCCTGTAACTATGAAACAACTGCACTGAAAAAAATGTTCCCTTTTGGAGATGCCTGCGTTAGAGTTAAGCTTGTCCAGATTGCCAAACAAAGTTTTTCTTTCAGTGTGCATATTCTGCACACTGCTCTATAGACATTTCCAATGTTACTAACAAGGAGAACTTGTTTAACCCTTAAAACCCCTATGAGTGACCAAGACAGAATTTCTCCTTACAATATCAATACAATATCAAGCAGACAAGTAATGAGAATAAAGAAAAATATCAATTTGGGGATAACTTGTTGATCTAATACTAAATTCTCTGAACTAACATCACAAGAATTGTATGGTTGACAGTAAAGAGAATTACAAATTTGATCTGGGATTTAAAGGGTTAACAATCATGAACTTTTTAGTTGGAGATAAATTTCTCTATTCTTGTGACCCTTAGGTTAGATTCAGAAGTGAAATTACACAAAGAAATAAGATGTGTGCAATTTTTAGGGGATTAAAAGTTTTTAAAAGTCAAATCTACCCCAACATACACCTCCACAGACAGACATTAAAAAATTAAAAAACACAAGAGGGTTCACGACTTTTAATGGCATACAAAATCCCATGCCAAAATCATGTCCAATGTACATGAACAAAACTATCTCCTATTGCTCCTTCAATTCCCATGAGTGACAGAGACAGAATTTCTCCCCACATAATCAATACAATATCAAGTAGGTAGGTAATGGGAATAAAGAAAAATATCAAACACTCATATGAGAACTGTATGGTAGACAGTGAGGAGAATTACTTATGAGATCTTGGGTGTGAGAGTGTTATACACTGTTGTTTCTTTTTAGGAAGTGAACAGCCTTGAAAAGGTTACATCACATTTAGTAGTGACTTGAATTGTGACCACACATTCTTTAAAAAAGTTGTGTTAGTAAAGTCTTCATTTTTGTTTTTATCATTTTATTTTTATCATTTAACACCAATGAAATAAAATTTGCCAATGAAGCCTTCAAGAGAGGCTTGCTTGATGAATATTACACACTAACACATCATACCATACATAGTAATGTTTTTTTTAATCAAAAATTTCAACAGTTTTGAGACAAATAGACACTCCATGCCTGTAAAGCTTCAGAATATTACTGACAATGACATGGTCATTGCACCTGCTAGCATAACAGATGTCTTTCTACAAAGAAGCTTCAATAGACACATCTCATTATGCATTGTTGGGCTTCTGTCATATTTCATGGAATAAACACAAGTTGATCTAAACATGATGTTTATGATAAAAATAAACAAAATATTGTTTTAAGAGTTTATCTGTAAAAGCGCAACATGTTGTGAGCATGAGGGTCAATTACATTGTCGTGAAGCATTTGGATAACTCGATTGATCTGCGACCGTGGGACTTGATATCAATCTTTATCATTTCAACTGTCAATCAGACTATCTCTTGAGACCGGCAATCCCATTTCCTTCTAGGAATACGTAATCGAATTGTGCGGAAATCAAACCGATTCAGGAAATGGGCGAAAAATCGTAGCTGAAATAAAACTAAACAGCCTAAAATGGAGAGGATCAGAAACCGCTCTTAGTTATCTTATTATCAATGGACCCTTCTAAGCGTGTTATCACAGTGAGTACATTAACCTAATGTCTTACCGATGTGTTCTTCGCGGCTTTTCTTTTTCGGTGGTGGGCTTTCTCCAATCACAGAGGAACGTCCTTTTGCAAAACAGAGGGGCATATATCGAGAATAAGAATTTACATCCTTCCAAAAGAAAGATTTATTGCAACGAAACTCGATCTCTACATCACTTCGACAATAAGACGACATGTTGATTCCAAAGACGGAAATGCCCAAAACAATACATTTCGCACGCTTAAACTTGTCATCGAAAACCACGTTTGTGCCGTGGTGTATTCTGATCTTGAATAAACTTAAACATTTTCAAATAAACTCTGAGTGTTTAAGAGACTAGTAAAGTAAACTCATCATGGAACACCCCCAAATATTCCAGTTATGTTTAAATCAACCGATCACACACAACATTGCGCTGAAATAATTCACACAGTGTACCTTCGAACGCCTTGGCCTTCTCCTTGACACTCATTCTAGCGGGAGCACCAGACAATCAAGTTTCCAGTTATCATTTGTTGCGATTTCAATAGCGTTTCCCCGCATAGTATTGCTCGTCTTTTGTGATAAAAACAATATATGTGGACTGCAGACTTCACTTCCTCTGAGTTGACATGATCACATGATTTGCATACAGTAGCCGCTGACCGGGAAATTTCGTGTCTTCTGAGAACCATTCAGGAAAATTTCACTTCCTAACTCCCGCTCTTTTATTTTCACTGTTATTTTTTTAATATTCTGTCTTTCCACCCTTCTTTTCTCTACATTTCCCACCAAATGTATGTCTTTTTTTTATTTTTTACGCTAGTTACCAAATCATGCGGTCTAACAATTCTATTTTCACAAACAGATTTTTGTTTAAAACGAATCAACGGAAGTTGCAGGAAGTTGCCTCCTCAAACGTCACTTCCTCTACATTGAAATTTAACGAAACCGCGGAAATTTTAGTGTACGTAATAAGCCTTTCCTCACCTCTGCTAGTGCGGAAAAGCCCTATATGCTCATATCTTATACGTAAAATACTTCCTGTCAGCTTTGTTAACAAAGAGTCAAGGCCCTTTTTCACAACTACTCCGACACAACCGCTCATGTGGAGTCTCGGGGTCAATTAGTCGGAATCAGTAAAGATAACGAAAATTCGAAACGCTGTTACATCAAAAAGTAACAAGGGTCCCCACTAGCCTTTACAGCTGGCGACTTTTTGAGCGCTCGAGGAAATAAAGATGCGCAACGGCAGAAACGAACAGTGGTGCGACGCCGGAGTGGTTTATTAAGCCTTCGACGCTTCAGCAATCGACTTCTCGCAGCTAATGAAGGCTAAAAAGCGCGCAAAACTACGTGTCACGCAGGGCTTAAGAGGAAACGGTGTCTTCAGACGTTAAAGCACGCAAAACCATGAGATTTGCATGGCTTAATAGAGAATAGAGCTTTCAGACGTTGGTACGTTTCCTTCTTAACCAGGCCTGCTTGTTATTTATCATGTATGTATAGTTCACACATGTTGTTGTTTCTTTTCTGTTTTTTGTTTTGTTTTGTTTTGTTTTTCCAGTTGTCCTGATTGTTTTTATTAGGTCAAGTATTTTTTCAGCTGCAGTAATGGATTTCCAGGTAGTATTCTTGCTGGAAATTTTGATTTCCTTCTGATCTACTCTTTTTTCTGTTTTTGTTTTTGTTTTGTTGTTGTTGGGTGGGGGGGGTGTATGTGTAACTTTTAAGGTTTGGGGGAAGGGGGCCTAGATAGTTGTCCCTGATTAGTTCGTTTCTTTAAAGTAAATTAGGAAAATCTGAGAAAATCTGAGAAAATGTTTCATTACTATTATCATTATCATTATTATCATTATTGTTATTATTATTACCATCATTATTTATATTATTAATATTATTATAGTTGTTGATATCATCATAATCTTTATCTATTTTAAGGGACTATTCATCATATTTTGCCCAAGGGGGAGGGGGCAGGGGGGTCGAAGGATTTTGAGGGGGGTCAAATGGTTCTTAGGAAAGCGGAGGGGGATCAGTCGTCGATAATAAAGTTTAAAGGGCGAACTGTAAAAAATGACTGTTAGCGAGGGGGGTCATTAGAGTACTAAAGGGGGATCAAAGAAGTTTTAGTACGGAAGCAACCAAAATCCTCCGGAGCCCCGTCCGTCCTTCTTCACTTCCCCCCTTCCCCCTTCCCCCCTTCTCCCCTCCCCCTTCCCCCTCCCCCCGGCGACAAATAATGGCCGTGTTCTTAATATCATTGGCTTTATCATTATCATTTTCGTTATTTCTTGCTTTTTTTATATTATTGTTATTACCATTTACAATATTGCTTTTTTGATTTTTTATATAATTTTTTTTCTATTTTTATTCTTTCGTTTATTATGATTACTGCGTCATTTTTTACCGTGTATCGTTTTACGCAAATTGCATTCGGTACCGATTTAATGTATCTAACAAATTCTCTACCTTGGTGATCCAACAACCGAGGTTAACATGTAAATTTGAGTCTGAAAAAAAAAGTCCTTCGTAGGTCGCGTGGAGTTATGTCACGGTACCCAGAGTCAAACAACTGTCTGTAAAAGTATGGGTTAGATCATCATTTCTCCGATAATATAAGATAAACTGAATTCAAATATTCATTACCATCATGAAAATATGCTTACTTGCTATGGGATTACTTTGCTGCATGAGCTACATGATAAATCAAAGTCGTCGTAGAATCAAAGAAAAAAATACCATAAAAAGACTAAATAAGCATCTGAACAACCTTCTAAAATATTACAATAAATTTCAGATATATATTCTAGGGATTTTTTTCAGTTTCTTTCCTATTTTTTATTTTTTCGTTTGATTATTTTTTTTCCGAAGTCAACGGTCACGTCAGCGATGAAAGGTTGGCACTGTCTCGCGAAATATTATATTTATCTCCTTAAATGTTGGTTGGCATTTTCTGTATGTTTTCTTGTTTCTTTTTAGCTTTTCCCAAAACAAATTTAAATCATTTGAGTAAATATTTTTTTGAGAGAGAGAGACCGTCTGGGACGAAAATCCATTAGTGTATGTACTGCTTAGCGTTTGAGACCCTGGAAATCTCGTGATTACGATCATCGTTTTGTTGACGATTTGTGATGAACACACTTTCCAACGCACGACGGTCACCGAATCGAAAGCTATAATTTCTTAAGTGTCACCATAATTAACCGTGTAACTCTTAAAATTTTATAACCGATTTTACAAATATTATTGATTTACCTTCAAGCCGTCGCCGGTGTCTCGGTGGAGAACCAAGAAAGTAAAACGTTAAAATGCTTAATAAGTCCATAAATAACAACAGACAATCACTCAGTGGTTGTTCCAAACCCTTTGATCACCAAAATGATCTTTTTTCCGATTTTCACGTGGTTTTTACACGTTTTATTAGATGTACCGCCTGATTAGTTGTTCGACAATCACGTGGAATTTGGTTAGGAGGTTAAAGTAAGCTGTGAGATATACGGTACTCTTTCACTTTATGAAGATCGTATCTTACTCGGAGGCGTGAAGTAGACGATTAAAGGTCATCAGAAAACGACAAACAGGCTATCCGACACGGGGGGGGGGAATCGGGATCGGGGTTCTGAGAGAGCCGCAGCACATACCCAGCAAAATTGACCAAATAATCCCATTCCCAGTTATCTGATGAAGGTTTGACGGGAGAAAACAATTGCTAGGAGGGACAGCAACTACCTGCATAAGGAACATAGGTTTTCACGGTGTGGGAATATCTTTTTAACTTCAGGATTGTTTACATTTTGCCCATTGTGAGACATTTAACTGTTTAGGCTTCCAACGAGTGAAACGAACTCAGCGGCTCTCGACTACTAAACAATGGGTCCGAAAGGTGTAGAAAATTTGACGATCGAAGCACCATTTTGTCCATATAAACTGCACACTCTATATCTGTAACCTACCCCAAAGAACTGCCTTTTTTTCACGGTCAGGGCCGGGCTCCCTCAAGAAGCTGGAGCCCGACCACACCGAAAGTTTTTAGGAATTCCCCATCAGGTGGGTGAAGTGGAATTGTAATGCTTCAATTAATTCCTCATGAAGAGCATTTAATCAAAGAGGCCTCAGAAAACGACATATTTTGAGAACAATTGCAGTGCGGTAATGAAGTTCATACACCATGGCAACAGGTGATTCTCCGTCACGGCCGTCACGTGTTCTCTGTCACGGGTGATGTTTGTCACAAGATAAAAGGATTGATGTCAATTATTTTTTTTTTATTTTAATTTTTTTATTTTTTCATTTATATATATATACTATTCGTGTCGCTTCTTTCTGGATGCTGTGCGATTTCGGGGTTTGAGCGCCACCTCAGACTGGCCGATCACTCGCCTCGATTTCATGTAAGAGCCTTGAACCCGCTAAGTGGAAGTCCCATGGATTGACTCCGCCTCGGTCTGGATCAGTTAATCGAACGAAATGATTTACTGTAGAAAAAGAGCTTTGAGCTGCGCCACCAATCGATATTCGTAGGTTTCATTATGAACTGGATTTTGTTGCGCCAGGACAAAAATATCCATTTTAAGCAAGATCGAACGTACGTTACTCAGTCATCTTTTACAATCACTCTTTTATTTAATTTTCACACACAGTGAAGCCACTTTGAACCTAAAGGAGACTACAAAATTTCATTTTAAGAAGATTTAAGGGGGGTACTGTGATGATTTTAGTTTTTGTGGGATGCGAATCATTCTTCTTGATGCATGAACCAGCAGGAGTCGGAAAACAATGGCTAAAACAATAGATTTCTTTTGGGGGTACTACGGCTTTGTGAATAGTGCAGGGCTGCACAGAAATCATACCCCTTTTTTCGCGATTGAGGAAAGTGATCGGTCAGTGATTCATCTTTTTTGTGTGTGAACTGTGACACAGATTCCTCGTAAAGCTCCTGATTCGACCTTTCTATTGTAAACCTGTAATCTAGAGCACCCGACCGTTGATTTTGAACTAGGTCCAAATGCTGTGGGGTCAGTTCAATCCTAGGGAATCACTTTTTTTCCTTAATTATTAGTAGCTCTTGTGATTTCTTTTACACAAGTTGCCTTCAAAGAAAAGTCAAATTTTCTTGATTAACCGCATTCTAATTGACATCCTCAAGGGATTCATTAACATTTATTTATTTCAAGACGGTATTTCCTAATCCTTAGTTTAATTTGCAAAAATACTTTTGTTTTCTGCAAAATAATTTAGGCGAGATGATTCGATTCTTTTCTAAGAAGCGGCCGTAGATATCTTTGGATCACGCTGTGCATTTTTTTCACAAGCATTCTTTTTTTCCCCTGTGTAATCAAATCATTTTTAAGTGGGCGAGGTTAAGACGGCGAACAAATTCGATGTTTAATTCGACAGCACCACAGCTAGAAATCACGTACACTTGCCAAGACAGTATTACGGAACTGATCACTCAGTATACATCAAAAGTCGTGCATAGGAATTCACAGT